GAGGATTTGAATGTACGGGATGGTGTGAGAGGTCGATTCAGGGTATCATAAGAGTGACGTCAAGTGATGTAGGCGAGACGGGATGAGACAGGAGGAGGAAGAAAGGAGAGACAGTCTGTGAGAGGGCGTTAGTGGAAGCTAGGAGAGACTGATCGTCTGATCGTCTGGTTAAGAGGGGTTTCGTAAAGAGGATTGTGTGGTGGGCTGATCGGATATCGGCAGGGGTAGTCTATGATCTGGAAGAATGGGGAGACATAGAATGGGCTGATCGAGCTGATCGAGAGTATATGAGAGGGGGAGTAGGAGGAAGGGGGAAGAGAGGGGAGAAGAGAACGGTGGGAGGACAGAAAAGGAGCTCGAGGGGGAGAGTTGACTTACCAGAGAGGGGAAACGGAGGGAGTGTGACTATGGGAAAGACGGACAAAGCAGCAGGTCGGATGGAGGGGGTTGGAGAGAGAGAAGCGAATAACCATGGGACGGAGATGGAGAGGGAGAGGGAGAGGAGAGGAGAGGAGGAGGAGGAGAAGAAGAAGAAGAGAGAGACACAAGAGACTACTGGAGCTTGGGCGTTACCCCACAAAATCCCAGTTCGGAGGATGCGCCTAGCTGTTTTGGGTCGATCGGTGGCCCGTCGATGATTCATCGTCGATCAGTGGTAGGTATTTACCGAGTATGGTTCACACAAAGAACGCCGCCCGTTTGACATCAGCGGCGATCCGAGGGCGGAGGAAGTATCCAATGTGTGTTCTATCCGTGGATTCGATTCCATTGTCCTCAAGGTGAAGGCATTGCCCAATGGGGGGTAGGTAATTAGTATTAGTATTAGTAGCTCGTTACTAGATTCTGAGTTAATAGTACAGAGTATTAAGATGCTGACTCATCAGCCAAAACAGACTTTTAGAGTAGTAACAGTAACCATAGTACAGCATAGATCTTCAATGCCTCTAGTACTTAGTAGAACTACTACTATTACTACTATTACTGCTTATTACTTCGATAATACTACACTGAATTATGAATACTCCATTTGTGTTGCATGTGGATCCTTCTTCATTCAATTTAGACGGGACCAGAAAGCTTGGCGTCGATCAACATCCATCAACCATCATCATCCATCTTCTGCATCCTCTGCATTCCACCCCTCGCTCCACTTCCCCTTCCACTTCCCCTTCCGTCCCATCGCAGAACCCCAAATACACCCCCTATTGGATTCAATTGTATGATCCAATCTTCTCCCGCACGGGTTGACCTCTGCGCATATCCCCCATCGAAATGCAGTTGCCTAGAAAAATCCTCGATGAACTCGGCCTCGTCACTCTCTGGACTTCCTCCCGCGACGTCAAGCTGCTCTGTGCCCAGCGATTGATCCGACTCTTTGCCTATGGCGGCTCCACTCTCATTCTGGCCTCCTACCTCTCCGCATTGGGCATCTCCGACGCCCGCATCGGTCTCTTCATGACCCTGACGCTAGTCGGCGATGTGGTCATCAGCTTTGTCCTCACGCTCTTCGCCGATGCCATGGGCCGCAAGGCCGTCTTGGCTCTGGGATCCGCCCTGATGGTCGCCAGCGGGGTGGTGTTTGGCCTGTTTGCAAACTACTGGGTCCTTTTGATTGCCGCCGTCCTGGGGGTCATCAGTCCGAGGTATCTGTCTTCTCTCCATTACCCATCAATCAATCAGTCAGTCACTGACTTTCCAGTGGAAATGAGATTGGTCCCTTCCGGGCGGTCGAAGAGTCCACCCTGGCTCATCTCACCCATCATGACCTGCTCAGTGACATCTTCGCTTGGTATTCCCTCATCGGCACTGCCGGCACCGCTTTGGGCATGATGGCCTGTGGATGGGCCGTCAACATTCTACAAACATCGAAAGGCTGGGATTTTGTCCACGCATGTCGCGTCATCTTCTTCGCTTATGCGGTCATCGGGGCGCTCAAGTTTCTTCTGTCCATTTCCTTGAGCAGCAAAGTCGAGGCAGAGGAGAAGAAACCAGCGCCGACGCAGGAGAACGAAACCCAGCCACTTCTGGGTGAGCAGAATGACACACAACAACCCCAGAAGAAACCTCTCTTCCCTTTCCTGGAGGATAAGGCCCTGGTTTCTCTGGTGATCCGCCTGTTCATTCTCTTTGGCCTCGACTCCTTCGCATCGGGTCTGGCTTCACTGTGCGTCCTTCGTTAACTGTCCGAACCTGTTTGTAGCAATGCTAATCCGACCAGCTCATGGATGACCTATTTCTTCAAGGGCAAATTCTCCCTTCCCGAAGGACAACTCGGTTCGATCTTTTTCGTCACCAGCCTCATCTCCGCTGCATCCATGCTCGTGGCATCCTCCATTGCCAAACGCATTGGCAACGTCAAGGTAGCGTTCATCTCACTTGCACTCCGAGCGCAGCTAACATCGTGCTTAAGACAATGGTCTTCACTCACCTCCCATCCGCTATATGCCTCGCCCTCATCCCCGTCCCGTCCACTCTCCCCCTGGCACTGACCTTTCTCATCCTCCGTGCGTGCTCTCAGAGCATGGACGTTGCGCCGCGCTCGGCCTTCTTAGCTGCGGCGCTTCCGGCTGACAAGCGCACCGCCATTATGGGTTCTGTCAATGTCATCAAGACGTGCACTCAAAGCCTGGGTCCGCTCATCACGGGTGTCCTGTCCAGCCATGGCATGTTTGGCCTCTCCTTCACCATCGCAGGTGTCTTAAAGTTCATCTACGATATCGGGATGCTTCTCAGCTTTGCTGGCCGGGAGCCCTCGCGCCGGGCCGAACCGCAGGGGGCTGCCTGACCTAGACGTCTCATTGGATATACATAACCGGATATACTGTCTATATCACATCTAGATTTTATAGACCAAATGCATTCGTACCTGCCTACTCCATCTCGATGGTCAAGGAGATGCTCGGGAGCGAGGTTGCATTGGCTGGCATCGTATAAGTGAAATTCCAGAACATAAAGTCACTGTCATCGTTAGCAGAGCCACGCCAGCATATCTAACAACATACTTGATGGTCGCATCACTGGCACTATACGACACCAGCGGCGTCAGGTCCACCGTCCCAGAAACAGAGACCTTCACTCCAGGAAGATCTTCCCAGCCAGCAACATCCTTCTTCCGCGCAAACGGCGAGACCAGGAACTGAAACTGGGACTCAGCCGTCCCCTGGGGATACGTCAGATTCAAGACCCCAGGACCAACGGCCACATCCAGGGCTTTTTCTGTCGCATACAGCTGTCACTGTCAGCACCACGCTAACAATGTATACCCCGAAGGATCCTCCGAAGGGAAAACATACAGTAATCCACCCAACTCCATCCCCGGTATCCCACTGCACAACCGCCGGATTAAACGTCTCCGCATTCACCGCCGGCCCGCCAACAACACTCTCATTAAAGCTCTCCGCCCCAATACTCACCCTCTCCCCAAGCCACGCCCTCACCCGTCTCGGCTCAAAGTCATACGGCACAGAATACGCCTCCGCCTCGACAAGATGCTCCCCCGAAAAGCTCCCCAACTTACCCACCACATCGCGCGGCACAAACCCATTATGAAACCCCGCCAGCACCGCCACCAACGGCCCAATCGCAAAATCCGCATTGTGCGACATCATATACACCTTGTCCGCGACCGGCGCCGCCTCCTTCCCAACAAGCGTCCAGATATGCGCCGCCATGATGCCGAAATACTTCCGCATGTCGAAGCCGTACGCCCGGTCCCACGGGCCGGCGAGGTTCTTCAGATCCGCGTGGTAGAGGTCTCCGATGGTGGACCAGGTCGCCGTGAGCATTTCGCGGCCCTTGGTGCGCATGACGGAGTGCGGCGGCGCGTATTTCGCCCAGGTTGTTAGCGCTATGAGCGAGACGCCGGTGTAGGTTGCGCTGTTGAATTCGGACAGGGTGTGCGCGCGGTCGAAGAGGGATATTATCTCGGCCGCGTAGGTCTCGCCGGCGTGTGTCATGTTCGCGTCCGAGAGGGCGTGCCCGGTCCAGCTGCTTACCAGCGCGCGCATCAGGGCCTGCCTGGTTAGCTGCCTGTCTTTCTTCTTTGCAGTGATGTGGTGGAGGGAAGGGCGGGGGTACTGGATTGGTATACGACGGGTAGAGGTTATCCCCGTCCACGCCGCCGACGCGATAGCTATCTCCCACGGTATTATTGTACAGCGACGCGTGCATCAGCTGCACGACATCCGCCGGGATCAGGGGCGCGAACTCCTCCAGCGCGATGATGAACGCTATCCCGATGAAGCCGCGCCAGTTGGGGTCCCAGGTGTCGTAGATGATGGGCTGGTAGGCGGGCGTGCCGACGGTGGGCTCCTCGGGGTACTGTTGATAGTCACCGTACCTGGCTACTATCAGTGGAGAAGCTGGTGATAGAGAGGGGGGACGCACCACTGGTCGTTGGGGTCTTTAAACTGCGCGGCAATCACGTTGGTGATGATGGTCGCGGCGTGGTCGACGTCGTTGGCTTGGTTGCGCGCCAGGAGGCCGACGGCGTACCATACTGACGTTCTTGTGTCGTGGCGCATTGCGGTCGCGGCGCTGGGGTCATACACGTAGCCCGCTGCTGGGTCGTAGATTCTGTCGAGGTAGGCCATGGACTCGGAGAAGAGATGGCATGTATGCGCGGACCAGGCGGGGAGACATGATGTCTGGGCCAGGGCTGTTGTGGCTAGGGCCAGGATGGATGGTTTAAGCATGTACATTTTGATCTGCTCAAGATTGTTTCTTTATCCTCGGTATGGACATCATGCCAATTTATATATGCCCACGGACAGAGTCCGAGTAGTTGCATCCGGATGGGGATTCTGCGGGGAAATCGACCCCGAACCCCTCCTGGTGCACATCGTTATCTACCTAGTTCCTTCTCTAGATCAGATACTAGATCAAAATAGTAGAATACGCCGAGGAGCTCTACAGATGTTTGTGCTGTAATTGGTGCGATAACTCGTGCCAATGGCCGACAAATGTGATCTTCATTCTCCTTGTTCGTACTATACTCCCCTGCCTATCCTACCCGAAGCAAAACAACCATATCATCATCACATAGACTAGTCATTACAAAACCATCCTGAAATTAGGATCCCGATCATCATTGCACCCAGCAAACCGGTCATACTTCCCATTCCTCTTATCGCGGTTAACCTTAGCGCAGTAGAGCACATTCAACAGAATCCTAAAACGTCAGCCTCACCACCAACACCAAAGCACTTCTTGCACTTACATAACCCACGCAAAACACAACAACCCTAAGATAACCGTATGCCCGCGATGGTACTGCGGCTTATCGCGGTTCGGATAGTTAAACGCTACCACTCATCAGCTGTGCTCCGCCAGTCCGCACCGGAGAAAAAAACTCACTCGCGACAAAACCACCGCAGTTCGCAATAGCCAGCTGCATGCCGGACGTCGTGGCGCGCTTGTACTGCCCGGCCGAGTTGTTCGAGTTCCACACCAGGATGCACGGCACGCTGGCGTACATGCCTGTCGCCATGAGGAAGGTCATGCCGTACTTGACGCGGGCGTCGGCGATGTTCGCGATGGCCGCGTACCCGGCTATCGCGATGGGGAGCGTGAATAGCATGATCACGCCGCGCAGTTTGAGGCGGTCCGAGAGGAAGGCCACCACCACTGGACCTCAAGGTTAGCGTTGTCTTCGTCCCGGGAGGTCGTACTTACCGGTCAGGACTGCGGCGACGGCGTACGGGATCACGGTCCACAGTTGGACCTGGTTGGCGGCGGTTGCGAACCCGCTCTCTTCGATGATGGTCGGCAGCTATGGGTGTTAGCTGCGCAGGGATGGGGGAGAGATTGTGAGCGACGTACGAACAGGCCGAACGAATAGAGTCCGGACAGGATGGCGAAGTAGGCGGTCGCGGACAGCCACATCTGGATGTCTAGCAGGCCTCGTCGCACCTCGGACCATTTGAGGGTTTCTTGCTCCTCCGCCAGGGCACTGGGCTGTTAGCATGTCTTGCGCCATTGAAGTCGAGGTACAGGTAAAGCATACTTCTCCTGCACGGACGGGTTATCCAGTAGGATTCGTTCGCGGGCGTACGCGCGTTCTTCGACCGTCAGGAAAGAGGCCGTTTCCAGGCTATTCGGAAGGCCGAAGTAGCTTGAGACACCGCAGACAAATGTCTGTAGGTGTTAGTTATGTTCGAACCGGGGGGATGGTTGCATACCAGCAAGCCTTCGATGATCATAATCCAACGCCAGCCTTCCAAGCCGCCGCGAGGGCCAATCTCTGCCAATCCACGAGCCAGCAATCCTACATAGGTCAGCCAACCCATCATCGTCTGCATCTGTTTGGGACGCACCTCCGAAAGCACCCGACAGCGAGGCCGCGGTGTAGAACAAACCAATGCGCAAGGCCAGATCGCCGCGTCTGTAAAAGAACGACAGATACAAAACCTAGTATGTACAGTCAGTATCTCCCCTGAACGGACATGGACATACACACCATTCCCGGGAGCAAGCCACCCTCGGCAACTCCTAGGATCGCTCTGACTGCAACAAAGGATCCGAAGTTGCGAACAAATCCCAGACACATGGTGATGATTCCCCAGACGGCGGTGAGAGTCGGCAGCCAGATTTTGGGAGAAGCCTTTTTGATGATCAGGTTGCTTGGCACCTCACTGTCACGGCCGTCAGCTCTGTTCAGAGCCACGGGACAATGGACTCACCTGCAGATGTAGGTCAGGTAGAAGACGGTCAATCCGATGTCGTACTGGTGGCCGGTGATGTTGAGGTCATCCTCGAGACCGAGAATCTTTGCGTTTCCGACATTGGTCCGGTCGAGAAAGGAACACAGGAACAGCACTGCCAGGATGGGTAGAATCCTACATTCATTAGTATGGGATACTGTCAAGAGATACCATCACAGCTGAACGGTCATAACGGGATGGGCATACCTGGTGTCCAATTTGAGCAGGATACTTCGGGTCAGCCTCTTTTCATCCTCAGCGCTCCCCGTCATCTCACCGAGGGACTGCTGCTTGGCGTCCTCGATGTTTTCGCTGTGAATCTTGCTGTCATCCATAGTGGGAGCAGACGGGAAAAGCTATCAGGATTCCAGACGTCCAGCTCCGGGAAGAATGGGATGAGTGAAGCAAGGGGGAGGTGTGGACGCAGGGACCAGGGGATAAATATGGCGGGCGATCGGCGTCCAGTTCTGCTCCCGACGGACTCACTTTAAGTTCCTAATGTGGACTCTCATGTTCTGGTTGGGGTTTCCCCGCGTTTCTACCCCAGATCACGGGACTGTCAGAAAGCTTGCATTAGCCAAGACGACTGCTTAGCAGTCTTGGTAGATCAGTACCCTACTCAGTAAATAATCATAGTCACTCACGTTGTTGAAAGGTGCCAGTCACTTGGAAAGCTCAGTAGAGCGACATGAAAGAGGTGTGCAATGGCAAACCGACGTTAATGTGTCAAACATGGCTTCACCAACGGACAGAGATTCTTATACGAAGGCAGTTGTTCGGTTTTCCTTTCCTTTTCCCCTACTTCTCCCCACTCATTCTACAGGCACCCGGTATATATTCTCTTTCGCAGGCCCTCTCCTGCCCTCTATAGAATGGACTACGAATCATGGACTGTCAGGCTCTTCTACCCACTGTAGTCTCCCACATGTGAGTACACCTTCCAAGGGAGGGCTACTTGAACTAACTTCTGTTTCTCAGATATAACAATGCCTAAAAAGTCCAAATAGTATAGGAAGAGAAACGACTGGGACTATGAATCTTTCTTCTTCCACAAGCCGGATCCATCCAAGCGTTTCCTACCGAAATCACCACATCGAATAGTGGATCTGCAGAAACAGGAGTAGCACCATGACGGCTCGATGTGCGGGCAGAGCTTTACCAGCCAATTTAGGTCAGTATCTTCTGTGGACCTGCTCTGAATATGGCTAACCAGTACTACATAGCTCCGCACCCATATCAGAAACCACCACTAAGGCACCAGTCAGGAGCCTGGCCCGATAATCTGATCCCTCAGTGCAAAAGCTACAAGGGCCAAAATCAACCCTCGGTCTGGAGGAAGGACAGCACAACTAATACGCTATTTCCGCCTGTCCTACGCACAAGACCCGTAGGTAACCGTGCGCCCACAGATGGTCTGCCTACTTTCAGTGAAGCGAAGTCCAGTGGTTCTAATCAATCTTCCCCCAAGACACCATCTAGTGAGATCTCGGTAAGTCATCGACTGAGATATATTATTTGGGGATAAGTTTCTGGAAACCCTTAGTCTATCGGCACAACTAGTTCTGGAAAGCAGCATGATATTTGTACTAACTAGGTTTTAGGAGAACGGTGAACTCATTATCTATCCCGGTGAGGTCTACTGCCGTGTTTCTGCCTGCACGAACAGAGTACAAGTAGTTCCCTAACAATATGGAAATTCAGCTAAACTAGTTCTCTAGACCAAGTTCTCAAACCGAAACAATCTCCTCCACCACATCGCGAAGGCCCATGAAGGCGAGAAACTAGTTCCCTCTGAGAGAGGAGGCCGTCCAAGATGGCAGAAGACGCCGGAATCAGTAAGTCCTACCTTATAATCTAGTTTTATATATGAGTCATTGGAGTTAACTAGTTCTATAGACTTCTACCGCCAGTGATGGAGGCGTTCGAGGAAGCGAAGGCCGCTGCTCCCAAGCCCCCTCTTCCTCGGAAGAGAGACGGAACGTTCTGTCGCCATCTTGCTGGGCATCTAAAACCAATCCCACTAAACGCGTAGGCCATTAAAAGCAGCTATACAACCTGCTGACCTGCGCCATTAATCTTATCTACGGAACCTTGAGTCGCTGGTGCGTCTCCGCGCCGGGCCGTAAAGCGATCCAGTCAGACACACAGATAGACGAATACAATAGGCAGAATTATTGTCAGAGCTATTTGGGGATACCCCGGATGAAGGAGAAGCCATATATCTCGCAACTACAGAGGTAATATTACATGCACAGGGTTGTCTACCTGATAAGTACATTTTGCCTATGCTTTACCCTGAAGTAGATATATTATTTCTGTAGCGCTTGTTATGGCCTTTTCTAATAGACGAATGTCGAGACGGAGAATTGTTGAGGCGCTTGTGGGTTACCTAGTGTAAAGACACCTTGTGGATATCTTTAACTCCCTTTTATAGTAGAAACACGGATCTCTGCTTTAGTTGAATCCATCAATATCTAGTTCACTATCAAGTACATACATAAAGTACCTTCCAGACACTAACACGATGTCGGCAATGCCGGTATCGTCATCGGCTGGTATCGGTCGGAGTCCACTTCTGACGCCGAGGCACCTCATCCCGAACCTACATTATCTCCGCTGCTCCTCCAACTCCCGCATCCCACACCACATCTCCCACCTCACCACCACCATGTCCAAGCTATCCAGCGGCCTCAAGGCCCTCATCAACTCCCCCACCGCACGGCCCAACACTGTGCCGGCCCCCCGCAACATCCAATCCGTCTACCAGCACATCCAGCAGACAGCCGTGGCCAACAACGTCTCGCGTCCGTCCTGGCTCGCCCTGTCGGTGCGTCCCATCCACCCCACAAGAAACCACACAGTCCAATCCAACCACACAAAAACTAACCTTCGAATCCATCCAGACAGCCGCAACAATGACCATGAACTCCCCCGACTCCCTAACCGCCCTCTTCCACCTGGCCGCGCACTCGCAATCCCCCGCCGAAACCGTCGCCATCGCCGAGCTCATGCGCGAAGTCGGCCTGAAATGCATCAGCTTCAACGGCATCCCCCGTACGATCAACTGCCTCAACGCCTTCAAAGCGAGCCTCCCAGCCTCCGTCGCCGACGCGCTCTCGCGCACGCCCACCCGCACCCCCAGCCCGGGCCAACATCGCGGACATCAGCGCGCGCGGCCGCGCCCTCTGGGACTCGATCTACCGCCCCTTCGAGCGCAAGCTGTACGACAAGCTGGCCGACTCGCACCCGGACCTGCCCGTGCACATCCTGCACGCGAACTACGGCGCGCTGCTGTCCGACCCGGCGGGGCGGACCACGGGCGCAACCGTCGGCCGCGTCGCGACCTCGGTCGTGGCGGTTGCGTGTCTGCGCGCGCAGACGGGCGTCGCGCCGCAGGTGCTCTCGCATGTGTTTGGGCTGCGGAAGGCGCTGGAGGATGGGTCGTGGGTGGAGGATGCCGAGACGGAGGCTGGGGCGCAGTGGTTGGCGAGTGAGGAGGGGAATAGGTGGATTCTGGAGAGTGTGGATCGCATTGTTGAGGCTATTGGCCAGGGGGGAGGGTCGAATTTTGCGCCGGGGTTTGCGGCGAAGTTGTAAAAAACTGACTCGTTGGTTGTATATATGCATTGTTATGAGTATATATCCAGGGGCTGTGTTGATTGCATTCGGGCTGGTAAGTTTAGTCATTTGGCCGTGGGTGGGATATGATCACAGTATGATGGGCATGGCTCTAGAGAAGAGATGGAAGAAGCAGAGAATCGCTGCCCAGGATGATCAGATAGTCATATCGGATGTTGCAAAGTGTCTGAGCAAAACTGACTATAGAACCAAGTATATGCGCTTATCTAGTAAATCACAGGTATAGAACAATGCATACGGTAGAACCGCCTACTCCATCAGCTGCAACTCCTCTGCTACACTAAACTTGGCCCCCGTCTTGCTCACGACTTCCTCGACCTCCACCCCCGGGGCAAGCTCCGTCAGCAGCAACTGGCCCTTGGCCCGGTCCACCTGGAAGACGCACTATAACAGTCAGTTAAGCAGCAAACATCGCTCAAGCGCACTTACCAGGTCTGTGATGATGGTGCTGACGCAGTTCGCACCCGTCAAGGGCAGACTGCACTCCGATACGATCTTGGGCGACCCATCCTTGGCCGTGTGGCTCGTGGCCACCACAATCTTCGTCTGGTCGGGGTTCGAAATCAAGTCCATGGCACCGCCCATCCCCTTGAACACCTTGCCGGGAATCATGTAGTTCGCGAGATCGCCTTTGGCGCTCACTTGCAGGGCCTATAGCCAGTCAGCGTGCATTCACTCTTGATGAAGTCAGTGGCTCTACGCACCCCCAGAATCGACACATCGACGTGTCCACCGCGGATCATGCCAAAGGACTCGCTGCTGTCGAAAGTGGCCGCTCCAGGGACGAGCGTAACGGTTTCTTTGCCGGCGTTGATAATATCCCTGCACACGTCAGAACAGAGCGCTTCCCCCAGTCGATGGCACTTACGCATCAACCTCCTCTTCAGTCGGGTACGGGCCCTAAACCTGCGTTAGCCATCTTCATGCGCAGGGGAACACTGCACTCACCATGCCCAGAATCCCGTTCTCCGATTGCACCCAGACCTTGACGTGCTCTGGTAAAAACGACGGTGCCAGTGTGGGAATTCCTAAAGTCGTGAGCGCAAGTCTACACCTCTCCAGCAGTCTACTCACCAACACCCAGATTAACGTAGTATCCCTGCTTGAGCTCCTTTGCAGCTCTCTTGGCAATCCGGTTCCGCTGGACAATAGCCGCGCTCTTCTCCGATTCTTTCGCTGCGCCGTCCTCCGCCGGACGCAGCTTCTTCAGTTCAATGTGCTTCTCATCAGTGGCGGGGACAATGCGGTCCACAAAGATCCCGGGGAGATCCACATCGTTCGGGTCGATGGAGCCAACGGGGACAATGTTCTCCGCCTCCACGATGGTCAGCGTGGCCGCCTTGGCCATGATCGGCCCGAACGCCTTGGTGGTGTACCTAGCAAGAACACTTAGTACCAAGTTCTACTCCCACGGCGCGTGGACCTACCGGAAGACACAGTTTCCGGCTTCGTCGGCCTTCCATGCCCGGATGATGGCAACGTCGCCGGTGAGCGCCGATTCCATCAGGTAAGTCTTTCCATTGAAGATCCGCGTCTCGCGGGGTTTGCCGCGTTCCAGTACGTTGCCAGATTCGTCCACGCGGACCGGGATCTCTCCCTCCTGGAGAAGGGTGTCTGCAGGCGGCCCCAGTTAGGCCTTGTGGCGTTTCATGGAGTGGGAGACTTACGAGCACCGGTGGGTGTGAAAAAGGCCGGGATCCCAGCTCCTCCAGCGCGCAGGCGCTCCGCCAGCGTACCCTGCGGGCACAGCTCAATGGCAATGTTCCCACTCAGGTACTTCTTCTCCAGCGCCTTGTTGTTACCCAGATAAGACAAGATCAGCCGGTTGACCTGTCCCGCCTGGGTCAGCGTCGAGAGACCGCCCTTTCCTGGAGCTCCGGCGTTGTTCGAGACGGCAGTTAGCGAGTGTAAATTCTCCGGGCCTCGTCGGCGGATCGCGTTGATAAGGGTTTCTATGCGTGGGCATTAGCACGTCGTCCTATTCTTTGTTTCAGGATAACCGCATCATACCCGCAACTCCGCACAGACCGAATCCGGAACTGAGGATGGTCGAGCCGCTCTTGAGATCGGCGACAGCTTCGTCCGCATTCTTGTACAGCTTCGAAGCGGCGCGATCAATTTTCGGTGCACGCGGCTGATCCGCTGCCGCGGTGGAATACCGTGCGATCCGACGGGGGTATGATGTTAGCAGCGGGCGCGCGGTGATTTTGTGGTGTGTCGCCAGCTGGACTCGCGGCCGAGCGACGGTAACAGCTCTCTGCGACAAAGCCAGCGCTGAGATTCTAGCGGTCGCCATGATAATATAAAACGTACAGAACAATACAAAATAAAAGATCCAGGACGATAAACTCGAGGGGATCGCGGTCTTAAGAATTGTTTCGTCGGCTATCTAATATGGGACCGTGACGTGTGAGGGCCCCTCGGTACTCGGAGCTACTTCTGGAGACCGATGCACGGAACTCGGCCCCAACGCAGGGCAGCTCATCCACCAGCTCCTCTGCTAGAAGCTGAAATCCGCCGTATTGCCAAGGTCCAGCCATTCCCAGCTCAGCATATCGTCGAGCGGGACATCGGGAAAGCTCGTTCCGAACGCGCCGCCCGCCCGGTTGACCGCGTCGATAATCTGGTCGTCGGACATTGCAGAGAAATGCAACGGCTCCGACCAGAACAGAGGCGCCGAAAAAGGAGGCTGTGTGGCGGGAGGGATATGAGCGTATCCCTCTAGCGTAGTAGAGGGCGGTAATGTCGTCCCAGATGGCGCCATTCGCGGCTCGTTGTGGCTCTGGGTGGCAGAGTTGATGGGACCCCGACGGACAAGCTCTCGCAAAAATCGTCCATAAAGAACGGATGCGCCATTTCTATGGCTAGGAGTTGCACCGATTCGCTCGAGCACGCCTGCGGTCTCCTCGATCAGATTTCGTACGCTTGGTGCCAGGCTAGACCGGCTATCTTCTGGCATCACGCTGAGACTCAGCGCGGAGCATGCGGCGAAGGAGATCATGATAACCGTGTTGTTCGGCATCGACTTTAGTCTCGACTCTCCCTGGATGGCTGCTCTCATTACATTCAGGGCAGACGACAGACCTGCTGCACGGAAGAAGCGCTTCACTTCAAGGGGCGCTGTCGGGTGATTGATCACGCCGCCGTACGTCGATAGACGAGTATGTATGACCAGAATCTCGACGTATGGCGGGAGAGAAAGAGCTGTAAAATGATCAGGTTTGTCCAACATAGTTATACGTGGTGTAGCTTACTTTGGCCTTCCCCGATTTCTGGGGCCCACATCTCATACCATCGATCATAAAAGCTTTCTATCATCGTTTTGATTCTAGCTGTTGTTAGTATCGTTGGTATAGAGCAGACTCAGGGGATCATACGACTGAGCAGCTTCAGACCCAGTATCACCCGTTTGATAATTATCACAGCTGGACTTGACCCGTTTAAAGAGCTCATCCTGTCGAACTTTAGTACTTTGACGAAAGAGGGCGAATAGCGAAAGGTGTATACCAAATTTCTTCTCAACACCGCCATCGAAGTCATCGCTCCATCGCGAGAGTCCGCATAGTCAGAAACATGCCACCTATCGCAGTTTTCAATAAGAGCAGTAGGCGGGACGGTGTAGTTGCGTCCGCGCGCAAGACATACACTACAGAAGTTAGCATGAAAACAGCCAAATCACTCATTATCTCACCCTCTCTCAAGAACAAATAATGCAATCCAAGTCCTTTCCCGTCTGCGCAGGAGCCTTTGCCCCCATTCAGATGAAGGATCCACACCATCGAATCCATCGATATGCAAGGCTCTCCTGGCATCAATGCTATCGGCCTTGGGTAGCTTCCTTAAGAGCTCATTATCAAAGCTTATCGACGGTACAATGATCTTATTCAGGGACAGATCCAACGCAACCGTGAGCGCCATCGCAATATAACTGCAGGTATCGTCGTCACCCAGACACGCCCCCGGCGCCATCCAGGGCACGTTCACCATGAAAGCGAGGACAATCTCGACCGATCTCAGCCGTTGCGAGATCACCTTGTGGGCCAGGGACTTGCAGTGTCTGGAGAGTCTCTTGGATAACGCCACCGCGGAGGGCAGAAACAAGGCAGCCGCAGCCATGATCGAGGTGAAAAGAAAGGCGGATTGGGAGCGCACGAACGCCGCTGTGTGCACCAGGGGGTCCAGGCCCCATCGGGTGTGTGCAAGGTTTTGATAAAAACTAGGTTATCAGATGAGCATGTTCGCGGGGGCTTGTAGGTACACGTACAATGAGAACAGCGACTCGGCTTCATTCGAGGTCACCAATCCCACGTCAATGGGATCCATGTCCGGACCGACATCCAGACTCGCCCTGACGGGGACAAAAAAAGACTTGGCAGACGGCTCATTGCCATTGAGGCTACTCCTCGGTAGGGCTGTGGGCTGGACGGATGTGGACGGATGCCATCTCGAGGTCTCGCGCGTTTCCGCCGGTGATAACTGTAGGTCAGAGGCGCGCGCCAGTAGCTGGAGAGGGTTCTCTGCATCGTCCAGCGACAGATTATCTCCCGCATTTATATCGCGGGGTGACGGGAAAGAATTCGACTGCTCGGGCCCCTCCGAGAGCTCATCGGTCTCGCTCTGCAGCTGCTGCGACTGCCCCTGCTGGGTCTTATTCAATAGCTCCTGGAGGTTTGAGATGATCCTTTGAGCCGCATCGGACCCCGTCGCATCGGACTTGGGCCGCTTAATAGCCTGCTCTATCTGGTGCAGGGCTTTCTCCAGTCCTTTGCGTTTGCTGCGAGGTGTCAGCATGTATAACCAGACACTGGGGAGTGGGATAGCGCAGGTAGACTGACTTTTTGACGCCCTTTTGCCTGCCCACGTGGTGGCTGGGCACCACGCAGTCTAGGCTAGCCTGTCTGCATTTGTCGCATGCTGCGCTGCCTTCGGTTCGATTGCAGCGGATCTTGCTGCGTCTACAGTTGAGGCATGCAGCTTGTCTCGCATGGGAGGAGGTCTTGCTTTGATGAGGTTCAATCTGCGCGTCGCCCATCTCCTCGTTAGCGAGAACCATGCGTGCGTTGCCAGTGATCTCGAGAGAATGATATTGCAATCTCCATGCGTTGTGAGCTGTATAGCATGAGGATGATGTTCCCAGGTAATGCGGGAGTTGTATCGGCGATGGTGGCTTCCGAGGCGGATTACCGGTATTTACGGATCCTGGGTCAACCACGCTTGGCTTCACTGGGCATGAGATAACGCGATAGGAAAGACACTGGGTCCTCGCTGGACTTTATGTTTCTGGCTGATGAGAAATAGTGCGATGTGATTAAGTGTACCTTTTTTAAGGGGCAAAAAGAGAAGAGCAAAAAAGAAAGCCGAACGCGGGGGTCGAACCCGCAACCTTGAGATTAAGAGTCTCACGCTCTGCCGATTGAGCTAGCCCGGCCGCGCTTGTTGAATGGCGATTCTTATTTAACATTAAGAGAGGGAGAGACAGCCTCAGCATGAGGCCATGAGCCATATGCCATCTTCATTGTACACATGAGGGTCTGGTTGCGGTATGCCCATATACACAGTGCTATGAAAGCTCTTGTGAGCTTCATATTGGGTGTCCCATGTAACCAAACCCGGTCTGTTTAGCGATGTTGTGTCGACCTGGGTGGTGCTACAGATATATATATTGACCACGCTCATCCTACCACCGTGTCGAGCCATAATATAGACAGGCCCAATGACAGCAGAGCATATACACAGGTGTATAGAATTGCCACGGAAGCAGTATTATATGAAGCAGAACGATCGTAGGTGCACATCCGATTGAAGTAGACGCCAAACCGATCCTGACGAACCCAAGCGACCGAGAAGCAGAAAGCAAACTGTATAACTGTATAACAGGACATAACATCGTGATATAGCATCTCCAGGAGGCGACCCAAAGCTCCCAGTGCAGCCGCACAGCGAAACACAACATACACAGGCAGCAACCTGGAGACTCCCTAGGTCGCAGCCCGGAGAGCCCGCAACCTCGCCCCCAATCCATCTTCCACCTCCGTGTCCGCCTGCTTCTGCACCTTCACCTCCTCATTCGGCGCCTTATCCGCCTCCAACGCCATCCGCAAATCGACACCCGCATCATCGGCCAGCTGCTCCATCAGCCGATCGACATCCGCCTCGCCCTCCGCCCCGTACTCCTGCATCGACACGCCCTGCGCGACGTCCTCAATCGCGCTGCTGGCGATCTTAAAGTCCTCCGAGCGCGCCAGGAAGTTGTTCGCATGCGACACGAGGGTCTCGAGGTTGACGCTCTTGGAGGCGGCGTCCAGGCCGCGCGATGCGAGGGCCAGCGTGCGGGACGTGTCGCGCGTGCTCTGGGCCGCCTTGAGCTCGTTGATGATCACGTCTGCGCGGGCCGCCTCCGCGCGGAGGGTCACTTGTCGGCGCTTCTCGCGGACGGCGGACGCGGCGTGGATGCGGGCGATCTGAAATTCGCGGTTCTTCATGGCTTTGTCGGCTTTGGCTTTTTCGGATTTGAAGGTCGCCTCGGCCCGGGAGGCTTCTTTTTTTAGGCGGTTGGAGTGGAGCTGGACATTAGAGGGGATTCTGTCAGTAAATGGATGGCCGGCGTTTTTTATTAGGGAGTCATTGTTAGGGGGTCGAGACGAGCGCGGGGATGATTGAGGCACCACTCACCTTCACATTCGTGCGGGCCTCGAAAATCGGATCTTTTCGCACCATTTTGGATGCAGAGGAAATAAAGAAGGACTGGAGAGAGAAGTAGAGAGAGGTAGAAAAGAAAATAGTCAAGGCACAGTCAGGGGAGAGTCCAAGGAACAGAAAGGCGAGAGGCAAGTTGGTTGCGGATGGATGGGGCGGAGGCAACGGTCGTTGCCGGTTCTAGAAGAGGGGTGGCAACGTCACCTAAGCCTCTACGGGTACTCTACAGAGTACACAATTCTTACCCACGATAGGTATTACTGTCTACTCCATCGATGCCTACAAAGTACAAATTTATTTGGATACAATTTAATATAATTCTTAGAAAGCTTGAGATTCATTGAACCCATCCCCAAATGCTATTGTACATCATATCTCACCATTCCTTGCCCATCAGCAGAGACGTCAACGTCTCGCCGGCATTATTCGAACTCCATGAACTCCGTGTGAATCGATGCGTCTTTCCCAAATTATTGCGCCGCCCGTTCTGTGGTGACCGTAACCCGCTCAAAATTCGTTTGCGTCGTCCCGAATGCTCGAGGCGGTCTATCGCCCATGTCAAGGTTAATAAGAACTCCCAGGTCCATCGACCCTCTCCGACACTGGGCGCCAACCCGCCTTCCCGAGAGATCGTCTCGCTAACAGCCAGCTGCAACGCTCTGCCCGTCGCATCGCGAAGTGGACGCGCCAAGGCCGGGTTGCACGCCAGCAGTCTGGCGAGAACCTTCATCCGGAAGGTGGTGGGACGACTCGATGTCTTCGAGGGGGACAGGCTCGGAGTCGAAATTAACCATAGAATCAAATGGAAATGCTGATAGATCTCCGCCGTCGAAAAGTTCAAAGGGGACCCCGTCTTCAATGACTGAAGAATCTGGCTCAGCGGGTGAATCACCGTGGAATAGGCGGCGGAAGTCATCGTCAGAAAGAGGAGCTGCAAGGTCATCTGCAGCGTAAGATTCACCGCCTGCTCCGAGGTCAAAGAGCGGGAGCGCGCTTCCGTCTCCTTCGAGTCCGCCGACTGACACTGCAGGTCACACAACATCGCTGCAGGATGTTGTGTCAGGTCGGAAGACTCAGCCAGAGTGGAAGGCTTGAGGGTGGGGGAGTAATCGGTGGTGGAGGGCGTGGGGAACGGGATGCGTTCCAGAGGGAGTTCATCGTGTTCTTGTTTGAACAAGGTCGGGGTGAGAGTTGGCGAGGGAGAGGCCGGCGAGCCTGCCTTGGGGGTAGTCCCGCGGGAGCTACGGACCTCGGCGGCCAGCTGGGCGACTTGTTGGTTCAGACGGTTGTTCTCAGCTTCCATCTGCGACAAGCGCTGGAGCAGGAACTGGTTCTGTTGTTCCATCTTGATCTTCTCGTTCTCCAACTTCTCCATTTCAAGTCTCTTGCGTTCGCGGGAGGTTTGAGCGGCCGCCCGGTTCCGAAGGACTCGTTCGATCCGGCGCTGCTCTTTCTCATCTTCCGTCTTTGCGCGTTTTCTACAGGATAATTAGCGCCGTGTTCTGATCGCTCGTATACTGGCATGAGACGTACCTTGGAGGGAGGTTGGTCTTTGGAACAGGCAGTTCTTGTCCCCAAGACTTTCTCTTCTTTGCGGGTTTCTTCTCCTCCGACTTCTTCTCTTCGGTCTTCACCTCGGGTTCCTTCAGGGAGGTGTCGGCGGGAGAGACCGTGAGGACGGGGACATCCGGCGCCGGCGTACCGGGCAGGCTGTCCACAGGAGAGAACCGTTCTTCCATTGTACAAGCGTGTGTGGGTATGTATGAATTGACGATCGAAACGATCCAGTTGTCAAACTCTGCAAGGGAGATGGGGATAATGTGATGCAGAGTACAGCTTGTTGGAAGGGGGAACTTGATTACATCCGCTGGCGCCTGATCACTGGGACAGAAGCCACGGTGTCATACCGGTCACGATCGGAGGCTCAACTCCAGACCGGACAAAGATGATTGGGTAGGAGGAGGATCAGAGTCCGGAAATGGATGGGGGGAAGGGAAAAGGACAGTTGTTCACAAGAGAGAGGGTGGGAAGACCAGAGTGGCTTGATGGAGGAGAGGGAGTCGAGGTTTAAGTAGAGGCCAGCGTGGTCAGATTCCCCCCTTCCCCTTCCCCCCTTCATTCACCATGGTAAGGGGGCGGAGTCACCGTCGTCAGCCCAGGGAGCGTAAAATTACCCGACCGTACGGGGAATCCGCCCCTTGCTGGTGGGCCGTGGGGCGCCTGAGTGGTACAGGACTCGTCACGGTATTTGACCCGACGGTTCTTTATCCTTCCAGACCCTCCCCACTCCGACCAATCAGGTCGATTCCGGAGCATGCCCCATTGCCATTTTTATCCGGGATCCACCCGGACCCCCCGAACAATCTGCTCAGCCTCTCCGTATCTGCATGTAGCGTTGATCGAGTAAGAGTAGACTATGGAGTAGAATAAGAATAGAACAATAATCCAGTGGAAGACTGTCTACGGAGTGACTACATTCAATCCTTCAGCTGTAGACGACCCAGTTACAGCTGAAGCACCGTGGATAGAACTCCAGTCAATACGAAACAAAGCCACTACCCCGCTGAGACACCCATGAAACCCCGTCCCGGCGGAACTTTACCTATCAGCCTATAGCCCATGCATGAGGGGCAGTACGCCTAATCTGAAGCGTCACGGCCCTTAGTCGATGCCCCCTTTAGGACCAGCCTTCTGGAAAATCACCGAATGAAGCCAATCATCCCCCAAAGGGACACGGAAAATCAACGGAGAATAAGACAGACGCTCAGACCCGATGAAACAAGAGAGTTGTCTGAAACCTACCGGAAATTAATTCACCGTTGGACTCCGTAGGAGCCTCGACTCGGCCCTCATAATGTCCATCCCTGAACTGCAACATCAATTTAGCGGGGGAGGCGATCAAATCACCAATATTGATACAATTCAGGACGCAGGTCACCAGAACCACGTAGTTCCTTGACCCCCTGAAGCGACATAGCGAGTTAAAGGGGCTTTGGGAACTGGGGGCGAGTTAGGAGCGGTTCGATCCATCGGTCTTGCGCGTCGGCCTTGTTTAAGCTCAGGGCTTATGTACATAGATCTATGTACATTGCATGGACGGCCAATTCATAGCACGCGATGTGTATACAGGGACCCAGGCTACGACCGTGTATCTACCTACCGCTCATAGACATGTCTAACCTCAAGCGAACCTTCGAAAGCCCTTGTCCCAACTGCATCTACGGACCGGCCCCGTCAAGAAACCGCACACCACTCGCATCCAAGTCGAAGATGCAGGGAAAGAAAGGTATACGAATGTCTGCCCCCACGAAGAGTACTACGGCCAAAAAGGTCGGGAAAAAAAAAGCCGAAAACGCTACAAAAAGACAGCATCTACCCAGCTCAAAGACATGACAAAACGAATGCAAGGGCTCAGAAGGATGGCCATAGGTTCCTGGCAAAGTGTCTCATCAGCGCTGATGATGTGAACGCAGGTGCGATTAGGGTATAAAAGAATGGCCCCCAGCATATGGATATCATCTTTCATATCAAGCTTCGGGGTGTCGCTCAGAGGCTGTATTCCCCACAATGATCTCATCCCGCCTTATTCCTTCATAAAAATCTCGCCAGCTGATGACTGAGGATCAAGATTCCACTCAATGTGAGTGATTTTGTCTTTGTGATCTCTCTTGAAATGCAGAAGCCAAGCCTGCGTATCATAGTGAAACAGCCCACGCCGAATGCGATCCTCTGCCGTTGGTAGAAAGATAAAGGTATCGTAATGATAGTGTGACAGGGTATGCTCCTGGTCCAACCGGCCATTGAGGTTGAATCTTAACTGTCCATCCACCAGAAACACTTGTATATTGAGCGCCTGCGTTTTGTGGTAGAAAGTTCCAACTAGATCCTCAGGGGCTGGTTGACTAGTTTTCGGGGTACGCTGGTTCGCAAGTGTGTCAGCCATCTGCTGGTAGGTTGTTCTCCATTTGGCCGCTGCCTGCGCAGCCAGCGATCTCAGATCCACAGGTACTTCGATATCCACCGCAGCTTGGAAAGAGTTTGTGCGGCCCAGTCCGCGATGTCACCGTGCGATATTGAGTTGGTCAGAACGATGATCACAGTCTGATGTTCTGGGACCAGCACGAAGCAGTGGTTGTAGCCTGGTCCACCCCCGCTGTGATAAAAAGCCTGCGTGGGCTTGAAGTTGTCACCAAGGACGGGCATTTCTTCGACGAGACTTGGGTTGAATCCAATCTTGCCAAACTGGGTGGGCGTGGTGACCTTTGCGAAGCCCATGGCGTAAAGTTCGTCTGAACCAATGGATTTGTTGATAAAAGCGTGGCCCGACAAGATGGGCTCGATGCCCCTGAGTTGACGGTCGTTTGTTCGATAGGTAGAAAGAAGAGCGTTGCCCCATGCTAGCATATCATTGACGCTGCTCCGGACACCGCCGGCCGAAGACATGAGGTCTCCGTCCAGGAGTGCCATGTCTGGAACCCCTACGGGTGTTTTATCGTCCATTATCATATACGGCAGCGCCGTCGAATTGACGGGGATCTCAGACTTGATCGCAGTGGTCTGTGATAAACCGAGCTTCCCAAGGACCTTGAGTTGCAGGACGTGGCCCCAGGAAAGACGCGTTACCCGCTCCACAACCTCACCCGCCAGTGCATACATCCAATTGTTGTACGACCACTTAGATCGTAGTGGGTAAATAGACGTCAAATGATTACACAGGGTGACGGTGTAGTTCTTCGGGATGAACACCTGCCCGTTTGCGCCGAGCCATAGTGCATCTAGTCGGAGCAGGCCGGTCTGATGTGAAAGGAGGTCGATGAGGGTGAGGCGAGATGCGAGGGTCGGATCAGAGTCAAAGGCCAGCTCAGGGATGTACGTGTTGAGAGGCTGATCCCATTGAAGGAGACCGTCATCGACCAGCTGGGAGACGGTGGCTGCGAAGAAGGCCTTGGTAAGCGACGCAAGAGGATAACGCGTGCTGGCGTCGGCTCTCAGTTGTCGCTCCACATCGGCAAAGCCAAGGCTCTGGTCCAGAACCACCTCTCCATGGCTCATCACTCCGATGGACATGCCCGCTGTTCCCCCGATTCCCATGAGATTCTCTATCGCCGGAACGACATCCTTGAGCTTCTGTCGGAACTCCTTGGTCTCGGCCTTGCGGAAAGGACGTTGAAGGCTGGGCTGAGTTGCCATTGCGGCCAAGGCGTGAAAGAGCACCAGCGCGAAAACCACGGATTTCATGTTGGCGTTGGGACAGTGATAAAGCGGTTAACAAGAGGAGCTTGAATGAGCCACTCCGACCTGAGAAATGACGATTGATCGAAGACTACGGTCATGTTTCCGCTTGGAGAGGGGCCGACTAGTTACCTAAAAGTGGACTATCTCAATGCCTTCCTGCTCCACGCTCCGTATGAAGACGAGAACGATAATCTGATAGCATGGAGAGTTCTGGAGACTTTTGTCCCACACCAGATCCGATGCCTCGGGGTTTCCAACTTCTCGTTGCCGCAGCTTCGAAAGGTATATGAAAGCTCCATTGTGAAGCCCGTCATTGTTCAAAGCCGTTTCTTCCAGGACACAGGCTACGACATTGAGCTGCGGGCATTCTGCGCCGACCACGGCATACTCTACCAAGCTTTCTGGATGTTGAAGGCCAACTCGGAAATCTTGGAATCGGACTTGCTCAGCTCGGTCGCGGAGAAACTGGAAGTCGAAAAAGAACTGGCCTTTTACATTTTGATCCTGGGGCTTGGGGGGACGCGCATACTCGACGGGACTACCAAGTCAGACCGGATGGTACGGGATCTACAGACTGTGGCCGAGGTATTTGGCAACGGTCAATTGCGCCCTGACCTCCAGGGGAGTGTGCAAGAGTTCCGACGACTTCTCTGGAAGCTAGCTAGTAGAAAGTCTCCAGCTTGAGATAATGGTACGGAGCACTTTATGCCTCCTCAAGGGGCCCTTGCACGACACAAGATTACAGAATGTACCTTGATCAGTCCCGCTACCTTACCACCCAGGGATTGTGGAGCATGCCAGGCCTAGGCAAATAACCGTGCAGAGAGAATGTTACTCTGTCAACAAACATAGGTACCTAGTGGTCGTCACGAATTAGGGTGTATCGTAGCAGAGATGTCATAATCATTATCTCCTTCGCGGAGTCTGTGGCAAAGAATTACATAGCAAAAGCAACCGTCGACCTTGCTGCACAACATGGCTGCGAGATATGATCCCACCTGTCTTCTCCCGACTAAGGTAAGGTAAATGCATCATGCCTCCCTAAGCTCCCTCAACAACAATGGCATCCTGCGCCTTCAACCCACCAATCAACGCAACCCCCTTGGGAATCCGCGCCTCCCGCACGTTGAAACAGGCAAACGCGATCACTTTCTTCAATTCTGGACAGCAGCGGAAGATGCACCCCACGAGGTAATCGTCCATGACCGTATGGAACGAGACGTCCAGCTCTTTCAACTGTGGATAGGTCTTGCCTTCTGCAAAGACCTCTTCAAAAGCCGTGCGCGAGACGTGCCGACATGATGACATGTTCAATTTTTCGATTTTCGCACCCGAATGACCCATGAGGGCGATAAAGCCTTGCGACGCGAGACCAGTGGCATCGGTCGGGCCGTCCGGGTTAGCGTTGTCGACGTCTCTCGTCGAGGAAAGATCCACAATTTCTAACGGAGGGTTGTGCCAGTCGGTGAAAAGGCCTGCAAATCCCTTATCCGTGCACACGGCATTTCCGGTGAAACGCAGCTTGGTGAGAGAATGGCACTTTTCATGGATCGCGCTGAGCAGGCTGTCGTCTGCGTTTGGGAACCCTTCCAGAGACAAAGTTCGCAAGTTGGGACCAAGGTGGGAAACTAGTTCAAGAAGATCGTTGGGGTCCGCATCTTGGACGAAGCCCAGTGATAGGTGTTCCAATGAGCGCAGCGTCGAGATGGCTTGAAGTGAGCTCGTGCTCATTTTCCAGCATTCTTTCAACTTGAGACGCCGAAGACCCGGACAAGACTCGCATAGAACCTTGACGGTCTCGTCGTCAAAGGAAGAGTCCATGTTCGAGAGCTTGAGACTCTCTAGCTGGGGCCCCAATTTCTGGAACAACTTCCGCCAGCATTTATCCGAGATGAGGTTGGCGGCGTCTAACTGGAGGTGGCGGACTTTGAGATCCCGATCGATCATATATTCAAACACCCTGTCCTTCATCTGCCCGGCAAAGCGCAAGTTGACATGCTTCAGCCCCGGCATAAAGGCAAAGATCTTCTGGAAGTCATCGGTTTCGAGTTTAGCCGAGTCATAGATGTCGATAGATTCCAAGTCCGGGCGCAAGAAGAGGTTCAGGGTCCGCGGAGTAAGGACTCGTCGCTTGGACAGGATCTGGCTCAGCCCATGTAGTAGCTGCGACGGAAGATCGCCGAACTCTTCAATGTCGTTGATGTTGTCGGCGACTTTCTTGGTACACATTTCCGCCAAACTCAAAGCGCCCTGCTGCGTGATCCCGTCGAGTAGATTGCTCTGGTTTTGACGACGACCCGTTCGCGGTCCACGCTTCTTCGCCTTGGCTTTCTTCTCATCGTTCGCCAGTTCCTTGGAGCATTTCGCGCAGAGAAGGCCGCCGTTGGGTCCGGTCTTGCTGTAGGCAGTCACAGTGAAGCGCTTGCCGCATAGTTCGCAGTTTTCGAGTTGTCCCGGCAAGGGTCGCGACTTTTCATCCATCATCTCCCTCGCGATAAGATCGTCGTCATCATCGGGCTCCCCGATGCGTCGGGCTTTGCGGCGCGCAAACTCCTTGCTCTGTTTGATCTTGGCCAAGGTGGCAGCCTCCTTGCGCTTGCGCTTCTTTTTCTGTTCAGGGGATTCGCTGGCATTTGTTTCAGACTCTTCCGCATCTTGTGCTTGGGCGTCCGATGGTGTATCGACCGACTGTTGGCGCTCGGCCTCTCTGACTCGTCTCTGGTAGTCCCGATGGATCTGGGCGGCGGAGATGTTGTTCGACTGGACATGAATTAGCCACGGCGACAAGAAAAGGTGGGATCATGTACGTACCGCTAGGAAATCCGTCAGGGCCGAGTGACTGTCGATGCCAGTTAGTCTTGAGGGTCAGAAATAGGGAGTCCGGCGGTAACATACGGGCCTCGGATTTGGTTCCGTGTCTGTCTTCGATCCGCCCTAAACAGAGGTTAGATGAGGTAAAGATGAAGGAGGTTTATTGTGACTGACATTCTGTCCGAGTCGATAAAGTCGATAAGGAACGGACCGAAGTGGATAGGTAAGTGGGGGAAGAAGATGACTAGAGGGAGGAAATGGAAAGAGATAGAGTAGTAGTAATAGTGAAGTCAGGAGGATTCGTGGTGATTTCGCGTTCCACTTAACGCGTGGTGGGCCTTATCGATAAACCAACAACCAACAACAACTGCCTCACCAAACCAAGTGGAAAAGGAGTGAAGGAGTGGCAGCCTGCTGGTGCCTACAAACCCTCCAAATAACTAACAGAAATCCTTCTCGTATTGCCGAGGTGACTGGTCCAACGGGCCGACCTGGAAAAGTTTTTCTTCTCTGACCAAACTTTCCACCTTGAGTTGCTGACAACATTCTCCACTCTTCATCCCATTATTCAGGCTATCCAGGCACGGAGCTTCTCACTGTCGCCACCTGCAGCTGGCGGCCTCTGTCGTCTCCGTTCCTGCAGAACCTCCCACCAGGGGTTTCTCTCAATTAGGCTTCATTTGTCCATCATTTGACCGCTGACCGAAGTTTATTGAGTTTCCGCTGTCATCCTCGTCAATATGGGGAGAAGACCCTCTGCGGCCAAGTCGGCGGCGTCCGTCGAAGGTAATATCCCCCCTATCTGTACATTCACATTGCCATCCCAGGATTTGCATTTGCATCTCTCTTGAATGAAAGGAAGAAAGGGAAATATCCGCATCTTGAAGACCCGTGGCTAATAGAATGGCACATCTTAGATATCCCTCCTCCGCCTAGACGAACCTCTGCCAGACTGACTCGACAATCGCTCAATTCCAATAATATCGACACAACACCTACGGATGAAGGAAAGACTATGAACCCGCCCCAGCCGGCTAGTACTGGCCTTGGCCATAAACGAGTCTCTCTCGAAGTCGCCATCCCCGTCCCCAGCCGGTCGTCGTCGCGTGCTACCTCGTCTGCCGTCGATGATACCTCTTACGATGGCACCAACGGATACAGTACTCCAGCTACGAGTGTGGCAGTGACACCCGTCGCGTCGGATGCCGGCAGATCCAGGAAGAGAGTCAGTGCTTCAACCCGGGCTAGAGAACTGCGCTCCAGTGCCATGTCCCTCCACGCGGCAAACGGAACCAAGAGGGCCTTTTCGGCAATCTCGGATTCTACCCCTGATAATGCGGATGAGGCCTTGGCCCTGTCGCTTCAAGCACAGGAATACCAAGTGTCCTTCCCCAAAAGACCGAAACTCTCAGGCACCGAGAATCTGGAGATTGCGGATTCAGAGGGCGAGAGTAGCTTATCGGAACTAGAATCGGATGCCGATATGGATGGAATGACGGAAGATGACTCGGAGCCGTGGCAGCCGCAACAGGTCTCAAAACGGACTCGTCGATCTACGGATAAGAACGTGATTCCGAACAGTGAAGATGGGGATTCGCTCCTGGACGATGGATCCGAAGATGCGAATCTGTACATCACCAGCTCGGGTGACTCGACCGACTCAGAAGCTGAGATCCCTCTGATTGAACAGAGGCCACCGAGACGTGCAACTACCTCGGGTTCGAGAGGTCAAAGACGCCAGCCTCGGACTCGCGTTCCTACACGTGAATTCGTCGAACGGCCGGCGACACAGTCATGGATGACTTATCGCGTGAGTGCTTTAATTCAGCAATTTAGAAGTGATATTGACATTTTCTATAGGCGTTCAAAGAACGCAAGAAGCTTGAAAAGCAGCATCCCCTTATTGTCTCCATGTGGGACGAGCTAAGGAACACACCTCCCATCACGCCTGTACCCGCCGAGCAGCCTGTGGGTATCTCGAGAACGCTCAAGTCATTCCAGCTTGAAGGTCTCAACTGGATGATGCGCCAAGAGCAGACTCAATACAAAGGTGGTCTGCTGGGTGACGAAATGGGTATGGGAAAGACCATTCAGGCAGTGTCCTTGTTGATGTCCGACTATCCTGCGGGCAAACCATCTCTGGTCGTCGTGCCGCCTGTTGCCTTGATGCAGTGGCAGTCGGAGATTGCGGTCAGTTTCTTTTTCTACGGGCTAGAGTTTCGAATCTGACCATATCCAGGCATACACCAATGGCCAGCTCAAAGTTCTGGTGTACCATAATTCAAACAGCAAAGTCAAGGGTCTTACGAAGAAAGATCTTTTAAAATACGATGTGATCATGATATCTTGTACGTCCCCTGGAAGGTTGAAACGATGACGTCTAATTTCGATAGACTCTGGTCTCGAATCGATCCATCGCAAAGAATGGAAAGGTTGGAATCGCAGTGACGGGATCGTGAAGGAAGATAGTATGTGATGAAATGACGCATACATGGACCGGTCTTGCTAACATCAAAAGGCGTCATCCACTCCATCGACTATCACCGTCTTATTCTTGACGAGGCCCACAGTATCAAGGTATGGCTCTACGTCGTGCGAAGAATAGGTAGTCTCTTACTTACGTCGACAGCAACGAACCACAAGTGTTGCTCGCGCGTGTTTCGCGCTTAAAGCTAGCTACAAGTGGTGTCTATCGGGAACGCCTGTGCAGAACCGAATCGGTGAATTCTTTTCTCTCTTGCGCTTTCTTGAAGTCCGACCCTTTGCTTGCTACTTCTGCAAACAATGCAAGTGCCAGCAACTCCACTGGTCCCAAGATGCCGAGAAACGATGCACTACTTGCAATCACAGGTATGGGCATCTTACCTTGGACAATTCTTCATCTACTAACGTACATCACAGTGGGTTTAGCCATGTCTCGGTATTCAACCAGGAGATCCTGAATCCAAGTGAGTTTGGGCGGCGTGCATCACTTTACTGTCTCTAACCCGTAGCAGTCACCGAGCGAGACAATCCGGAAGTGAGAAAGGACGCCTTGGCCAAGTTACGTCTCATCACCGACAGAATCATGCTCCGACGAGTCAAACGGGACCACACTGCTTCGATGGAGCTTCCGCCAAAGCGGTGAGTGGTATTGTTATATCTCGGTGCTTACCACAGCACTAACGTTGTCTAGGGTGATTCTGCATAACGAGTTTTTTGGAGACATTGAACGTGACTTCTCTCGAAGCATCATGACGAACTCTACTCGGAAGTTTGATACTTACGTGAGCAGGGGTGTGATGCTCAATAACTACGCCAATATTTTTGGACTTATCATGCAGATGCGTCAAGTGTCGAACCATCCGGATCTCATTTTGAAGAAGCACGCCGAGAATGGCCAGAATGTTTTGGTGTGCAATATCTGTGATGAGCCGGCCGAGGAAGCGATCCGGTCTCGTTGTCACCATGAATTCTGCCGTCAATGCGCGAAAGACTATATTCGGTCCTTCGACGCTGACTCTGTTGTCGATTGCCCCCGCTGCCATATTCCGCTCTCTATCGACTTTGAACAGCCGGATATTGAGCAGGAAGAGGAGCATGTCAAGAAGAACTCCATCATCAACCGGATCCGTATGGAAGACTGGACATCTTCAACGAAGATCGAGATGCTTGTTTACGAGCTTTACAAACTGCGAAGCAAGAAGCAGACTCACAAATCGATCGTATTCTCTCAGTTTACGTCGATGCTCCAGCTTGTGGAATGGCGTCTTCGTCGGGCTGGTTTCAACACGGTCATGCTTGATGGAACCATGACTCCGGCCCAGCGTCAGAAATCGATCGACTATTTCATGAAGAACGTGGATGTAGAGGTGTTCCTCGTCTCTCTCAAGGCTGGAGGTGTTGCTCTGAACTTGACCGAGGCGTCGAGGGTATTTATTGTTGACCCGTAAGTTCCTATCAGATGGTGGGTCGGACTTGTACTAATGGAGATTTCAGGTGGTGGAATCCGGCCGCCGAGTGGCAGAGTGCGGATAGATGTCACCGAATTGGTCAACGGCGCCCTTGTGTGATCACGCGGCTGTGCATCGAGGATTCGGTGGAATCTCGCATTGTGTTGCTTCAAGAGAAGAAGGCCAACCTGATCAACGGCACGATCAACAAGGATCAGGGCGAAGCGCTGGAGAAGCTCACGCCAGAAGATATGCAGTTCTTGTTCCGGGGAGCGTGAAGAGAGGGTTTGGCGACGGTGGCTTGCCGGAACAAGCGATGAAATGAAACGAGCTATGAAGCAGGTCGATTCTTCTTTTCTTTTCTTTCGTTTGCTCCTTGTTTTCTTGTTCTTCTTTATCTCTTGTTCAAATCTTGTTGGAGTCTCGGTGCATTTCTCTACGCCTGTGTTTCCGAAGATGCTATGCGATGATACACCCTACAGGAATAAATACAGAACCGGCTTCAAGAAAGATCGACGTCTGTAGATGCTTTAATATGAAAGATATTTTCCAACTCGACCTGCAGATATACTCCGTAGGGCTGCTGGCGTTCGTCGCCTTGTTTCAGCCCTACGCACGGATGATGGACCGGACCACGTGAGACAGGGCTGTCGTATTATCCGAAAGGTCCCGAGGAGGCGGATGGGGAGATCGGTTGAACCGGAGCATCGAACAGGGACCAGCCGGATGGGTTCTATAGTCGAGATCACGGCGAGAGAAGGGGTGAAAGGCAGTTCACGAGCCTGACAGCCCCGACAGAGGAACTGATGAGGAGCGATCGCCAAAGCTTGGCCTTGCTTAGTTGGGGGGCAACCGAGGAGCCGTCGGAGCCCCTCGTTAGTCAGAAAGCACGCTCTTGCCTAGGTGGGTAGGTAAGTACCTAGGTACCCTGTCAGGGGTCTGTGTCCGACCTTATCGTCATCATCACTCCTCTTTTGACTTCCTTCACACTTTCTAGCCTCTCCTCCTTTTGTCCTGTCGTCCTTTCTCCTCTTTGTATATCCTCACATCCTGATCTCTACTTTCACCCGGCAAGTGGGGTCGGTAGGCTTCCCCTGAGGTTGTTTATTATTATCAATCTTTTCACCCAAGCCACGGGTTCAGCAATCGTCTCACTGCATTTGATCCGCCCTGCAGCCAACAGACTCCACCTGATTCCCTCCCCCGCTGATCCCTGAAATGGTGTAGGCAGCAGCGAAAAATCAGCCCTGAATTTTGAGGGATTCGAAACCCACGTCATCTGTCCTACTACTACTAGTACCCTGACTCGTCCTCACTACGAGTCCTACTGTTGAGATGGACGAGGAGCCGCAGCCTCAAGCCCGTCCGGCGCATGTGACTGACAAGTATGCACCCAAGATAGTCGACAAAACAGAACACCTCCACGACCGTGCCGTCGCCATGAAGGCGGCTCTTACCGGCGGCGATGCGGCGCATCACCAGCCTGCGGGGGGCTTTGATAGTACCCCGTTCCCTCCGGCACCTCCCGGCTACACCCTCAAGTTCACCTTCCATCGGGGCATCAATCTGCCTTGTGCGGATTTTGCGAGTTTCTCCTCCGATCCGTATGTAGTCGCGCAACTGACGGTCAACCTTCCTCAGCGACACAAGGAGGATCCCCCGTTGACCTTCCGGACCCCGACGGTGCGCAAGAATCGGGATCCGATTTGGGGCAGCGAATGGGTTGTCGCGAATATTCCCGAGTCCGGATTTCAGCTCAAGTGTTGCGTGTACGACGAAGACGCAGCGGATCACGATGACCGTCTCGGCAATGCGTACGTGGAGGTGAACTCCATTAATGACGACTGGCCGGGTCTCAAGGAGCGGACCTTCAAGGTGAAGAAACGCACCGGCAGTAAGCGGGTGTATCTTTTCGGGAACATCGCCGCGCTGGCCTCCGGACGCCTGGATGTGGGTTCCCACCTCATGATCAGCGTCGAATGCCTGGGGAGAACGCCGGGCACGGAGGGCGCCCATGTGTATACAGTTGGACCGAATTATTGGTTCAAACACTTCTCCCCGTTGATCGGCCGATTGACGGGGACCAAGGATGAAGTGCAGAGCCAGGATGGAAATCGCCAGACGAGCCGTTATAAGTGTGTCCCTCTGTTCGATGCGTTTTGGCGGAAATTTGCTCACCGATTATTGCTTGTGTCTAGTTTTCAAGCGATTCAGATTCAACTCAAGGGGCCGGTCCCCGAGAAGTTGTACCATCGCTACGTCGAGTTCAGACCTTTTGTAGCCGGAATGTTCACGTCGCAAAGCCTTCGAGGACGCATCCTCAATCGAGCGCTTCATCACCAACATCGGCGAATCTACAACTTTGATAGATCGACCTTGAATGGCCAGTTCGAATCCCCGTGTACCGCTCTGACGCAGAAGTTTCTCGAATTTGTCCATCATGCCCAAGGAGGGCGTATCTTTACTTACGTTCTCACCCTCGATGCCCAGTTGCGCTTCACGGAGACAGGAAAGGAGTTCGGGATTGATCTGTTGAGCAAGCATACGATGCACAGTAATGTTTCCATCTACATCGCCTATTCGGGCGAGTTCTTCGTTCGCCGCCGCAAACATCACCGCCATTCCCTTTCGCAAACTGAGATTCCCGTGGAGGAACCGGTCGAGGAGACGGAAGCATCGACCAACCCGGCCGATTACGAATTATTCATCGACAATGACAGCGGCACGTACCGACCAAACGGCGAGTACCTGTACTTGCTGAAGGAATTCCTTTCTACTAATCTTCCGGGCCTTCATATCACGACTCTGGATTGTGTCAAGGATGCGGAGCGCATGGGAGCGATGAAGAACGAACAGCGCGAGTTTAAGAAGAATCAGGGATTTCAAATGACCTTTCTCCAGCAGTCGGGCAGCAGCTCGTCGCTTTCACTATCGAGTTCAGACGAGGAGAAGCTCGACGAGCGCAGTGGGGTATCGCTCAAGAAACGCGGAGAGTTTGCGCAAAAGGTGCATGATATGCGAGACGTGAAAGGTCAGGTTATGAAGTGGGCCCAAGCAGAGGACGAGCGCCATCAGGCTCACTCGAGTCGCCGTCATTCAGCGCCGAAGACAACTGTCACGGCCGATGCTTCAGTGTCCAAGCCTGTCGACAAGCTCGGAGCGGATGAGCTTTGCAGGGACCATAGCCGGTGATCCTGCGTTGTCGCATTAATCCTTTCCTGGCTGCGCACCAGGAGTATACTCGAGCAGACACGACGTGGTGTTGTACTCTTCACGCCGTCTAGGTTGTTCTTTGATTACTGGTTTCACGGAGCAACATGTTGATATTCATAGCATGGAGGATACCCCGACCCTTTCGTTTATCGTTGTATTTATTCTTCCGCAAATGGGATATGCCGTCTCCAGACCGGGTATTCCCTTCACCCTAGGGTGTTTCATAATTATTCGTTTATTGTTACTCCTTCTAAATACAGCCTAATCTTTGATTCCTTCCTCTGGATTCATTCTCGAGGGTGGGGGTGATGGCCTCGTAGCGGCATTGTCACGCCTTTAGCGTCCTGTCGTCTGATATGATCGAGTGACTGGTCTTTGACCCCGAGACGATATAAATAGACAAGACAATGACTATGCTCCAACGGACTTCTACCGTGGGGTTCAGTCCATTGTATGCGCTTTCACACGATACTAGGTAGAAATCGACGTAAAAAGGCTGGTGGTTGGGACGTATATATAGACCCAAGGATGTTTAGTGCGCGGGACAAGCAAATCCTCAGGCACAGCCCAGCAGTCTAAAGTAAGCGCCTCCCCCCTCGTGATTCAACTCAATCATTTAATCATTACTCCCTCCCCCGTTTATTCACCTTCTCGTCGTCTCTCCTCCTCTCGTCAACTCGAGTTGTCTTCCCGATCATTCTCTTCTCCCATCTGTGTTGGTCCTGCCACGCCTTCTGTTGTTCCCGTCTCCACGATAAACACGGCTTTCCCGCTCAATCTGCCATACAGCCCCTCTCTCCATCTCCGACCGCATTAACACCTCCCACTGCCGTCCCCAGCCCTCGCGTCATACCTGATATCGCTGATTACCCGATATTCAACCGCTGCCACGCATCTATGACCTGATTCCAGCCTGGATGACGGCTCAGTTGCTTCGGAACGTTTGCGACCGCGTCGACGTGCAACCCGTCCGCTCCTCCGACCGTGGGCGCGCAAACCATCGATGAGCATCTTCGCCTCTGTTGTGCCTTTTTTCGACAGTATATCGTCAGCGGCGATCGCATAACGCTACCGATTCACCATGGGGAATGTTGGAAGCCGTCTGGAAGACTCTGGGAGTCTCTATTTCAAGGACCAAACCAGGTGTATGGATCCTCCCATTTGTTTCTGGACCGCCGTTGTCGGACTGGATGATAAGGGCGCTAACAAGTATGTCTGCAACAGTTACGATCGCATCGGTGACGATTACGAATTCCAAGAATCGCGTCTTGTTGAACCTCATTCCGAACGCCTTTCCCGCCACCCGATACACGGCGAAGCGCGATCCCGGGGATGACACCCCGATAGAGTACATACAGGTAACATCGAGATCGTCGAGGGTCGATTTGTTCATGGGCTGACCGGTTTCGCTTTGTAGGACCCCGATCTTCCTCCGTCCGCGGGAGCGCCCTCCTTTCTTTTGCGCCTATCCAACGAGGACGAGCTATGCTTCAAATTCACCTTCATACTGAGACAAACGCAGACGGGCAATGTCGCCAATTCCACAGTCAATGGCGTTTCGACCTCGCTCCCTGAAGTGGCGGACACGGTGCTGACGGGGCTGACCTTCGCCCATGCGCCGAACTCGCGGGAGTTGGATAATCTGATCACGCGGGAGTTCCATGCCAACCCGAACCTGCAGAATAACCCCAACGTGCAGTTCATGGGCGACTATTCGACTAGTGGTAGCCCGTCGGTGCAGTTCGAGTGGTCCTGGAAATGGAAACCCCCCAAGCCGACTGAGGACAAAGGCGGCGGCTGGAGAAACAGCTGCAGCTTCCTGGACTACGACCAGCGGACCAACCGGCTGAACACCCTCGCCCATTTCTCGTTCTGGGTGCACAATAACGTTCGCTCGCTTCCCAGCCCACAGATCCTGTCGCCGAACCTGGAAATCAGCGTCCCGCCTCGGAACCGCATGCCTTCTTCGCAGTCGGTTCTCTCGCATTCTAGTGATGTGGAATCGGTTTCCAACCCTCAGATTCCTCCTACTACACCGCCAGAGGTGGGTGATACACAGGTCCCCGCCCCTCCACCTCCCGTCAAGGTTGACCTTCAACATTCGCGGCCTGGCGAGGACATGAGTGCGGTGGAGGATGGCCCCTTGTTCCGGGCGACGATGAAAGCGCTCGAGCAGAAGACCGGGAATATGCGCGCCAAGATTAAGAAGGTCCTGAAGAAGGCCGAGGCGGCTCAGCAGGCCCAGACGATCTGCAATGATGCGGTCGATGCGTTTCTTTCCGCTTTGAGCGAAGCGTCGACCACCAATGCCAACGCTATCCAACCGGCTTTGGACCACTACTTTGAGAAGACTGCACGGCAGATCTTGAGCTACGAAAGGCTGAATACGATCCAGCTCCAACGGCTGGTCATCGAGCCACTGATAAAGCTCTACAACAACGACATCAAACAAGCCGAGGCGAAGAAGAAGGAATTTGAGGAAGAAAGCAGAGACTACTACGCCTACGTGGGACGTTATTTAGGACAACGCCAAGACTCGATGAAAGAGAAGAAGCGGGCTGAGAGTGATTCCAAATATCAGGCCAAGCGTCGGAATTTTGAGCTGAAGCGCTTCGATTACTCTTCCTTCATGCAGGATCTCCACGGAGGTCGTAAAGAACAGGAAGTTCTTTCGTACCTGACCAAGTACGCCGATACGCAAGCCAAGAGTTTCCTTGCTACCGCGAAGAAGGTGGACGATATGATTCCTCAGCTGGATGCTCTCATCCACGAAGTCAATCAAGTCGACAAAGAGTTCCAGTTCCAGCGGACGGAACGAGAAGAGAAGCGAAGAGCGTTGGAAACAGGCAGCAATACGTATCTTGAGCCTGACCAATTCACGACCACGGGTGTATCCTCAATCCCAGGGAGCGCCAATGGAGGGCAGAAGGCAGATAGCGAACTCGGCCGTGCGGACAGTACGGGGTCACAACTCCGGAGTGTGACCAGCAATACATCTTCCTTGTCCATACAAGGAAGTTCCTCTGGCGTGAACAGCTCGGCTCCGACGTCCATCCCACCGTCGGCAGCGGGTTCTTGTGGTATGCCTGACCTTACATTGACATTGGTTTGGGGCGCAACTGACAACCTACAGGGCAGCAAAAGAAGGAAGGGCTTCTTTGGGCACTGTCCCGACCAGGGTCGCACATCGATCCTAAAGGCATCAACAAACAGGCGTGGCATAAGTAAGTACCAGCCTACCCGATGTAACGAGGAATTGTATACTGATGCTGAACTAGGTTCTGGATTGTGCTCGATCAAGGAAAGCTCACCGAGTACAGCAACTGGAAGCAGAAGCTCGACCTGCACATGGACCCGATAGATCTGCGGATGGCATCAGTCCGCGAGGCGCGGAACGCCGAACGCCGGTTCTGCTTTGAAGTCATTACGCCCCAGTACAAACGCATATACCAAGCTACCTCGGAAGAGGATATGGGCAACTGGATCCGGGCCATCAACAATGCCTTGCAAAGCGCTGTGGAGGGCCGCGGCATGCAGTCTCCTCCGCTCTCGTCCAGCAATGAATCGTCATTTGGTCGAGATATTGGGTCGGTGTTGACGGGCAAAAACTCATACGGGGGCCAACCGTCCCATTCGACTAGCTCGACCAGCAACGTTACTCGGCGTACGACGGTAGGTGCACGACCGAGTTACGTCCGGGGCGATAGTCATAGCTTCGAGGAAAACCCCTCCAAGCTGCTACAGACGGTTCGGGATGCCGACCAAGGCAATAATTGGTGTGCGGATTGCGGGTCTGCGTCCAAGGTGGAATGGGTCTCTATCAACCTGGGGATCGTTCTGTGCATCGAGTGTAGCGGCATCCACCGATCTCTAGGGACGCACATCTCGAAGATTCGGTCCCTGACGCTGGATGTGAATTCGTTCTCAAACGACATTGTCGAGATCCTTTTACAGGTGGGCAACCGGGTGAGCAACATGGTGTGGGAGGCCATGCTGGACCAGTCTCAGAAGCCGTCGGCCTCATCGACGCGGGAACAGCGGCTGAAGTTCATCACCGCCAAGTACAGCGAACGAGCCTACGTGCAGCCGCTACCATCGCCTTTGTCGCATTTTGCGACGCCCGATGAAACGCTGCTCGCGGCGATCAAGAAAAACGACATCCAGGGTGTCCTCTACGGCATCGCGCTACGTGCCAACGTCAACGTCACTGACCGTTCCCGCAATACCCATGCGGTCTTCCTCGCCCTCGCGGCTGCCGACCCGGCATCCCCCGCGTCCAGCGTTTCCGCACGATCCAGCACTTCCGTGAAAGCCATCCCCTTCCCCATTGCGGAACTGCTTGTCCAGAATGGGGCGGAGATCCCGTCGCAGTCGCCTCCGATCCCGCTGTCTCCGGCGGCGCAGCTCTATCTGAGCCAACGAACGGCCCGAGTGTCTGCGTTTGGCCTGCCCGCTACGTCTGGATCCCAGAAAGGTACAGCAGACACGCTGGGCTCACTGCCTAGCATCCGGGGCAGCAGTGAGAACACATCGTCGTCGCAGGGACCGAGCTCGCTGGATAGCAAAGAGCGCGAGAAGTTGCACAAACGGGGCAGTGCTGGCGCTCGGTTTGCAGGCAAGGTGGCGTCTCTGGGGATGGACCGGTAGGTGGATGCCGGCGATGCTGGCGTTAATGGTAATTATACATAATGAGCTTGGACATGATGTGATGTGATGTGATGTGCGGTCACGGTTGACGGGGTTGACGGTTGATGGGTGACGGACGGTTGATGCTTCGATATACATTCTTGCACTTGCTGTTGTTGTTTATATGTTGTCTACAGCGACTGTAGTTACGCCGAGGCGTTATGATTGCGATGTATTCTTACCGATAGTTGATATCAATGACAAACAGACAGACAGACAGAGACTGCGTGCCCTTAAAGCCCGGGACGTGTCCCTGGACCGAAGGATCGATCCTCTCTGATCGAGCTTCATGCCCAGAGCGAAGATCACAAGGCGCCGTCTCCTCGAACGGGAAGCCCGGGCCATTCACGGCGTGGCAGATGAGGCCGTGTGGACATTGCGGTTGAGATGGATGGCTTGAAGACACGTAACCGTGCTCCATGATGGACGGTGGCAGTGGAGCGAGCGCCAGCGGCGGCGGCGGCGTAGGTAGGTCAGGCACGGTACCTAAGTAGGTAGGTAAGTACTCACTAACTAGTTAGCTCGCGATTGTCGAGTTTGCCACTGTGCTGTATGGCGTGTGCCCCTGTCTAGCCCGTCTAGGTAGAGCCAGTGGGGCCGTGCATCTCCTTTCACTCCTTTCATATTGAGTGGCTCGTAAGTCGGTGCCCTAGTACGTAGCTAGGTACTGACTAGGTAACCTACTCGTAGGGAGGAAGGATGCAAGCGGTGTGAATGTGACCCATGGCGGGCCCTGGGCGCCAACGGTCCCCTTACACCACCACCTACGTCAGTGGTGGCTGGGCGAAGCAATTGCATTGTCGGAATTGTATCGGTATGGATGGAGGGAGAAGGGAGAAAATGGAGGGTGATCGGGGTTAGGTTCATGGGGGATGACGTCATGGGCCGAGGTGCATTCCCCGCTTCGTTTTATTTTCTTTATCATTTCATTTGGATTGTTTGTATGATTTGCTCTGCGGTTTTTTCCTTGAGGGTCGCTTTGGTGATCTTCCAGCGAAGGATGAGGGTTGATCCACGGTGGCGAATTTGAGGGTATTACTATACTCCATAGTTATTGTTAGGGGAATTGAGGCAAAGGCCGACAGGTGATGGAGACATGGAGACGGCTATCTTTTCGGTGTAGTTATTCTGACCATCTTAGCCACTAATTCCGAGGGGTACCAGTATACTCCGTAGTAGTGGGAGGATGATGGGCGGGGCGGATAAAATATCCGTGCCAGTCGGACCGGGTACATGGGACTACCCTATACGGGAGTATGGAGTAGATAGGTCATCGTCAATAATTCTTAATAATGGGTAGGTCAGTAGAGGAAATTGGTAGTCCAGTAGGATGGCACTTCATCAGTACAGGTACAGGTAGAGGAGTATCTGGGTGGTGATAGTGTACTCCGTAGTATCGACTCGAATGTTCTAGCATGAGAGGCGTCTACACTTGGATCAGGTGGCTGAGGTGATCTAGTTATATTCCATACTCTGTCGGTCAATGATCATAGTAATAATAGAATAGAATATAGTATTATAAATATTGTACAATAATCATCATCACGAGTACTCTGTAGTACTCCGTATACTACTACTACCTCGAAAATAATAAAAACAAAAAAAGAAATGATTGGCAGGGATCTCACCCGTTTGGTGGAGCCATCCCGACTGTGACTTCTGCAGCTTTTGCCTAAACGAGTGCCTCCCATCTTCTCCCTTCTTCTCTCAATTCGAATTATTCATGATCTGTCCCGATCCAACTCCTCCTCCTCCTCCGAGTTACACCGCGCTCTCCAAGCCATCGTCTCTCCCCCACGTTACAGCCACGCACCGCTGTGGAGACGACCGGTCCATGGTGATCGCCTTGGACTACGGACTAGGACCTACCGTGGCTACGGCCTCTCTCGCATATTCTCCGGAGTTCTCTGAACTCCACGAAATAACATCCAACGCCACAGTCAACAACGCAATGGCATGATCACACTGCGTGAATGTGATGTGAATGCCATGGGTGGGGGTGCTGTTGGGCGTCTGCGTTCTCAACGCCACGTCTGCACTGTGGGCGGCCGATTCTCCCATGTCAATCCGTCAATCCATCCATCCTACCCACCAGTCTGACGCCCTCTCCCCTCCAGATCGGACCGGGCGCCCTAGTGGGAATGTACCCCCTGTTGCTCCTATTCTTACGGGCGTCCCCTTGCGGACGGTTCGGCGGACGCTTGGGCGCCCACCGCCAATAACCATGGGCTTCCTAGGTCATCACAACCACCGCCCCATTCGTGCTCCACCACTGCCCCCCTCTCTGTAAAGAATGCCTCAAGAATGGTGTGGAAACACCGCGCTCCCGGGTGCTTCCTTATCAGGCGCTGTCTGGGGACAGTTGACGGGATGAGTGGCAAACCCTCTGATCCCACTGATCCCTACCTACTATTCAGTATCATGCCCTTCTGCCGCGTCTACAACAATATGCAGAATGGTGTCATGCCGATGGTTCAGACGACGCCCTTGACCACCATTGGTACAGCGTACAATGGCCCTAGCCATTGCAGCTTTGTACAACCCAATCCCAAGCTGCACTGCTGCAGATCTGAATTGTATCTGTAGATCCCATCCACCGCGGATAGATTTGACTTGCAGCTGTCACCCCCTTATCCGGCTCTGATCCAGCGGATATTTGCCTAGTTGCCACTCGTTTCCCGCCATGAGGCTATCCATGAATGCTTTGTACAGAGTAAGGCCGTGATCCACTATAAAATTCCTTCCTGTCGCTCGACCATCCGTGGTTCCGCTCCGCCCACCTACTACACTTCTTCAACGGCACCCAATCACGAATGCGACTGGGTCAGCCATCGATGCCATCGATGCCATCGATGCACATCATACTTCCTTTCTGCTAATCAGATCGGGATCATTTTTTTTTTCTCACTGTAGTCCAGAAGATTCGAGTCTAATCTCGGCACCTCCTTTTCTTCTCATCATCTAGCCGCTGAACGATCGATCCTCAAATTCTACTGCGGATCGTGTGGTCGACCTCTCTTCGTTCAGATGGATTCCATCTCCATCTAGTATCGATCTCGATCCACTCTTCTGTCCGCCTCCCATCCATAAGGAGTGCCTTCAGCCACATTCCTGAAGGTACTGGTGTCCTCGGTCGAGCCGACACCCCAAAGGCCCTCTCTGACACGCCTTCACTCTGCCGTGCCTCACCATTCGCATGTGCGTGACTCAAGCCACTGAAGCAAGGTTCCATCAGCGGCCAATCTTAGCGGTGGGGACCGCTGTAAGCCCAACAGCCACGCCAGCTATAAAGGACGAGGACTCTTTTCCAGAATCTCGTCGGGAATTAAGCCGGTGCGTCAACATCGTCAGGCCAATGTGCCCCAGCGAGCCCCATCAGTTCCCGCTCCGGTCGTTGACAGCTAAAAAAAGCCTCTGCCTGTCTGGACGTCGGCCACTTGGAGCAGATCCCGTTGGTCTCGTCCCGTTCAGTCTGGAGGGGAGGGTCCAGATCCGTCTCCAGAGTTACCCGTTTCAGTTCTAGTGGGCGTGGTGTTTACGCCGCAGAGAACGCACCAGAACAGCCACAGCCCTAAAATATTTATCCTGAGGTGTTGTGCCTCCTGGGACTCGGAAATCAGACCACAGCCACTGGCGTCAGGATACCGCCATTTCAATTTCGTGTCTCTATAACAACTCCAGTTCGTTTCTTCTTCATTAGATTTGACTTTGTGCTCTCCTTCATCCTTTTCTCTATATTAACTTTTCTCTTCGCCTTCCTTTGCTTCCTTCCCAAGTTTTGGTGAGAAAGTCCAACAGCGTCAACAACAGGTAAGTCTTCCGACCCCCTTCGTTGAACTCCCTTTCCTCTTGATCCTACTTTGTCTTCATCTTATGAACACTGTGTCCCTACCGTCTTACCTATTCCTGCCTACACATAATGAAGATGGAATTCATTTGATCCCATTTTGACACCTGTCCATATAATCTTCCATCCGAGTACCTTTTATCCTTCTGTTCACCCGCTTGTCCAGGCAGGGAATCAAGGAACCGACGACTTGGAGGCTGATGCCCTTGATGAGACGTCGGGTCCTACCCTTCTGCGCGCACCAGAGGGAGCGCTCCCGTATCATCCTATCTCTGATAGCACCTAGCCATGATAGTACCTAGTAGGTACAATCCTGCTCCATCTCAGACAGGCTGATCAGCGCTCCTGCTCCTCAGGCCTCACGACCAGACGGGCGTGGGGCGAATATCGGAGTGTGTGCGTGCGTGGAAATGCACATTTTCCTGTGTAGTCCCCTTTAGCGCCATATTCGCAGACTGCCCGAACACGGCCGGAAAACTTGCCCGGAATATCATCAAGGCTTGATGCTGATATGGTGCTTCATAATCTTGACTTCCTTGACTTCTTTGACTTCTTTTGCCTCTCTGTTCCTTCCCTCTCAAGACCGTAACTTTCCGTACGCACGTTGCCCCTTCCGCTTGCCCACTATCCTAAGCGAGCATCTGCACCTCCTTGTCATATACACACGCCCTGCTTAGAGTATAACACTGACGGCTTCTGCTGGTCACAGTTCTTGCATCATTTTCTCGAAAAGTGCTTAATATATCCAACCGTACTATCATCGGCGAAAGGCCCTCGAGCCTAGGAGGTAGGTCCCCCAACCCCGTCCGCGTGCGTTGTGAAGGACAAGTCTGCAGTAGAGAGGCCTGGACTAACAGCCTCGAGACTCTCCTCTGTTCTCTGCTTTTGACTCATTTTGCGTTTGCCATGAGTCCGACAGACAGTAATGCTTCTTCAGATCCATCCAAGTCGACTCGGGAGGATGCCCCAGCAAAAGATGTGCGCCAGTCAGACCAGCGACATCGCGCGACCAACGCTCCTCAACTCTCTGGTACGTATCCCCCAGCGCCGTGGATGGTATCGTATCCTGCATACTCAACATGGTCGCCTCCAGGCACGGATCCCCCCTGGCAGACTGCGACTCCCTCGGACAGCGAGATGTATCCCTATCCGGAACAACCCTACATGACGCCCGGTCGACACGAGCCGTCCTCCGCCTTGAACATGGGCGACATGCAGTCGTCGATGCCCGCCTACCAGCATCGGCCGATGTTCTTCGAGCACCACGCCATCCCCCATCATTACATCGCCCCGAACCCGGCCCAGGGCCCGATCTACCCCGTCCACCCCATGTCACCCTACGCCGCCCCAGCGCCCAACACCGGCATGACCTTTACGACCTCCTACCAGAACTTCTATCAACCGTACTATCCGCAGCAGCATCCGAACTCGCCCATGCACCATACGCCGCACGCCTATCCGTCGCAAGTCGCCAGCTCGCAGATGCACGTGGGCGTCCCGCTGATGAACCAGTCCGGCGGCTATGCGCACGGCTACTACCCCCCGCCGGTGTACATGTCCTCGCGGCAGGGACAGAAATCGGCGCCGCCAGACCCGTCGGGACAGACGCACCCGCGCACATCGACCTCCAGCAAGCAGACGACGTCCAAACCGCAAAGCGCGCCGCCTCGCACCGACCCGAAACTGGAGTATGATGTCTCCAAGACGATTGTGGACGGATCGACGCCGATGAGGAGCGCGCCGGCTACATCTCCTTCGAAAGGTAAGTCCCAGCAGTCCCAGATATGAGTGTATTAACCGAGCGACGGTTTGACACCAGATCTCTGTGAGCGCAGCTGACCAAATAACTAGCCCGAGGCCCGCTCCGGAAACCGAAACAGTCCGGCCATGCCTTGTGGGTGGGCAATCTCCCCTCTGGCACGAACATCGTCGATCTGAAGGATTACTTCGCCCGCGAGATGAACAAAGACCTCGAGAGCGTGTTCCTCATCTCGAAGAGCAACTGCGCCTTTGTCAACTACAAATCCGAGAGCGCCTGTCTCGCGGCGCTGGCGAGATTCCACGACTCCCGCTTCCAGGGGGCGCGGCTCGTCTGCCGCTTGCGCCGCGCAGACCTGACGCCCGGGTCTGCGCCTGACGGGATGGACTTTTCCGCTACGACTTCGCTCCGCGGCGGAGACGGCGAGGACGGCACCACGACGGATCAGGCCGAGTCTCGGAGCGCAGAGAGAAATGTGGAGGAGAGACGGTCTGATGTACGGGTGCCGAATCGATACTTTATTGTCAAGAGCTTGACGGTGGAGGATCTCGAGCACAGTCGGCGGAGCGGAGTCTGGGCGACGCAGTCGCACAATGAAATTGCCCTGAACGAGGCATACGAGGTAAGCAAGCACCCCTGCACACCCCCATTTACAGTGATAGCCAGAGCTGACCAGTTGGCTTTCTAGACGGCCGATAATGTCTACCTGATCTTCTCCGCGAACAAATCCGGCGAATACTACGGCTACGCGCGAATGATGTCGCCAATCCAAGCCGACGAGACCCTCGCACTACAAGCGCCCCCCCGACCCGAGAACATCCCCACGGAACCCGAACCCTTGAGCGTGACGTCCACGCCGGCCAGCGCCACGGCGCCGAACGGGCGGATCATCGATGACCCGGCGCGCGGCACGATCTTCTGGGAGGCCGACACGTCGGAGGAGGAAGACGACGGCCGCAGCGAGAAGAGCGCGGGAGGCGACGTGGTGGAAGAGCCGGCCGAGTCCGGGTTCCAGTCGATTGGGGGCCCGTTCCGCATCCAGTGGTGCTCGACCGAACGAGTGCCCTTCCACCGCACCCGCGGCCTGCGCAACCCCTGGAACGCGAATCGCGAGGTAAAGATCGCGCGCGACGGCACCGAGATCGAGCCGAGCGTGGGCGAGCGGCTGATCCAGCTGTTCCATACGCCGCACGCTGGGTGATGAGCCGTGTTGCATGAACTAAACTACACTACACTACACTAAACTACGAAAGCATTGCGTACGGAGTATATGACCGACCGCTTGATTTGATTTGGTTATGGTTTGAGAGTGGGTATATACGTCCTAGTCGTTTTGTCTTTGTTTTCTTTATACTATACAAAATTAGACTCATGAATTAATGTGTTTATGTTTATGTTTATATGCAAACGAGGCATGTTCAGACTGACACTGATCATTCCGATGCCACGTCTAGGGTTATAACCTGCGGAATTAGCCAAAGCACCCTCTCTCGCCGCCGTCTCCACGGATCCGGGTTGAAAATCTCCTCCGATGCGATGGCCTGATGACGAAAATTCATCGTCGCCGCAGTTGACGTCACGACTACCGTGCGGCCAGCACCACGAGATGCACCACTCCGAACGTCTTGTTATACAGCCGACTAATATTGGACAGGGAGGAATACGCATGCAGAGCACAAGGATGCAATCATGTGAATAGGCGGCCGTGTCTAGAACAGCGTGGTTGGAGCGGGATGGCGACGGATCAACAACCGCAGAGATATACAACCAACTAGTATACTCTGTAGATCTCGTCGTCATCCGGACCTTCCGGACATCCCATCTCGCTCAATACATGGCAGGCCTGTCCATGACGGATCCGGTGGCAATCTCCGCAGCTCATGACTTAACTAGGTAGATAGACTAATAATGATAATGAGTATATAAAAAACTTGCACTCAACCCCGCCTGCGTACACAGTTCTATCCACACTCTCCAACCCCCCGATTCAATATCTCCAGTATACATCCATCAATATGAAGTGGCCGTCCTTCATCCCGCGCAATAAATTCGACACGGGAGGCCACTACCGGTTCAGCACGGATGCCGACGCCGAGAAAGCCGGCACGGTCGACAGCCCCGTGCCCTTCCTAACCTGGCGGTCCTTCTTCCTCGGCGCGTTCGTCTCTATCGGAGGCATCATCTTCGGCTACGACACGGGCCAGATCTCGGGGTTCCTGGAGATGGACAATTTCAAGCGCCGCTTCGGACAGCTGCAGAGCGATGGGACCTGGAAGTTCAGCAATGTGCGGTCTGGGCTGATTGTTGCTATGGTGCGTCCTTACCCCATATGTTGACCCAATGGGGGGTTATAGTCTAAGGTACTGACCTGCTCTGTTAGTTGTCGATTGGCACGTTGCTGGGCGCCCTGATGGCCGGCCCCCTGGCAGACCGCATCGGCCGCAAATGGTCCATCGCGTTCTGGTGCGTGATCCTGCATGTCGGGCTCATCATCCAGATCTCGTCGCCCGCGCCCAAGTGGTACCAGGTGATGATGGGGCGGTTCGTGACGGGGTTTGGGGTCGGGGCGTGCTCGCTGCTGGTGCCTATGTATCAGGGCGAGAGCGCGCCTCGACAGGTGCGCGGTGCGATGGTGTGGTACGTCCATTCCTTTCCTTCCCTTTGTCCGCACATCGGATGGTCTTTACTGACGGATGCAGCTCGTACCAATTGTTCGTCACGCTGGGCATCTTCGTCGCGTACTGCATCAACTTCGGCACGGAGAGCATGGACAACTCGGGGTCGTGGCGCATCCCGCTGGGCATCACTTTCCTCTGGGGCCTCATCCTCGGCATCGGGATCATCTTCTTCCCGGAGAGCCCGCGGTACGACTTCCGGCACGGCCGCGTCGACCAGGCCAAGAAGACCATGACGAAGCTGTACGGCGTGCCGGCGAACCACCGCGTGATCATCGACGAGCTGGCCGAGATCAAGGAGCAGCTGGACGCCGAGAGCGCCGGCAAGGGCGGCTGGCACGGCTGGATCGAGATGTTCCAGGGCCCGCGCATGCCGTACCGCATCTTCCTGGGCGTGACCCTGCAGGCGCTGCAGCAGCTCACCGGCGCGAACTACTTCTTCTACTACGGCACGGTGGTGTTTAACGGCGCGGGGATTAGCAACACGTATGTGACGCAGATGATTCTGGGCGGCGTGAATTTTGGGACCACGTTTGGCGGGTTGTATGTGATTGAGCATTTTGGGCGCAGGAAGAGCTTGATTACTGGGGGGATTTGGATGTTTGTGTGCTTTATGGTGTTTGCGAGTGTGGGGCATTTCTCGCTCGATGTGCAGAATCCGCCCAATACGCCTGGCGCCGGGAAGGCGATGGTCGTTTTTGCTTGTTTGTTCATCACAGGTGAGTGTCTCCGAAGGAGTGCTTGTTGTTCTGCTGCTGACGGGACTAGGTTTTGCCATGACATGGGGGTATGCTCATCCTTTCCGTACTATACGCAATCTTCTCATACTAACATGTCTAGACCGATGGTGTGGGCCATCTGCGCTGAGCTCTATCCCAGGTACGTCCTCTCCATCCTATCCAAGACAGACTCCTAATACTAACGGTACAGCCGCTATCGCTCCCGAGCCATGGCCATGTCCACCGCCAGCAACTGGCTCTGGAACTTCCTAATCGGCTTCTTCACCCCGTTCATCACGGGCGACATCGACTTTGCCTACGGGTACGTCTTTGCGGGCTGTCTGTTCGTCGCCGTGGGCGTGGTCTACTTCTGCGTGCTCGAAGGCCGCGGCAAGACCCTCGAGGAGATGGACATGATGTACATCATGCGCGTGCCGCCGTGGAAGAGCAGCAAGTGGGTGCCGCCGCCGCCGGAGCACCAGGTCACCACGGCGCAGATGCTGGACCGCCGCGCTGCCGAGGGCATGCAGAACGAGGAGGACCGGAGTAAGCAGACTTCGGCTCTGGGGACGGGACATGAGCATGTGGATGAGTCTGGGGCTGGGCCGTCGTCATAAGGTGTGTAGAGAAGTGAATGTGGTTACAAGACGATGAGAATAGTGGGTTGTTCTCGAGGCCATGGTAAAAGTGGATTGGAAAGATATTGATCTTTGTTATATTGGTTCTGCATATCATTCATGTATATAATGACAGACTAGACCGTGCGGTTAGAGATGTCTAGACCTTGAATGAGCTTGCATCTTCTAGTTGAGATATGCATTCATTGTTGATTGGAATATTCATCGATTGCTTTCATCAAGTTGTGGATTCACCATCACCTCCATATGATGCTGGGTCTGTAGGCAAGTCTGCTTCACCAGAGTAAGAGACATATAACCCATCTCTCGTGACCCTCGAGCCGTCTCCTCCTGATCCTTACGCATCTTTCAGGCTTCCCTGTTCGCGAGGCATCTATCTTCATTTTTACATCATGTACACATTTCCAAAAGACCAGTACTCTACCAAAAATCCCAATTAGTGGCATGCGCGGTCCACTTATGCCGCACAACAGGACACATCCACCAACATCCCATTTGCATGACTTTGATGAACCTGCTGGTCCAGGCAGCCTGACAAACATACAAACGTCACGTGGCGCCAGCTCAAACGGCGTCTAAAGCAGTTGCGTGCGGAACAACGTGAAGTCGAGCAGGCCCTTGCAGCCAACGCCAGCCACCCATTCCAGGCGGATGTCGCCGAGTCAGCAGACATTGCGGACGCCTTTAGTAATACTAACCCAGACTGCTTTACTACTGTCTATCACGAAACTCAGAGCTCATCGACCGGCTGCCCGACTCGTCTTCGTCATCCGAGCGCAACGCATGGTCTCCTTGAAGACGGGGTCATCACCGGTACCAGGCGAGGCGCCTGACATGAACGTTCAATAATCTGGAGCAATATTTCGCTCATGATTACCGTCATTGGGTTCGTCTCCCACAAGAACGATCCTTCTGTAACCTCCCAGCGACGTCGTGATGGCAAGGGACGAACGGAAGATGTGAGCCTCTACGCCTTTTGCCATCATGGTCAGCACCGCTATTTCACCAGGTTGAAGTACCGTCTGGTCCTGCTTCGCTCGTGCAATGAGATATGTCGAGACATTGCTGTGTTCAACTATATGCAGGCAATCCGAGACCTGTGTTCTACGTACAGATGGGAGTTACTGCAGTTGCAAAATGGCTTTCTTCCAGGCTTATCTGGCAAGGTCAGTGCAAATGATAAGTTAAAGTGACATTTTCCTAACGGGATATGCGTTTCTCAGACTTGATTATAAGTTCATGTGATCAATCATTGCTCAACCAGGAATGCAATGCATTGCATTGCCAGATATAGATCTCCGAGATGGCAAGGACAACATCACTACATTGAGTCAATGGCTTAGCCCAAAGAACTAGAACGCAGAACACAAAGAGGCCTACAGCTCCTGATTGGTCATCATTAGAATATACCGCCAGGCTAAGGACATCCATTCGATGGCACCTTCGATTGCTCCAAGATACTAGTTTCTTTAAAACAGGAACGCGGTCTAAGGAAGCTGAAGATGGCAATCAGTAAGTAATAATTAATTCTATTTCTTCCTAAGGACTTTGAATTAACTAGTTCTCCAGAATTTTACGACAAGTCATGTACGCGTTTACCAGGCCTTCAAAGGGGCCATGGTGACGGGTGATAACCAGTCTTTTATCCCACATCCCCGTCCTTCCTCTAAAGACATGGCACAGTATGTTGAGAACTCTAGGCGAACCAGGCGTAGATGAGCCGGCAGGTCCAGGACATGGCCGGTCTGTTATCTCGGCTGGCCGCGTACATCCTGGCCAGCGAAACCGCAAAAGGTAATTCAGACTGTGTTCTCCTTTAACAAGCATCCAACAATGTGCGAGAAACCCTACTGTAGATAGCCGCAAACCTCTGAAGCCCGGCAGTCGCGATCTACGCTACAGTCTACCAATATCAACCGGTTACTGACAGCCCGGTCATTAGACCTCCACATTAAATTTCAAAAGCTCTGTGCGACTAGATATATCACCCAAGAGGTTGCTCCCGGCCTGGAAGATTCGTTGTTATTCACATCTGGAAACTTGAGGCGGTATATACAAGGCAGATATCAGGTTAATTTCCATTCAATCTGATTGTATCTGGAATATCTTCCGTATACAAAACTTTTGGCCGAGCCTCGATTCACAACAATTACTATATTCTGTATACTTAAGATAGTTAAGGTTCTTATTTAGTTCTTCGCGTTCAATAACGCTATCTTTAATAACTACTAAGTTACTACTGCTAGTACGATTCGTCCATACTCTTATTACAAGCGAAAATATGTATTCTTTTAGCCTTGCTTCTACCTTCGCTGCTTCAGATCTTAGGATCATTATGTTAGTTCTTAGGAGCTGTCTCGCTCCTAGGATAAGTATCGTCTTTTGAACTAGTGGGATTCTAGTCACCCTTGTGCTGGAACTGCTACACTAGCCGGTTGGGCAGCTTACGCGGATCCCAGGGTTTGACAAGCAGTTGTATTAAAGCAATCTAATATATCTAAAGATAGATATAATCGGTTAGTAAACAGTCCCTAAGCAGTTAGAAAACACTTCAACAGTATGATACTACAGTAAAAGAAAAATAAAACCTCTTTCTTGTAAGAAGGCAGCTGGAGCTCGCCAGACTCTCCGCAGCGAAGGCACCAACCGTACCATTACTAGCCCAAATAATTAGATTCTGTCAGAAGGATCAGGAGGAATGCTTGCTTGATTGCTTGACTAGGAGGAAGATGATGCCCAGCCCTATCATACAAAACAATGTGGGTGCGCAGGGCGCTAGACCTAATTAGACAGGTGGACTGCCACCTCGGCTCGACAGATTCTAATAAGAAATAGGGCTCGAAAATAGTCTAATAAGCACTTACATTCTTCTTGAGGGTCGGCATGGAGTAGTTGAAAGAGATGTGATAAGTGGCTCAAAGAGGTCGCGCGGGTTAAATGATGCCAATACCATAAACAACCTCGGATCGCGCGACGCTAAAAACGAACTGACGTCGAGAAAGTTAAGCTCTCATAGTCATATACTTATTTCTGCGCATTCATAAGCCATGTAAACAAATTTGAGGCTTGAATTAATATCTTAGAGAATATTCGGCTGCAGTAGTGTCTCCCAGATATTTCACAAAGCTCCGGGCGATTATTGTCAACCTTGAGCTAGCCTAGGGTACGGCTTCTTTGCTTCCTTCACTGCCACATCCTCATTGTGTTTCTTTCTGCGCTCGAAAACTTTTAAGTAATCCGGAGGGTTGCGCGTGGTGTTTCCTTTAATAACATCTCCATAGGTCTCCCAGATAGGGATAGCACCTTCCCAGTAGTCTTTCCCGGTGCCCTTTTCCCACTCAGCTTCGTAGCCCAGGACGCCTAAGCGCTCGTGCAGGCGAGATGCCTTTTTGTCAATGTCAACTCGCAGAACAGGGACGCGCTTGAGCTCTTCATCCTTGAAAGGACGCCGAGTATCCTTCCATCTACCATCACCACCGAAAATTCCGTCAACAATTCCTGACAGTGCCTCCAGCTTCTCATTCTTCGAGATATCTCCGTCACTAATACTCTCCTGACACTGTGTAGTACCAGGGTCATAACGAAGCAGAGATGCGTGTCCATTGATCACAGCAGACCGGAAAGTAATGCCGTGACTGAAAGGTGTATAACCACAGTAATAGCTGTACACTTTGCTGGCTGTAACTGTTACCTTTAGACTAATCCCTAGAGCCTCGCCAAAACGCTGCAAGACTTTCTCTGGGACGTAACCGTGGGCATACAGGACGTCGGACCCGTCTGGGGCCGGCATGATTCCCCCAATCAAGTTGAGTACAGTCGGAAAACCGCCTTCGTCTGGCACATCATGAAAGGTGAAATGTAGGATATGGGCAGTGTTGATGACTTTTTGGGCTTCTTCAGGTTTGCCCTCTTTATCGTATTCATCTATGAGAAAAACGAGTATATGTTAGCTGATAGGCCACAATGAGAAGAGCACTAGGTATATTTAGGTATGTACCTGTGTGAATGGTTGGATCGGGCTCATAACCTCGGCACTTCTGTGTGCTTGCCATTTTGATTTTCGGGTAGCAGAATACACAACTGTTTAAAGGCAGCAATCAAGGCAGAAAAGTTGTGTTCTGAAGAAGTGAAGAGGAGGTGAACTTATAGGAACTGATCCCAGTATTTATAGGTAGAGTGGACGGGAAAGATGAAGACTGACGAGTACTTTCCAGGCCTTCTGCCGGACTCAGTGGCTCTGTGTGCATACCGGAAATGACTACCTCCGGTTCCAAAGAAACCCTACCCTTACGTCCTCACATAGAATGAGGTGTAACATCCGTGGTAGGTGACCACTGGTAGTCTAGCCGGTTTTATAGCTTATACCCTTAGGTACTCACATAGAATGAGGTGTAACTTCCACGTATGTGACCACTGGTAGTTTGGTAGCGCTGATTGCGCAATGCGTGAAGCCTGAGCCAGCCCTTGGCCAGAAGATAGCTGCCTAGAAATGTGAGATTTCATTTTACAGTATAGGACCGACAATTCAGACTGCGGAGGAATGGCTATTTGCTAAGTAATGTATTACGACATGAGTGTCTTACCAATGTTTTATTGTCTTTTGTGCATGTACAAAGGGAGCGCATATTTGTGCCAGACGACAAAGCTATCGCCGTCGTCCTAGACAGAGACTCATAATGTTCGGGCCCGGGTACGGTAGGGTAGTACTAGATTCTAATTACCCACCTAGTTAAAGGATAACCTAGGGTACCGTAGTAGGTAGTTACATGACTAAAAATTACCTCTATTAGATGCGAGAGATGCTGCTCTAGTCCTATCAAGTAAGGAACTCCTAAAATACCATTCGCCAGGCCCCCTGGACTACTTGATTATGTCAAATGCCACGGTAACGGAAGGAGTGACATGTTGTATCCAGATCAAGCAAGGCATCTGAACACCACCACCGGGTCATGTCACACAAACGTTCCAGCGCGTCTGCATATTGGGGCTAGCCACTGGACGGACTGGGTCTGAGTATGATTCCAGTCTACTCTATTTGAGTGAATTAGGATTTGTGGCAGAGCTGAGTCGATGCATGCGCACTGTTATCCCACTTTCTGACGTGGCATTCTCATAGACAGTGAGGATGATCATGACGTTCCTGAATTCTTGTCTGTTTCGATCATCCGTTCCAAGTCTGCTAATTCTGGCAACTGGTGCGTTCGGTGCAGTCCCTGGGATGCTTCTGGCGACACACCATTGTCGAGATGAAGACCCACAAATCAGAGCATTCCAGAGGTAAAGGGGATGTTACAGGTAGTAGACTGACCGAGTACTGTGACTTGTCAATCCAGTGTACTTGTACACCACAGATGATGAGCCTCTGGTACAGCATTTTCCAATTTGTCGAGGATGTCACAGACATTCCGTTGCAACAAAAAATTAGGGAGAAAAGTTGGCCTAGTCAGGAATGACAGTAGTTCCAGTTTCTCCTATCAGCAATGATTAGACGCAACGAAGACACACTTATGTCACTTAGAACAATCTTGTCCTTCTTTCACTTTTACACAGCCTATAGACGCTCTTCCGTTTCCTGCCAGTTGACCTGAATATTTGCTTGATTCCAACCTCACTGCGTTTGCCGACCTCGTGCAGGGTTCAAAATGATCATACCTACAATCATAGGTGCGGCGTTCTTTTCCGGGCAGGTGTTCGCCCAGTACCCTCCCCCTCCGGAGGGGTTGGAAAAGATTGATTCCAAAGTTCTTCCTGGTGCCAGAATCACCTACAAGAAGGTAGCGGTATGAAGACACCCTAGTTTACCAAAGTATATCGAACTAGGCTAACGTATGAACGACTAGCCTAACGTCTGTGACTCAGCTTCAGACTCATACGCCGGATATGTATATTTCCCACCAAATACGATGAAGGATGCAATCCAAGACTTCCCCGTACACTTATTCTTCTGGTACTTTGAATCCCAGTTGGACCCCGCGACGTCTCCGTTGTCGATATGGCTCCAGGGCGGGCCCGGAGGCTCGTCGATGTTCGGGGCGTTTACAGAAAATGGCCCTTGCGCTGTGAATGATGACTCTCAATCCACATACCGCAATGAGCACGCTTGGACGAAGCATGCGAACATGCTCTACATTGACCAACCAGTGCAGACTGGCTTCAGCTACGATATCGCCACCAACGGCACCCTGGACCTGCTGAGTGGGAATGTCATTCCGGGCTCTGACGCTCAAGGTCCCTTCAACCGGACCGGAACGTTTAGCAGCCAAAGGCTGACGTCCACGGCCAACACCACCGCCAACGCCGCGCGCCATCTCTGGAACTTTGTCCAAGTGTGGCTCCAAGAGTTCAACGTCTATAAGGAGCAATCCAAGAATGACCGAGTCAGCATTTGGACCGAATCATACGGCGGTCGCTATGGTCCCGGCTTTGCTGCGTACTTCCATCAGCAAAATGAGAGAATCGCCAGTACCCATGGTACCTTTGCACCGATAAACCTGGACACCTTGGGGGTCATCAATGGATGCATCGACCTCCGGACTCAAGAAACAGCTGACCCGGATTACGCCTATAAGGGGAACACCTTTGGAGTTACTGCAATTAACGAATCCCAATGGAATGACGCAATCAATGCCTATGAGAAGCCTCACGGTTGTCGAGAACAGATAGACAATTGTCTTGATCTCGCCGCAGAAAACGACCCATATATGTATGGCAATCATACATTGGTCAATGAGGCTTGCTTCGATACAAGCACCTATTGCCAAGCAGAAGTCGAAGGGGCATATATCTTTACCAGTAAGCGAGGTTTCTACGACATCGGTCACTGCAACTTGGATCCATTTCCCGCCAACTATTTCATCGGCTACTTGGCCAAGGCCGAGGTCCAACAGGCACTAGGGGTTCCCGTTAACTTCACCTTGCTCTCTAATACGGTTGGAAAAGCGTTCAATCTCACGGGTGACTACCCGCGACGAGATACCATGGGCTATCTCGGGGACATCGCCTATCTCCTCGAGCACAATGTGCAGGTAGCACTGCTGTACGGAGACCGAGACTACGCCTGTAACTGGATCGGAGGAGAGCGGGCCAGTCTTAATGTCCAGTACGATTCATCTGCCGCGTTCCAAGCAGCCGGATATGCGAACATCACCCACGGATCCGATATCTGGGGTCAGGTCCGTCAGCATGGCAACTACTCGTTCAGCCGTATCTACCAGTCCGGTCACATGATTCCCTCATATCAACCAGAGGCTGCACTTGAGATCTTCCGCCGCGTCATGAGCGGCAAAGATGTAGAGACGGGAACCGTCGATGTCACCCCCGGCTATTCAACCAACGGCACGTCGACGTCCACACATACAGATACCTTGCCATTAGCCCCGGCCCCGACATGCTACCTTTGGGCCCTGACCGGCACATGTGCGAAGAATCAAATTGATGCTGTCGGGAATGAAACCGCGAAGATTGAGAACTATGTCATCACGAGTCCGAAGCAGCCAAGTGATGCTTGTCCGTATACGCCTACATCTGGTGATTCCGTGGAGCCCGAATTATCTCCTGTTTACTGGCGTGAGGACTTGTAGAAGGCAGTCTGCCACGCCTTTTCGGGCTCTTTCGCCTAGCTTACATCCTTTTTTTTTTTTTTTCTCCCTAAACGTCCTGATTATCCTAAGTTTCCTGTTTCTATGTGCTCCTGCCCGGGAAATACATATCACAAAAGTAATATTGTTTATTTATCTCTTCTAATTTTCTATTTACAATATTAATTATAGCTATAGCTATGTTCGATCTTTATTATAGCTCTATTATACTAAGTTGTGATTATGTGATAGCTGTTTGACCAGGTAAAATCCCGGGCAAAGGGACAACCAACCGATACCGGCAGACAAGCAACTCAAGGATCAATGTCAACCTCACTCAGATCAAAACAGTTATCTATCAAACAGAACCACTCTATCTTGTCTACGTCCTCGGCCTGACGGTAAAAATCCACTCCTCCTTCTACTCCATCCGCTCCTATAGTCTATATTCCCTCTTCAACCAGCACTCGCCACTGATTCAAAATAGTCGCTAATTGTGTCGAATGGGGCACATAGAACGGACAGTCTCCTTGTTGCCATAACTCGGTTGCGGAGGGCCGGTCCGTGACCTGCTGTCCGGAATGGTCTGGATAGGACCGTAATTCATACGGTAGGACAAGTTTAACTGTATCGGCCCATCCTTCGTCAGGGCAAATCCAGAGCCCAGCCTCCTTCTCGATATGCCCCATTGCCGGGAAAAGGATTAGTGGGTGATGAAAGGCTCGTGTATAGCACATCTCGTGACAGGGAGAGTCATATCCATCTGTTGTAGAGGCGGTTTTTGGCTGTGGTGGTGGACAATTCATGTCGTACACGGTCAACCCCGGGGCGATGAATTGGAAGGAGGGCTTAGTGGCAGCGAGCAGAAATGCACGCGGGAATCCTTGGATGTGTGAGCCGATGGATTCCTCTGTCGCAAGGAACTGTTGTTGTTGTTGCTCGCCAGCGGATGGAAGACGAGAGGTGATCGCTTCTAGGAGCGCGTCATATGCTTCAAGTGATTGCTTCAGAATGAAATTATTCCACGGGACAACATCCCAACAGGCGATATTCGCACTCAAAGGATCATTTTGTACACTTCCAAAGGGGACCGGCCGGTACTTTCCCACCTCAATAATAGCATTTAGTCGTTCGAGAAGGTCTTGGAGCGGATACCATGGGTTTGCTTCTATATTTGCTGTGTCGAAGTAATAGATAGATGGCAGGTAGCGAACTGTTAGGTCATGCAGATCCATCACGACACCTGCACAGTCGGTCAATCCATATAGATTGTTCCGGAAAAGAAGAACACAGTCATCTATTTCCATCCAGACCGACCCCGGTCCAAGAGCCAGCATCAGTTCTGGAGAGGAGATCGGCTCGAGGTGCTGAACTAGAGCATCGCGCATTCGGGGACGGCTGTTTTGATCGACGATGACTTCCACTTGTTTGAGAAATGGTATAAAGGGCTCCGGGAAGATCTGACGGCATTCGCGCATGCGCGGATGATCCTGCCAGATGCTAAACCAATCCTGGATAATCCGGTCGCCTCGTTCAGCCCGTCGGTTCCCATCGAAACTGATGCGGATGATGCGGTTGTAGAACGAGGCACATCTGGCAGGGTCAAACGACATGTCTTCCTCCCCTTGTTCGTGTATGTTTGAGGACGACATTGTGGGCCCGCTGGATGTTCCACGGGGGCGAAATGGCCGCATTAGGAAATACCTAGGACCATTTAGGCAAAGTGTTCTAGCCAAGTAAAAGCCCATATACCCCCAGGTAGGTAAGAGAGGCCCTAGCTACGCCGGGCCTTACCGGAAGATCAAATACTAGTACTATTACTACCACCAGTCCATTGCGCTTCTCGCTGCGGTGAGACTGTGATTTCTTACGGCGACGCCCATAATGAACAGCGTCGTTGACCTCTGTGGTTACCTGGCTCTGTCATACAAACAGGATTCCCGGTAGGGGCTCACTCTGACAAGTGGCTAGTTTGCGTGCGGTGCCACTATGCAGCCATGGCTTCGTCTACTCCGGACAACTACCGGCCTTGCCATGTGGCGACTCCGCGCTGACGAGTGATATGAGTTCTCCAAGGATATCGGAATTTCTTCAGCTGGATTCATTGTCAACAACATTGCTAGCCATACTGCATCCGGCCGAACAGACCAGATATAGTACAGGCACTAGATACACTCCGGGAACATATACGAGGAGGATTCTGCACGAGGGGTGTTTTAGAATTTGAAAGAAAAAGCAACGACAGCCAGATGTTTATTGGCCAAAACAACCAACCTCGAAAGACATCCATACTTGTAGGCTTGTAGAAACCACGATTTGGCAGTCCAGTAGCTGCTGTCTGACGGCATTCTTGATTGTGAAGATGCCGAAAATGTATGTATTCGAATATTCCAGCAATCAACAACCGGGCTAAGAACAGCCCGAACTAACCGTATGACCGGTCTTAGGCTAAAACCCCAGACGCCACCTGGTCAACTACCGAGCATGGATGGGCGAAGAGTCCACGAACAGCGGGGGAGATGCCAATTTAATAACGGCGGTTCTTCATCCCTCGTGGCCAGGGCCCTCGCTTAGCCGTTTAGTCCGGGCGAAACACGGCGTTTTTCCAGATGTGCTCTGATCGGCCAGCGCTTTTCCCCATTCTATTGCGGAGCTCCGAATCCATCAGGGCTAAAACGCGGGGAAGAGAGATCGCCAGGACACCATGTGTCTCCCCACAGCGCATCATCAGTGCGACATGGCGTTTATATAACCGTTGTTCGTGTCCCGCTGGATGCTGTTATATGAACTCGTCTTCTATGCTCTCACTCACCGGCCCGGCTTGTGGGCCTACTCAGGCTTGCGCTGTAGTCGTTGTCAGACAGCAGCCATGGACTCCCATATTCCTCCGCAGCAGTACATCGAGACAGCCTCGTATTTCGAGCTCAGCTGGGCCATCCTGAGCAGCATTGGCCTGTTTGCGATGATGATGGGCGTCTGGGCGGTGCTCATCACCCGGCCCAGTCCGCTGAGCTACATTCCCATTGTCGTCTCCGCAGCCTGCGCCCTGTCGAACGGGCTATGCTATTTTGCCTATTACACGTCGTATTCGACGACGAACCGCGCGATCGCGAGTGCACTCGCCGATCTTCTCTGGCTGGTACGTGCACCTGGCCATTCTCCATCACAACCAACTAACACGCGAAGATCCAAGAGGCCGGCCTGTCGTTCTTCAGCTACCAGATCCTGGTGCACACGCTGCGCGGCTCCATCCGCACCGTCTTCCTGTCCATCTTCTGGACCCTCATGGTTGCCATCGCCGGCATCCGCATGGCCATACTGACAACCAGAGTCGTCGAGGTCAGAGAGGGCGCCGCGTCCCTGCAGTCCGCGAGCCCCCTGCAACACCGAATCGACCACCTCCACGTCGGCTACTTCACGTCCATCGCGCTGGTCGAGACCTTCAGCTCGATCTTCCTCATCCGCCTGCTGCACAAGGCCTATATCGTGTCGCCGCAGCTGTCCTCCACGAGACTCGTCTTCCGGTATCTGCTTCGCACGACGGAAATCCGCGCCGCCAGCCTGTGCTTTATCGGGATCACCCGCGCCGTCACATACTCGCTGCAGGTGACCTCGCAGACGGCGACGACGGTGGCCGGGCAGGTGGATCGGTTTGCGTATACGATGGAATGTCTGTTTCCGTTGGTCATGCTGTAAGTTGTGTCTTGGTGGTGTTAACAGAGGAGTCGTCTGACAGCGATAGGATCGATATTTTGTCGTCGAAAAAGTTCACGCCGGAGATGCAGGGATTGACGACGTGTGACTCGCCGGTAGGGAGATACCGACATACGCGCGTTCGCACGATGGACTCATTGCCGCAGCATCGCGCGTGGGTCTGCTCGCCGTAGTATGTATGACGGAATGTTTTCATGATACCCTTGATTCATGTGGAGTTTGTAGCATTGAGCATGGCTTTACATTACGATCCATCTGGTACGTGCCAGTTTTGTATATAGCAAAAAATCAACCCGAGTGTGCCTCGTCACCAGGCTGTAAAGCGTCCCGGGCTGCCGCCATCTCTTCCTCCGACGGCATGTTGACAATCATAAGATACAACATATCCTAGGATAAGATTAGCACATCGTATCACACCGTATACCAACGACTCACACTCTGAAGCAGTTTCTGTATACCAGCCACAGGCCCTTGCCTCGACCCTCTCCGGCCCTCTTGATCGCCTCGAGAGGAGTCACCCTCCCTCAGACGTCTTCTCCTAGGGGCCCGCCGGCGAAACCCGGGATCCCTGCGCGTGCTCTCCCTCACCTGGCGGATCCCCTCCCGGGTAACATGTCCACCGGTGACAAGGCCCAGAAGAGACCCGCTACTCGCGGGGTGGGATGGGTTAGCGTAGCGAGAGGTGAACTCCGGCTGCGGGCCCTGGGTGAGGTCGCATTGTGGGTGTTCCATCATCTATCCAGGTTAATTGATCGAAGTATTTCAAGTGGTACGGCGATGGGTCCTACGAATTTCGCCCGCTCCCTTCGGTCCCAGTAATCTTCCACAAACTCCTTGCGGGTCTTCATTGCTTTCAATTTCGCCTGGGCGTCGCCGCCGTGTGCTTCCAGCTCATCAAGATCGGGGAACACCAGCGGCGCGGTCTCCGAGTACGGAAGCGTTCCGTGCGTCTTACCGTCGGACGCCTTGAGGGCGTGCTTCAGCTTGTTTCGCATGCCAGAACCGCCTTGCTCGGTGGACGTGACAATCGCCGAGCTCAAATCGAAGGTGGCAATGGGCGCGGCGGATTCCGGCTTCCACGTCATCACCAGACAGTACAGCCCGCGCGGACGGAAGAAGTTTTCGTTGATCTGATCGAAGAACGCATTGGACCTGTACCCGTCAGCACGGTGGGATATTCTGTGATATTGAACGATGGAACGCACTTCCTCCGTCCATCCGCTGCAATCGCCACCTGTGTGGTGATGTTGATCATGGCGGAGACGGCAAACGCCGTGGCGCTGGGGATGAAAAACGTCCCGATTGAGGCGAGATTGATGGCCTGAAGCCAGGGACTTCCCTGACACGAGGCGTTGGCCGTGTCTATGAAGTCAATGAAGGTGGTCTGGTCGATGCCGAGATCCTGGAGAATGGGCGCGTAGGCCCGGATGAAGCCGCGCTTGCGAGACTTGGGTCGGCGCTGGGGGATGACCACCGGATATGGGAGGCGTTGCGGTGCAATGGATGAGGATTCTGGGGCAGAAAAGTATCTGCGCAGGAATGACTCTGCCAGTTGCTCGGTGGGCTCTGCTTCATGGCGGTTGAGGACTCCGCTGTTTAGTTCTTCTTGGGCTTCGTCGAGTTCCCATTGAATCTCCAGCTGGCTCTCTGTGGATGTGGAGTGTTCTGGTGTATTTTCGTCTGAGCTGTCGGTCTCTGTTGTGTCAGTGGTGGTAGGGGAGTTTGGGGCTTCTTTGCGCCGGTGTGTGTTGTAGGCCGTAATGCTCTCCGAGGCCAGGCCAACGCTGGCTGCTACGCCTTTGACCACTCGATTGAGGATCGGCATAATGCGTGGTGAATATTGTTGTAGTGTGGATAGAATTGATCAATATTCTGAGTGAGTCCAGAGAGTGGGTCACTCAGACGATGTTAGGCAACAATTTTGCCTCCAAATTTGCCGCCACTGTGACCGAATTTGGAGATGTCAGCATTCCAGGCATCCCTGTTTATGGACGTCGCATGGCTGATATTCACGGATAAGCTTACACCGCGACAGGAGCTTGGCTGCTTGGCTATGCTTATTCTTGGTTCTCTATCTATAGCTTTAGGCAGCCTCTCCTAACCAGACAAGTGTAGAATCCAGAGTAGAAAACAAGAAATATATTTCCAACCCTCTATCGGTATATATCTAAATCTACATATATTCATCAGACCCCCATGCCAGCATAGACAAGCCTGTGATCCATCAATCCATCATCCCTAAGTAGCTGCATCTTCAGGAACAGTCTTGGGATGATGCTGAGAAAAGTCCTCCGGCCAGAGGAACATCTTCTCCTCGTTTGTGGGCGTCGCCGCCACAAACTTGGGCACCTGCAGTCAAAGTAAGCACTTGTTCCGGGAGTCCATAATCGCACGCCAACATACCGACTGCCTGCTGGAGACTCGTCGCCACATATTGGCGCGGGGGTTAAACCGCGCGGGCTTGCCCACACCCCCGGTCTTCTCCTGGTCCTCCTTCATGATCGCCTGGATCTCGCGCTTGACGTCGGTGAAGCTGTCGAACCCGGTGTACGGGATCTGGTTCTCGACGCAGTACTCCTCCAGCCGCAGGCCCTTCCGCGCAAAGAGCACATCTGCCTCACGGGCCGCCGGGAGGTCCGACACGCCGTCGCCGATAAAGATGATCAGTGGCATCTCGTCGTCCTCGGCGAGTTCCGCCGCCTGGGCGCGGCCCTCCTTCATGGACAGGGCCTTGTCGTGGCCGAGCTCGGACTCGTGGCGCCAGATCGGTTTCCACTGCGAGCCGTCGGGGTGGATTTCGGCGTCGTTGGCGACGATCTGGATCTGAGATGCCTACGCCCCACATCGTTAGTGCTATGGAACGCGACAGACAGGATCTATACGTATACGTACGGCCTTTTCCCCGAGGAAGGTGTCCAGCACCCGGCGCAGAATCGGCTTCAGACCCGCGCTGATGACGTTGAACTGGATATCATTGGCCAGGCAGAAATCATGGAACTCGCGGAAGCCGGAGTCGATGTCGAGCTCCTTCTCCATGACGGTGAAGCCGTCCTCGAAGGGCACGCGCAGCGACCCCCACATCTCCTCGGAGACCTCCCGGAAGGACCGCTCGCCCGTCTTGATTTGCTGGTCGAGCAGCTGGCGGCGCTTTTCGCCACACCCTAAGTTGTCGAAGAGCACATGGCCCGTGTCTTGCATAAAGATCGTGCCATCGAAGTCTAGTGCGCTGCGTGAGTTTTGTGGCTGCCACGCGGACAAGGGCTAAGCATACCGGAAAAGCAAACAATCTTTCTGGGCGAGGTCGCCATTCTTGGATATTGTGTGCGGGAGTTGTGTACAGAGGGTCAATTGACTTCTTTGCGTCGTCACAATTACGAAGAAGGCTGAGAGGGGGGGTGGATGGAGGACCCTTAAAGGGAGTGCTGAATGTGGCGACGGTTTTAAACCGGATTGAGACATGACGTAGAGAGAGAGGAACAAGAAGGAAGACCCGCGATCCACAGTGGATAAGATTCTCACTGCCGACCACCAACAAAATGGCTTCATCGTTCGGGATGCCGAGGCTGTTTACACTGTTTGTCGTTGACATCATCATCTCCTTCCGGACACGAACACCACAATACGAAGTACAGCATTGATACGTGCATTCCTGCCAGAGATCACTCATCGCCTTACCAGAAGGCTATGATATGTACATAACTAGACCACCCCGACTATGTCCATCCCCTCTGCACTTGCACTCCCACCCTCCCTCAAGAACAAATAGGAAAAGCCGGCGACGACGGCGACAACCCAGCACCATAAATCACCTGTTTCCCAGGGTCCGCAAACACCGTCTGCTTGCCCTCCACCGTCGCACACCCGTTGTTGACATTGGCCACGAACAGGTCCGGATACGCCCCCGTGAACGAGCCGACACTGCCACTGCCGCCGCTGATCTCCACGTCCGCGCAGTTCATGTACATCTCGCGGTTCCCCACGAGGTTAAACCAGGACCACGCGAACAGAGCCTGGCCATTGGCCACGTCGCTGGGCAGGGTGAAATCGTATGCGGACTGCAGTGGACAAGCCCCGATCATGGACTGGATCACTTTGAAGGTGGCCCCGTTGTCGTAGCTCAGAGACAGCTGACAGGAGCCGCCGCTGTGGGTCGCTGACCCGCTCAGCGTGATGTTGTAGGTGTTGCCCGCGGTGTACTCGGCGGTTGCGCGCCAGGGGGTGTTTTTCTGGTAGCCTTTGCAGGGGAAGTTGGATCCTGGGTTTGTTAGTGGGATATGCATGGCAAAGGGGGAAGAGTGCGTACCATCAGCAAGCAGCGGGTTGGTCATGGAGTAGTCGATCAGCGACGCGTCGGCCTTAGGGTCGAATCGACTGCGGAGGGGATACGGCCAGCTCATTTCCATGTGCGCCGCGGCGAAATGGGAGCCGATAACGGCAGAGAGGAGGACGGTGAAACGCATTGTTGTTGAGGCGAAAGGTGAGAGGCAGTGGAGAGTCAAGTGAGAGTCGAGTGGATGGTTGTGGATGAGGCCGAGTTGAGGAATACTCACTACTCTTTATACTGTCTTCTCCCATGGCTCCCATCGACATTCACACCTCACTTCCATGAAACGAGCTGAATTCACTTCATCTCGACAGATCAGGTTGCACTCACTCGGTTACATGTCGTTGTTTCATCACTCGACCATGGTGATGGAGCTGTATGCTTTGATAGTTAGCAGAGGGGAAGATCGTCTAATGCCTAATGAAGGACCTTCTCCCTACTCCACGAATATGGGGTATGCTACAGTCCCACCGTCAGTTGACTAGCCTCCTCGCTTCTACTGGAGTAGCGAAATAGACCCGTATAGAACGGTCTCGACATGAGTCTATGTCGATCGTACCTAGAAGTATGTTATGGGTTACAGTGACAACCTACGCTATGAGGGCCTAGGAATGAAACTCCGGGTACCTCGGTCCTATGATGGAGATAGACTAGACAGACTATGAGTGCGGAAGGATCTCGGCAGAGGATTGTGTCCCTGGCAGATGCGACTCTGCTGAAACCTAGATTGTGCTCGACACTAGATACATCTAGTTAGCTTCATGGATCGAGTGATTCGTCAGGTCATCGTGATGAACCGAATGACCAACCAGATGGATCATCACTGTCCGTGCCCCTTGGCAGCGGTGATTAATTTCCTGCTAATGAAGCCGTGAAATTAGATCCCCTAGCGCTGTAGCTAGGTATACAACAATGGAATCCTACTGTTACAGTACGCCTTCGGCACATGGTTGGCGTTCTCGAACCGGAGATAGATTAGGTGAAAGCAACCTCATGGAACGCCTCCGTCCATATGCGGATAATGCCATTATTGGGCGCTGGTTCTGGTTCTCCCCACACTCGCCGGCGTTTCGCCACGAGGCCATCCGTGGCAACCGAGTTGAACATGCTCCCTTCACAGACAGGGAGAAGATCCGGGAAGAGATAAAATTCTTTGGCTTGAATCGAGTGTAGCATGGATTCCGCTGGCGGTGAACAACCATCTCGAAAGAATGCCGAGCACTTCGATTGTGATGCACTTCTGCGCGGAATGCAGTTGATCGTATTATGAATCATCGATGTCATCCGTTCCATAAGATTTGCCGGGAATACATCATCAGCGCATGGCGCTTCGTCGCTGTGATGTGTGGTTCACATCAATCTACTCCGCGCGAACCACCAACCAACAATGCATTTAAATTTCCCGGACATCCGCGGACTACTCTTCCAACCTAGAAAGCGATGATCGCGATCCAGAACGAATATTCTTCATAGACTATGGCGACCACAAACACCACCCCCCTGCGCATCGCAATGGCCTGCGACGACGCCGGCCACGACTACAAAGAAGCAGTGAAAAAGGCCCTCGAAAGCAACCCGCTGGTGGACTCCATCATCGACGTCGGCGTCGACTCGCCCGCCGACAAGACCGCCTACCCGCACCCGGCCGTCAAGGCCGCGCTGCTGGTCCGCGACGGCCAGGCCGATCGCGCGCTGCTGATCTGCGGGACGGGCATGGGCGTCAGTATCGCCGCGAACAAAGTGCCAGGAATCCGGGCGGTGACGGCCCACGATCCGTTCAGCGTGGAGCGCGCCATTCTCAGCAACAACGCACAGGTGCTGTGCTTCGGACAGCGTGTGATTGGGGTTGAGCTGGCCAAGAAGCTGGCCGCGGAATGGGTGCAGTATCGGTTCGATCCGAAGAGCGCGAGCGCCGAGAAGATTGCGATGATTCATGATTATGAGAGGACGCTTGCTGCGGGTGGTGGGCAATAATGTGATGTGTGTGGTTCATGAGGTATGAATTGATGATGTCCTGTATTCGTTCAGAGCAGCTGGTATGTCAGTTGCTGGACAGTCACTGGGTGACTATATTCGATGCGAATTTCCCGTTTTGTGAATAGTATAGTTAGTTATACAACTGCTGATGGACAGTCAAGCTGTATAGTTATGTAATGTGATTCATAACTGAGTGACGTCTTAGTATGCCTTAACTCCATAAGCCCGAACTGAACAACCGATATCTCCGAAATCTCCAAGCCCTACAATCGGGTGCCATACTATATAAACAGTCATCTCGTTACCCCTGGATGCATCCAAACAAGCATAAAGACACAATGGCCTACACTGCAGAAACCACAGCCACCGAGCTGGTCAGTGACTACAGCTCTTTGATCGCCGGCAAAGTCATCCTGACAACCGGGGCATCACCCAACACACTAGGCGGCCACTTTGTCGAAAGCATTGCGAAAGGATCTCCCTCTGTTCTTATTATTGCCGGACGTGATCTCACAAAATTACAAACCACAGCCAACGCCATCGCGGCCGCAAATCCAGCCGTACAGGTCAAGTTACTCCAGGTGAACCTCGAATCATTCCAGAGCGTCCGTGAAGCAGCGGCAGTTGTGAATGGCTGGTCCGATATCCCTGCAATCGATGTTCTGGTGAACAACGCCGGCATCATGGCGTGCGATTATGCGGTTTCTCCCGATGGACACGAGAGACAGTTCACCGCAAACCATCTCGGGCCGTTTTTGTTCACGAATCTCATCATCGAAAAAGTCCTGGCTTCTTCTGCGCCTCGAATTGTCAATATTAGCAGCGAAGGCCATCGGCTGAGTCCGATCCGCTTTGCGGACTATGACTTTGATGTGAGAGCTCTCCGACCAGTGTTACGGTATGTCATCTGGCTGACCGGTGATGTTAGAACGGGAACACATACAACAGGTGGTACGCCTACGGACAGTCCAAAACGGCAAACATGCTCTTTGCGATATCGCTGGCGGAGAAACTGGGATCTCGTGGGCTGCTTGCTTTGAGTCTGCATCCTGGTGTCATATTTGGCACCAGCTTAGCGACGCATTTGAATTTCGACGACGACTTCAACGAATTGCGTAAGATATCCCACAGATGCCCGTCGCCCTGTGATGAAATAAAGCTCTATGGACATGCTGACGGCCACTATCTCACATAGGAGCCGTGGATCGAGCTCAAGGAAACGCAGAGGGCTGGTCCGAGTTCAAACCCAAGTCCGTAGAATGCGGAATTGCAACCCATGTATATGCTGCATTCGACCCTGGTCTGAAAGGTCAGCTACCCACACACGGTACTGCTAGCTCAATGGAGACTGACGGCCTCCAGCTCATAACGGCGCGTATCTTGTCGACTGCCACGTAGCAAATCCGGTCACGGACACCGTCAAGCCTTGGGCTACGAGCCCAGTGGAAGCGGATAGATTGTGGGATTTGAGCGAGAGGCTCGTGGGAGAGCGCTTTACGTACTAGAGGCCGCATGTACTGGGAAATGGCTTTAGAATGTATGGTGGGTGACGGAGAAAAAGGAAAAAAAAATAATGGACTGAGTGGGATTCGAACCCACGCCCTAGCGGCGCCGGAAAGCAGGCTCTGCGTTCGGAGGCGGTCCTCCGAGCAGGGACTAGCCCCGACCAAGAGAGCACTGATTGCCGACACCGCTCGCTCTGACCACTGAGCTACCAGTCCTTGTTATCCACTGTGGATCTCGCTTGGCTCAAACCCTCGCTTTCATTCGCAAATCGCGTCATCATCCACCGCGCTAACTCACTAGCTGCATAGCTAAAAATTAAAAATAATACCTTCAATCGTTCCATCTCTATCATGGACACCCATAAGGACTGGCAGACCTTTTGTAGCTGGATGAAGTAAGAAACTCGGTTGACATTCGAACCTCGCGCTGCTGGGTGCTCACTGAGAGTGGCCTTCATGCACAGCTTGGGTCTTCCAAAGAAAGAGCATAAGCAACTGGTTGCAATATATATCCACGACGACCTACGGCTTATCGAAGAACTACGCCAAGCATAGACCTCCAGCATAGAAATATACTCATAGCAAATCTTAACATTAACTCACACGCAAGATAATCAGCAAACAAATAAATTAGATCCTAGTTCATAAGCTTCACTAAATCTCCAATTCCGCTTGGTACAACCTTCGCAATCTTCGTAGCTGTATCAATCACTCCTCCCCATATCATACCGTCCATTGGCGTTGTCTCTTCCTTCTGCGCTGGCTTGCGCCCATTGTCCGTCATTGGATTCCCTTTGGGAGTCGTGCTCAGTGGAAGTCGGATAAACACAATCTTGGGTACTTGAAACCTGTACTGCGGTGTCCGTTGCAGTGGCATACTTCGCGGAAAGTGCAGTGACCGGAGGATCATCGACTGGGGGATCAATAATGGGCGGAAGTTTGGGCGGAGGAGTATTGACCGGGGGAGGAACGGAAACAGGAATCTTGACCGGAGGAGCCGCTGGAGGAGCACCCGCTGGAGGAATGCTAGCCGGAGGGATATTTCCTGAAGGAGGGCAGGGAGGACTGGGAGGAGGAATGTTAACTGTAGGAGGATTGACCGGAGGAATATTGACTGGCGGAACATTCACTGGAGGTGGATTGGCAGGAGGAACATTCGCCGGGGGAGCCTGTGCTGGAGGAGCACTCGCTGGGGGAGGATTTGCAGGTGGGGGATTGGCCGCAGGGGGGTTGATAGGAGGGACGTTGGCTGGAGGATTCGCTGGAGCAGGAATGGCAGGAGGAAGGTTGACAGGAGCAGGGTTGACGGGAGGGTTGGAAGCAGCAGGTGGATTGGGAGCAGACGAACCCTGCTTTCCAATTCCCTTCCTGGTGCCCCCCGGGTTAGCAAAAGCCTGCTTAGTGAAATCCTGTTCATTGTATTCGTAGAGATTGAGATAGTAGCCAGCTTGATCGGCCTTGCAAAATCTCCCGGGCTCATAGAGCGGAGATGCTGTTACTTCCATCAGCTCCCCTGCAACATGCAAGGACAGAATAATAGCAACACATACTGTCAACTGGCAAATCCGGATCAGGATTCCGCACAACATACTTCTGCGGCGGCGAAGTGAGCTTATTCTCGCAGTTGATCTGATCACCTGCTCCGTTGTAGTTCTTCTGGCCCACCCAAACATCGATATGCCAGATGCCGCTGGTCCACTCCGTGGCACAGGACTGGCAGTAGTCCTCGTGGATGAGGTACTTCTTTAGCGTGGGATCGTAGATGACCTCGCAATCCTCGAACGACCCCGGTGCAGTGGCAAAGGTCAGGGGATCATCGAAGGTGCCCGTGCCGCTGGCTTCATGTCCACGGCCGCAGTCGAGTAAGATGCCTGGGCCGGCGGGATCATTGTCAGGGAAGCCGTAGAAGGTCTGAGCTACCTTCAAGGTGCTTCCCCACTGGACCGTGGCCAAGAAGAAGACAAAAAGGAGGAGAGCCTTTGTGGAGCACGACATTGCACGAGAGAGCAAAGTCTGTTTCACAAGTGGGAACTGTCAATGGGTAATGGTCGAGGAATGAGCAGGAACTGGGGAGGTGGGCGCTTTTATTGTACACCGTGTCCCTCATGGTGGAGAGCTTTCTTGGTCATCGCTTGCGTAGTATGATGTTCTGGTCTAGAATCATTGCCGAAATATCGCGAGTCCAGACCATTTCAGTCATGGTTACGACATAATATGAAGGCGAGACTGGCTGTAAGCAGCCATTCCGATACAATTACGAGTAGATGAGGGACTTAAGGAAGTAATATGGTCAGATTGACATGGGAATCTTCTTGATCACAAACTTTCCTCGCGGATAAAACAGACGCATGCTGACTCGCAATGATAAATCATGCAATCAAATGCAATGACTAGGTACAGTGGCAATATCAGCTCATGCAAAATCCAAACAAATTCAAGTTAACACGTAGTCAAAAACACAAAGCACGATAGGAAATCTTAAATAACCCCAAAACAGACATTTCAAAACAAATAGCAGCTGGCAAAAGTATACGCGAAATAGGCCGCGAGACACATGTGCATCTGAAGTACGCTGCTCGCGTAGTCCACCCACAGACCTGTAGCGAAAGATGTGGGGCCCGTAGTCTGTGTAGGAGGCTTTGTCCGCGTCGGTGCGGTACCCCATGTCCAGTTTGGTGTGGCAGCCGATGTCAAAGTCGTGGTAGATCCCGTCGAAGGGGTCAAGTTGGACATAAGGGCATCGACTAAATTGTCCCCCATATGTCTCAATGTGCCGAAGTCGGTAATGTAGTGCTCGTTCACGGCGCTGTTGGGGAGCACGGCTTGTTTGCCGGTGAATAGAATATCTATTGGATTTGACCGTTAGTAAGACATCCCTACAAGGTGAACGGAAAGACGAATGTGCGTACAGATGACATCGAGATCGGTATGCCCCTTTGTTCCGCTTAGGTCGTCATTTGGGAAACAAGTCCTCGCCATGAGCCAAGAGGCTTCGCCAGTGATCTGAGGGTCATGGCCATTAGAGTCGCCGAGAATCCCATAAAACATTTTCCCATCACTAAGCTCTTGGTTAGACAGACTCTACTTGCGCACTGAGAGCTCACTTACCATATGACAGCCGCCACGTTATTCCCCGGGAGCATCTCGCTATTCGCGGACAGGAATCTGTCTGGAATAACAATGTAAGGAACTTCATATGCGGACAGAGCGCCCCAGTTTGTTTGGGTCTGGCTGGTTGTGCTTCCCTGCAGTTATCTTGTCAGCATATCGAATCTCACGGCCATAGTCGGTGTATACAGCAACCATACCTTGCAGTCTGAGTTAACCCCGTCGCAGTCCACATCCATGTCTGCGATCCATACGAGGGCAGAGCCCTATGCTTGTGATTAGTGATTTGTGTTCGATATTTGGTATGATAAACCTCACCTCATCGAAAGATGCCCAGTCGCTGTAGATGGTGGACTCATCCGGGTTATTGTCTTCTCGATTCACCGGATATGTGGCCAAGTTCGGAACTTGTGACACTTTGGAAATGGCATGCTTTAGGGCTGAGACCAAGGAGGTCTTGGAAGATGCAAAGTATTCTGCAGGTGGTCCCCCATATGGACTATCATACTCTGGGCCGCTCACAGTGTGGGCTAGAGAGCTGCACCCAAAGACAAACAAAAACCAGAGGCTTGGTGTATTAAAAATCATATTGGTGTGCACGGTGTCGGTTGATGAGATGTAACGAAAGACTGATTCCAGTTGCTTGTTTGGGATGAGATGTAACGAGAGACTGTGTTCAGTTGCTTGTTCGCGATGAGGACAAGTGAATGTGGATAGGTCGGATAGTTGAATTGCAATGCAGGTAGGCAGTGACCTCTCGAATTTATTAGGCTGCTCTTGATGAAGCAATGACGGTGGTGTGATGCCATAATTACCAGCAGTACTTGTATAGGGCTGGGTGCCCATTCGGATAGCAAGGCCATGAACATAAAATATCTATCGTATCTAAGAGTACTCTTGCAGTATCTATCATTAGCACTCGTATAACTACAGCCCCACTCAATTAGCAGTAAGAACGGCCACCGACCACGCCGGCAAAGTGAAGCTAAACTGCCCATTGCTGGCCTGCACATTCGACTCAGACGGCGTCACCAAGGTCTGGGTATCGGAATTGTACGCCTCCGGGTCTGAGTCTGCCAGCACAGTTAACTTCCCACTAGACATCCCCGGTATTGAGACCGAGACTTCCTGAGTATCTGCGCCATAGTTCGCCAGCTTGACATAGTAGGAGCTTCCCGAACTCGATGCAACCCAGTATACCGGGCCAAACGCCGAGTCGGAAGTCACTTCCTTGATTGTATCGCCGCGGTTGACCGAGAACATCTGCTGGACGTAGTAACTTGTGGAGTCGATGACCATGTTGGGGTTCTGGGTGAAAGAGATGAGATCCGGCTATTGCAGGTTAGATTAGCATACTTCCATTTTATAAACCGAGCCAATCTTACCGTCCACTGAGTCGAATTCACAAGCTGAAGCAACGGTGCATACGCAGCCATCTTGACCACATCACTGTTTCTCTCCAGGCCGATCATGAAGACCGCCTCCGCTACAGAGCCCTGCATGTTGGGCCAAGGGATCTCCCAGCGCGAGTATTCTCCAATGAAGTAAGGCACTGACCGGTCGACATTGTCAAACATGCCGAACTGCTTTACCAGCTCATCTGGGGTGTTGTAGTTATGGTAGTCCACCCAGGCACCCTCTGGCAATGGGCTGGGCAAGCAAGAGGCATTGTCGGTGCTGGCGATCAGAGTAAGATCGGGGTAGGCATCGTGGATAGCATTGTAGAATGCGGTAAAGCGCTCCGCGTACGATTCGCATCCACCGCCGAGGTTATCCTCGTTTCCGATCTCGACCAGGGTCACGTTCCAGGGCTCCTCGCGCCCGTAGGAGGCGCGAAGCTTGCCGTAGGTTGTACTGGGGTCGCCCAAGACGTACTGCATCATGTTAGCCGAAATCAAGAAGCATGTTGTTAATGTGAACAGAAGACTCACTTCGAGTTCGTTCAGAACATCCTCGATGTACGGAGTCAATGCATCTCCTGTAATAGGGGTGTTGCCACCAGACTCCAAGGCGAACCCGGCCCACACACCCAGAACTGGAGTGAGATTCATATCCTCACACCAGTACAGATATTCGTCCAAGCCTAATCCGTCGGTGTTGAAGTAACCCCAAGTGCCTTGATGTCCGGGGCGGTTCTCCAATGGACCGATGGTCTCGTTCCACTTCCACCTCGTTTCGACATCATTGCCCTCACTAAGATATCATGAGCAAGCTAATTCAGAAGAGAGACGGGATTGAAACTCACAGGTTGTTACCACCGGGAAACCGTAGGAATGAACCCTTGACAGACTCGAGTGCGTCAGCCAGTTGGGGTTTGAGTCCGTTGGATCTGTCAATCATTAGTACTAGTGTCGCCTATCAGCACTATGAATGCACACCTGGACTTGTATGTTTGCGCGAAAAGCTCAAACAGCGTGAAGCTCAAAGAAGATCCTTGTGCTGACTCGCCGTCCACCGTTAACTCATACAAAACATTGCCATCGGGTGCCTTAGTAGTCGGGAACTTCACAGACACTTTCGTGTAGTCGTCCGAACTTGATGACTGGTTGAAAGTGGTCGACCCGTACTCCGTGCCGGTCTCGTTTCCAACCAGACGGACCGTGATTTCACCAGAGAAATCACCCTTCATCCAGAAACTATTCTGAAACTCGGTGCCGTCCACCGGAATGCCCCAGTATCCTTCATTCGTGAAGCCTACAGCCCCGGTGGCGTCAGGCTTGATGTCGAGCTTAAGACTGTTTGGAATGGCAGCAGTCAAGGGGTTGGTAGTGTCCACCGAAATAGTGCCATCGCCAACTGAGGCCCATGCGGTCAGGTTGGGTGAGCTCCCCTGGAGCCCGTTGTTTTGTATCATCTGGCCATAGATACCCCCATCACCGGAATGATTGATGTCCTATTCCTGAATTTGTGAATGGCCTTTTGAGCTGCAGTATGTCTACTTACCTCGAACATAAACCCGTACAACAACGGACTTGAAGAGTTGCCCCCATCTGTACTAACTTTTAAGGAGACTCCATCGACACTTTCAATGATGGAGAAGAGAAGGGAAAGAGCACCGAGGCCCGAGATGGTTGAGAAAGCCACCATAGTTGTTTCTTGTTATATTCCTCCTGCTCCCTCCATTGTTTGAATGGGTTGGACAATCAATTTATGCAGCCTCGGACGAAATTAACCGAGCTGCTCCCTGGAAAGACAGCTCTGTGGGGATTGTACACAAAAATGGCGATGATATTCGACCGAAGTGGAGAGATCTGGGGCGCTTGAGTGTGGAGGAATGCGCTCTAGCATTATTACTGCGAAGTCCCCCGCAGGGAGTAATATTGAAGCACATATCTCGGCGCATATTCTGTGACTACTCCAGTCTTCAATTTTAACCGTTGTATCCACCATATCCTGCCGTGCCTGAATTCCGAGGACACTACGTGCATGATCGTACGATGAATGCAGATCACGCACGCCCACCAACCGGGCTAGCTGATAGTGCCTGATGGTCTCTGCACGAAGTGCCCCGTGCGGAGTGAGACAAGTTCTCAAGTAAAAATCGACAAAAGGCGAGCTGGATATTTACTCCTTTCTACTCTAAACAATCACATACGACCATAGGGTGTGGAAAACAGGGCTTCCCGTCCGCTCAGCCGTACTTAAGCCACACGCCGGCAGGTTAGTAGTTGGGTGGGTGACCACCAGCGAATCCCTGCTGTTGTATGTTTTTGTTTTTGTTTAGGCACCGATTGAGTAACCTTTTCCCGAATTTACTACTAAGTCTCTTGTAGTATGGATAAGCATACGCTAGGGCATAGTTCCAGTGACTGCACCACTCATGTTGTAATGTTATGAAACATAGCCTATAAGGGCGTCTGGTGGGCTTAGGGCCAGGAACTAATCTATCGTGCTTTAGTACATGCACAACGGCAATAGCTTCTGTCTCCCCTCATTTATCTCCGCATCTCCTCCATAGGTGTAACGATCACAGTAAAATCCCGGCGGAACTCAGTCAATATGCAAAAGAGCTGGGGGAATCACAACACGAAGATCGAGATAGATGCACCCAGGTCACGTGTGACCTTAGATACTCTCTCCTCTCTCTCGTTGCTGCCTTCTGCTGATGTACATATCTTCCGCTCCGTTAAAATCTGGATGCCACCAGTGACCACCATGGATATCCTGCCTCCGCCAGATTACCCTCCTCTAAAAGCCGACCGAGTACCCTCAACTCCCAATACGAACACCACCAGCGAAGCTCAAAAAATCGCATGCTTCTTGCGTCAGTGGTGATATCCAGGAATTTAGACAGATGCTTGACTTACAAGCTTCTTCACCGGAGGGCTTTGAGATATGCGGCTTCTCCGCGATAATGCAAGAAGCTATAAAACGAAATAATACGCAGTTTGTCAGAGAGCTTCTCGATCGTGGTATGCTTTGGAAGCCGTAAAAGTAAAAGGGAAGGATACTCTAGAAGCTTTTCTTCAAAACGGATGGGATATCAATCAGCCCGTGAGCGAACTCAGGCCTCCGATACTTGGGTGAGCATTCTAAACACTGTGCTAATGGCCAATGTGTCAGGGCTAACATTTGTCAGCTACGCTATTGAAGATGAGGATATGGTAACTTGGCTCCTTAATCATGGAGCTGATCCTAATCGTCAATACGTTATTAATCTTACCCCATTCTCTTTTGCCGTCGAGAGCGCCCCTATATCCGTGATCCGCCTCATTCTTAGCCATGGCGGGGATGTTCAAAAGGGCCAGCTTCTTCATCATGCAATCAAACGTCAGGCAGATACTATTGATGTTTTGAGGCTTCTCCTCGAACAAGGAACACCCATTAACGCCACTATGTACGAGAAACATTATTCTTCTCGGGCATTATTCCAGTTTATGGGTCTCGGCACGGCTCTGCACGAAGCGTCTGCACTGGGAAAGCTGATGTAGTGCAGTTCTTGATCAGCAAAGGTGCTGACCAGAGCATAAAAGATACAAATGGTCGGACGGCTATGGAGTGTGCGCAAATATCGGGCCACAGGAAGTGATCGAAGTATCAAAGGAAGAGTGGTAGCTCGTGTCTCCTGTGTATTGTGTTATTTATTTGATGTAAGAGTATGCATGTTCATCTCCAAGGCCCCCGATGCAGTGGCCAAGAGCTTGACTATACTAACACTTCAGCCGTGTCTTGTTGGATGGCATTAGTTTTCTGCTCTTATTAGCAGGGCCCTGCTCTAGGACACTTGAATAGAAACCGGCCAGGGCTGGAAGCTGAGCCTCATTGTCCTGCCTCAAAACGGCGGAATCTCGCTGGAACTCATTCATTGTTCCTGTTAGCCTTGGCTGAACTTCGGATGACAATGCCATGAACAAGCACGCTGGGTCCATGATGTGTTGCCAAGTTTCATAGACCCCGGAGCAGAGTTGCCTTGCTAGTGTTTAGGGTTCTCTATCCCCAAGCTTTACAGTAAGGTGAGAAGAAAAAATCACAAATTGATATTATAGCGATGTGTGTAACTGAGCCAGATTGAGATATGCATAACGCCAAACGTCCTTCTGCATAGGAATGTTTGTATTCCAAAGACGACAATGAAAAAAACACAGACACTATGTATCGAGAGAAAGACAATGCCCGCAAACAAGACTAAACGAGAGCAATGACAGAGAGAACAGCAACAACAATGCATACCCCTCCAGAAATCACATTCTTGCCTGAACCACCGGTGAACAGAAGCTGAGTAGGCGCAGCAGTCTCGGACGGCACAGCAACAGAAGAAGACTGTGCAACAGTCTCAGTAGCATGTGGAATCACAGGTTGGGAATGGACAGCGGAGCTCTTGACAGCACCAGAGGTTGAGGCAATCCGATTCTCCTCATTCTCATTCTCATTCTCACATGTTGGTTGCTCGAACTGCTCGACCTGGTATTGTCTTAAAAGCCAGGCTGCCTCGTCTCGGCCGCTGCAGGTTTCCTCGCTGTTACATACGTTTCTGTCATAAAGACCGTATGTGTAGAAGGCATCTGTCTTCTGGTAAAGCTCCCCATCCTCAACGTTCTGTGGGTTGGACACAACAGGGTAGCCCATATAGGCTGTGACCTGGCCATTCCCGCAGTCATCGACGGCTTCACGGACAAAATAAGCAGTAGTGTGGTGGTCGCTGTGGTCTCCGTCGCCGTAGTCATGGACGAAATCCTGAGTGTTGACACGGTCATGGTCGAAGTCGTCAAGCAGCTGTCTCAGGACATCGACCAGAGAGTCTCTGTCATAGGAGGAATCCGTGAAGGAAGTCAGAGAGTCTATGGTTCCTTCCCAGAGCTGCTGAAGACTTCCTCGTCCTCCGAATCCCTCTCCACCATCATTTCCATCGGGCAATCGGAGGAAAACAAGGGAGACATCGGGGTTGCCGTTCAGCGTGAACAGAGGGATGCTGAAGCCATCGATTCCGGCGTCAGTTTGGGTCCAGGAGTTGTCGACACCGCTCATTTCCGCATAGGCGGCTTTGGACCCTTCCTCGCGACCGAGCCAGTAGCTTTCATCATTCCCCGCGTCTCCAGCGGTAAGGAAGATGGTGCGGACGCTCCGACCTTCTTCGAATTCACTGAGGAGATCCGGGCTGAGGAAGAGTAGATCGTCATCCTCGTGGGCGACTATGTTGATTGTTTGCGCAGTGGCGGTAGCTGCAAGAGCGAGCGACAGGATAAAACTGGAAGGTTTCATGCTGACGAGGATGGATAGGTACCTAGTAACTTGAAGATATAAAGTAGGGTACTTAGAATGAGGTAGATATTCTGGTCCAAGTCTTTCAGGGTTTATATAGCTTTGACTGCGCTTGACTCTGCCATATTACACCCGTTTTCATACCGGCTTTATGAATGCAAGAACTGATAAACCTACGTTTTACCAAGTCTTTCTGTGTGTTTGGACGTTAGCAATGCGCCTCGCGTGATGAAATCGGCATCACAACAAAATAGAATGCCAAAAACGCCGAGAACATAACAAATAACCTGTTATCTGGCATTGAAATGCTTTCGTATCTTTCCGATAACGTACATTTTCAAAACAATCAACAAGGGAGCACGATATGCTATGCGATAATTCATTGCTATCGAGCACAAGTGTCCCCATCAATTATGATCTGTACAGGTGACAAACTACACACTAAAGCTATGATCTAGTTTATTTGACTGGACTATCTGTCCATCAAACACAGCTGTTCATGGTGGTACTATTCACAATTGGCACACGTGTACATAGTATGCATTTTCGCAAAATTTTCGCGACGTGATAATACCTAGCAAACAACAACATATCTCTGTTTTCGGAGGCATCTCGGTAAGTTTGGCCGGCGGTATTCCTGACCAAGCAGTCGGCCATTGTTGCCGAGAGGACCGGAGATGCAAGGGATCTGCATTCCAGTCAATTCGACATATCCCTTGGGTACAGGCGGCAGAAGTCCGAACGGAATGGGTTCAATCCCAGCTGCAAGGGTTGAATTTACTGTGATGTTCTGTTTTCTTCTCATGGTGGTAAATATTTTGTGGTGGCGCCGCATTATTTTACTTCAGAAAGGGCAGCAAAGAGTACTATGTACCGGACTGAGATTGAGGACATCCTTTATGAGAGGCACAGGGTTGTAAGCAGCGCCCACAACATAAAATTGACAGTAGCGCGGGAAAATTGAAGTGGCTGGAATATGACCAGCCTCTGCCGTTGCTTCAGGTGACTACACGTTCTCGCGTGTCGCGTTCCCAAGCAAACTATCTTCCTTTTCCGGTGACTTCGGTTCCCTCCATAACCCGCGGAGTTTCTCCCACAGGGCGTTGATTGCCTCCCACCCAACGGCGTGATACAACAAAGCTAGTAGTGAGATGGAGTAGCCGATTATCTGGATTCCGGAGATTTGTGTGCTCCAAATGGCGACGGACAGGAGCACCAAAACGATATTCTTCGGAATGCTGACGAGTGCCATCACCAGCCCAGAGGTCTTTTGGATCTGGAGTGTCTGTTAGTATGTTGATATCTTCTAATCTCACTCGCTTGACTTACAAGCAGATATATAGAAATGTTTAACATGAAGCCTAACATCGCGTTTAGCAGCAACACATGTGGCCCGGTCCGGTAGACAGCATCCCAGTTGAAGGCCGAGTACTCGGTGTACCCGACAACGATGGCATTCATGAGCACACACGATGGCGCGGTGTAGTATAAGCTGACGAGGGGGTCCATTTTGACGCCATTCCCAGAAAGCAGGATTTGTACCATGACGAGACGGTTGGCATCGAAGACAAGGCAGGCCATTTGGAAGGCGAACCCGAGCCAGGAAAATTGGATCTCGCCTGTCCCTGCCAGGACGACACCGAATGCGATTACCAGTATCCTGGTAAATACTTTTATGGATGGTTTCTCGACTCCCCACGCCCAAGCTGTTAGAAGACTAACCACAGGACCCAGAGCCTGTAAGGTTTTATTGTCAGCAATGCCTTCAACCATCTTGTAAAGAGCATGACGTTGGTATGTACCTTCAGCATCTGAGCAAATGAGACGTTCAAGTACACATAGGCAATGTTGCTGCAAATCAAGCTTCCACTATACAAAATACCGATGGGCGCGATAGAGCGTATGTAAAAGGCTGGTGTCATGTTGATTGTCGTTCGGCCCTTGAGCAAAGTTGTTGTCTTTGCGAGTACCTGGGTGGCTATCGTGGTGAACAGTAAATGCCATGTTGTAAGAATAATAGCTTGAACATGTTAGTTGACAGCGCTCGTCGATAGAAGTTGGACTCACGATAATCTATTCAGACACCAGTAAGCACATGTCTTATTGAACAAGGGCGAGTATCAACTTACTGAATCTTTCAGGAGCTAGAATCCACTTATTGAACAGTATAGTACCAATGGAGAGGCAAATCCATATGCTATTGCGGTGATCCAGTCAGTTAGGCGAGCAAAGATTTATTCCGTAATAGGGAAGTGAGTACCAAATATGCACCACAACCCGCAGCTGGGGCTCTGCAGAGCCACCTAAGATCGCTCCCATTCTGCAGTTTTGTGCATGCACTTTCCTGACATGTGTTTGTTAGGATAGGATCCATGGTCTTTAGCTCCTGTATATGTCCCTCTGCCACGGCGCCCACGACCCCGACAACCCACAATTTGCCTGTGAAGCCATCTACTAACAAAGCTCCCTATGTAACATGGGGCGGCTCGCTCTGACCCGTATGGTCGCAGAGGTCTGATGCAGGTACGCATTTGGTAATAAGCCTCGGGTTTCCGGATGAAGAATCAGTGTAGATGGAGTGTCTGCCTGAGTCAGGTGTTACAGTTTCTAATTGTGTGGAACGTCCGAAGATGTCAATGCCGAGTGCTCTATGTGTACAGCACTAGGAGTGCAGTAGTAGTCATGCATTCTGTGTATGTTGCATTCGATGACTGGGGTAGACCATACGATTACGTTCACATTTGTATGAGAAGCTGTCTGTTTTGTCTAATATATTCATTGCAGGAAATTATTTAGAATTCATTTGAGTAGCATACGCACCGGTGCAATTTGCTTTCAAGTGGCAGCAGAATAGACCTTCCGTACCGCGGCAAGTACTAGACCTGGACAGCCCACCCAGCTTCTTGTCAACTTGAAAGATGCCTTACTGCTACTTCCGTCTTACATATCACTACTAGGTAGGCATTGGTACTGGCATTCTTTGATATCATAATGGCCGTTTCGGTCAAGTTAGTACGTAAGGTAATACTACCACCTGGAGTAGACGGCTGCTAGAGGGCTCCACCGGCCACCTCCCATTATCAGGGCATCTCGCATGCTGGCGGCAAACCGACCAAAAGCCGAAATGTAACTCAACACCCCACTAACAGAGCCCACTCCATGCGATGAACATTCCGGGGGTCTGATTGGAGGCAAAATACACCCGGTATGCAGTGGCAAGTAAGAATGCTGGCCCACGGACATCGGGTGTCAAACTGGAATGTTATACGCTTTCGAGAATTACTCCTAGAATTTCCTGTGCTGGTTGCGGTGAGCTTGCTACAATTGTCACCTCTGAATCCATTGCAACCATGGCTCCAGCTATACACATGTCCTGGTCGCTAAGCTGCAATATGGGTATATGTGTTTTGCCCCTACCATCAGGGAGTACTGCCCCGTTAGCAGACTCTCTTCACGATGATCAGCGCCCGTCCTCTTTCGCTGTGGAAACTTCTTGCAGCTGCCTCCGTATCTGCTATAATCTTCTTCTGCTTGCAACCTGACCTGAGCTTCAGCAGTCAACTTCTTCGATACAGTCCATCCACCACCGACAATGCCCCTGTTGCAGCGATTCCCAACCAAGTGCATTATGTTTACATCCTGAAAGACCCGGAAGCCGACTTCTCTTTCCAATTCAAGCACTTTCTTTCCATCTACTCTGTCCAGTATCACTGGAACCCCAGACGCGATATATCTCCATACAAACGCCAATCGATCCGCCATCGAACGTGCGTCCGAGGGGAAAAGTGGAAAATGGAACCGCCTGATCTTTAATACTCCTAACTTTCGAGTGAACTATGTTGAACCGCCCACTATCGCGGGCAACGGGATCCCTATCGACCAAATGGAGCACAAGTCCGACTTCGTCCGCGTTTCCGCCGTCTGTGATTTCGGCGGCGTCTACATCGACTTCGATGCACACCCCATACGCGACATCAAATTCCTCAGAGAAAGCGGCTTCAACTCCGTTACCGGTCGGCAAGCGGGTGGCGAGATAATGAGCGGCACATTCATGGCCAAGAAGGACGCTCTCTTACTTCAGATGTGGAGGAAGGAAATGCACCGCGTTTACGACGGCGGCTGGACCACCCACAGCAATGCAGCCCTTACACGTCTAGGCCAGCGTCTGGTTCGGTTACCGGGCGAAGTGCTCATCATGGAGCAGGATGCTTTTGGACCAGGCAGCTGGACAACACCGGAGAACATCAAGCTATACGGAATCCACAACGATACTGAGTCCAATCTGAAGCCCTTTACAGATCGCTACTCGCTGCCGGCTTACGAGGAAGGTATTTCGGATCGATGGGACAGGCCGCAGGATTTTCCGTCGTGGGAGACCGATTATTCACACACATACATAGTACATGCCTTCAACCCTGCGCGCAATGGGAACCCGGTCGAGGGCTTTGAACATATCACACCGGAGTATATTCTAGCCCGGCAGAGCAATTTTGCGCGGGTACTGTATCCAGTTACGAGAGATATGTGTGAGGCCGGTTTAGTAGAGATAGATGATTCTTATCTTGGATAGTACAAATGAATTTCAGCAATAGTGCCAGGCTTGGTTAGCAAGCCAATAATCCAGATCAAACAATAACATAGTCAGTGCAGTTTGGATCTCCATAGAGGACTCACGGTCGCTGAGTAACATAGCAAGGTGCTTCGGTTAACGACCTATTTCGGAACAGCTATGGAATGTGTCGGTCCAACCTTGCCCCCGGGTTGAGGGTTCCTTGGATTCCACGACCAATTCCGGAAAGAGGGAGGGCATATTTCCCAGCATCACGGTTACTCTGGGCTGTCCCACAGTCCACTTTCTCCGTGACTATCCCATTGTCACATGAACTGGCGCCGAAACCCTTAGACCGTTTTCGTCCCAAGTTTTCGAAGCAATATGTCGCATTGGGCCGCGCCCAAAGGGCAGTGAAACAGGAATTGACAGAAAAGATGAGAAAAGACCTTCAGAAATGCTCGCCAGCTGGATGTGTTGACAGTCTATCAAGGCTGGCTTGTACACTGCTGTGCCTGGTTGAGAAATACCAGGAGTTGCTCACATTTTCCCGACAGTTATCTACTCAAGTCTGACAACATGATCCTGAAAGGGCCTCGAAAGCCGGGCCTCACAAGAATTCTAGGTTTGGCACTTTTCGTCTGTGCCATCATTTATCTGCTCTGGCCAGAGGTCGATGCTCGCTACTGGGACAGGAACGTGCCGCGAAGCAATGGAGACTCATTGCACGATGATATACTCTCGCATACTCAAAACGAGACTCTAGGCGTCAGGACCCAATTTCCCAGATTACCCTCTCACTGCCTAACTAAACCCGATCTCTAGTTCGAGCATATATACGCCATCGGTTTGAAAGAACGAACCGATAAACGGGATTTCTTGACTTTGGCCTCTCTGGAGGCTGGGTTCAAAGTGGATTGGCTTGATGGAGTACGAGTGGACAGCCTGGATCCAAAGTCTTTGCCTAATGTACGCACTGTACACATGCCTGTACTTTCCGTGCTAACCACGAAATCAGGGGGCCAACTTCTCGTGGATCAAACCAACTGCTGTGGCGTGTTGGCGGGCACACATGAATGCAATGCAGAAGTAAGGAAATCTCCGCCTTTACCAAAATGATACTAATACAAATATCCCCATAGAGTCCTCCAGAACTCGTACTCGACCGCCCTCATTCTCGAAGACGATGCTGACTGGGATATATCAATCAAACACCAACTGCGCGAATTTGCCCGCGGAGTGCGCCAGCTGAATGGGGAAGAACACGCACCCAAAGAAACTCCCTACGGCCTGGACTGGGACATCCTGTGGATTGGAGGATGTGCGTCCGGCCCCAGCGCCAACGAAACCACGTTCTTTGCCATTCCGGATGATCCCACGGTCCCAAGCAAAGAGCATCTAGACACATGGGGCGGGCCGCTGGAGAAATGGAAAGAGCAGTACCCCGAGCTGTCGGATGACTCTACACGCTTTATCTACCAGGCTAGCATGGGCTGTTGCACCTACGGGTACGCGGTCACGGCGAAAGGGGCAAAGAAGATTCTCGCCGCACTTTCGCTGGATCGTCTTGACTGTCCGGTTGATAACGCTATGAGTGATCTCTGTGCAGGCACGAACGGCCGGCGACAGGTGAAATGCTTCGCTCCGTGGCCGAACCTGATCGGGACCTACAAGCATGCCGGTCCAGAATCGCGTGATTCTGACATCGAGGACCGCTCTGAAGACAAATTCCATGACGCTTCGTCAATGAATGTGGTATACAGCACTCGGCTCAACATTCAGCGACTCATCGGGCAGGAAGGAAAGGTATATTCTCAACACAAGGATAATCGTACAGATGCTGTTAGGGAGTTGGATTTGAGCGAGATTGACTATCCGCGGGGTTTTTTGGTCGGTTAGACTAGTTTTGAGGAAAGAAGGCACATGCCAATTTTCTGCGTCTGTTATTGCAGATGGATTATTACTTCTGCCGTAGCCTGTTTGTCAAGATGTCGTAAAAATAGCAGTCGGGCACAGTGCTAAGTCACTGTGCAAGGTCACTGGCTTACCGACTGGGTCGAGGATTGGGATAGACACAGTCTGAGCCCAGATTCGTCTCAGTCAATAATGGATAGAGAATCAGGCCCCTCCATGCCACCTGCAAATGTGACTCCAAATTTTTCCATGTTCGAAATTTCTGAAATGGGAGTGATATTAATAGAAAGGTTGCATTCAATATGTGCTAATTCTCATCACGTGGGCGACCCCAATACTACACAGTGCCGCAAACGCTATGCTATCCAATACTGGAACTTCGTAGACCATCCAAACTGTCTGTCTGTGTTCGTCTTGATTATACAACTTTCATGAGTAGAACTACCGAAAATAAATCAGTATACTGGACTTGCAAGCATTGAAGCTAGGCATTATGGGGCAGGTCCACTTACGCACGCCCTGACTATAATGTCCTCATACCATGCAATGCGCTTGTGATCGGAATTACCTGCGACGTTGCAACACTATCGACATGTATCTTGTGTTTGAAACGCAGGGTTAGTCTCTGTTCTCAAGCGTAACGGGTCATCACATACAGAGTCATTCCAGCCAAGGCCATGAAAATCCCGCCGATGCTTTCCCTCGAGATCGGCCTATCACTCCAGAGCCAGCCTAATCCGATAATTATGCAAGTTTTCAAGTGGCCGATGACGGTGCTGCTAACAGGGCCAACAGCGTCAATGATAAAAAATTGGGACAGGTTGACAAGACAAGCTAGTACACCACTCTGAGAGGAGTTAGCGTTGTTAAAGATTGCAAGTTACTGGCATCAAACAGTGCTCCAAGAAAGGACACATACCGCAAGAATAGAAACGCATAACGACCCAGAGACCACAACGTCTGTGGACGGTTTTTCGAAAAAGGGAGCCACAATGAGAAGCACAACTGCGCTCATGGGTGCTTGATTGAAGAGGAGCTGCACGCTACTCATTTCGAATCTTCGGTGATAATGTCCGATGAATGCAGTGTATAGAGAACTGGCAACGACGCCAGTGAAGGCAAAGACTGCACCTTGAGAGGATGTCGTGATGTTGCCGTGCGTTTTAGGCAGGGATTCATAGTATGATACAGTCCCAACGCCCGCGCACAGCATTATCAAGGGCAGGATGGACGCCTTTGGAATGGTTGCGCGGTAGAGGAGAAAGTTCAACAAAGCCGTGAGTGGTGTCAAAAGTAGTCGCACGAGTTGGTAGAATATGACAGATGAAAAGGCCAACGAGAGATTCTGTAGGATGACTTGCAAGCACATCAAGATAGCAAGGTGGAGCGTCTGAAGGACTGGAACTCGTTTTGCGGTGAAAACGCCACACCAAGGTCGCGATGCAATCCACAAGGTGAAGCCTGTGACAAAAAAGTGGTAGCATGCGAAGCCAATCTGGCAGTTGCCGAATGACCCGTTGGCAAAAATCGACTTATTGGTGAACACCTTGCACCGTTCAGTATACCGACTTTCTGTCAAGCTATGGTAGGAAAGGCTCACGATTGAAACTGTAGCCACAATGTTCACTAAAACCCAGAAACCAAGACGGGCTCTGGAACTTGTGGAATATCGTTAACACCTGGTGAGATTCATGCAGTAAGTAGATGACATACCGGTCCTTTCCTGCTAGATTCCATTCTGCTGTATGTGCTGGGCTGGCGCCCCAGCTGCATAGCCACTGTGTAGGCCATCTAGCCTTCTCACTTGTTGAAGGTTCTTTCGTAGTGATGACCATTTTGTAAGTTGCTATAATTGTAGCAGAGGATATGCTCCGTGTGTGCTTTTATTCGCACAGCAGGACCTTGCGAAAGACATGCAACCATTGTAGCGTAGTATCCTCGGTATATGAAGTAGCCGTAGTGGGTTAGAGTCACCTATAAGTGCATTGATGAGGTGACATGTTCTGTGTTCTGATCCACTGCTTCGTTGCTACCTGCCTGTACCCCGGATACCACGCAATATGCCACATGGCTGTCGAATCCGGAAGTGCCTCAGGTGAAGCATCGGAGGTTCAGCGCACTTCCATTAACCGTTTACCAATAAATATCAATTAATTGTGCATTTCTTACCCGTCGAAATCTTGATTCCGCCATTATTATTAGATGTACATGAGGTCCAATGTGGGGGTCTGTCAACAGGCCGAATTGTCCTCCAACGCAACCGGTGGAGCAATCTACGCCGAGCACACGTCGCCTGAGGTCAATCGTCTTGCCCAGCCTTGGGGATGGTGATATCCTAACATATTAAACCATCACGGACCGTCTCCAGTTCGTTTATGATATTTCAGACGTTCCTTCTAGTACAATCCTCTCCGCGGAAAGGCTGCTGCGACGGGTGCTGATGGACGCCGGTGGATGCATGACAACTTCCGAGCATTGACAGCAGTCCATCACGTTTTGCTCACCATGTTGAAACTCGCATGAGATCTCTCGCCAAAATATACAGCAAAGGTCTTTAAATGAAATGTCAATTGGAGGGCTGGAATGTGGAATGCAAGGACGAGGGTTGGAATGCTCTAGCACCTCCAGCCACTTTTCTCAGCCCTTGCTATCGATTTCTATAACTGATAATATATTCACCGGCCGATATATTTCCCTATTGATCTGAGATCCAAATATACCTCCATGGTGTCCATTATACGGAGGCGAAAAAGGTGACTATTCATCTTTAACCGGAGAAAAATCGGCGCCCCAAATCACTTATCGTGTATTTCGCCGCCTGGGGAGCTATACCAATCCGAGAAATCAGATAATGACGAGCGCAAACTGCCAATTTACATACCGCCGCGGAGAATAATATAAAACCCTTTGTGTAGTCTGGCGGCGCAATGTCGGATATTGGTGCCATGGGCCGTAGCCGATGGAAACGTCATATCTCAGGAGATTGCTCGGGCTCTGATCCGATCTCTTGCGATTAGGGTTTTGGGCTCTGCATACGGCCGGATCTATAAAATTTCTGTTTTGCCTTGCTGGCTGTTGTTGTATCCGCAAGTATATTAATAGCGTTGGCAATGTTGGACGTCACGCATGTCGACCAGGACGGCTATGTGGCCGTCAATATTCTACTAAGCGTCTGGGAGATATTTCTCGTCAGTTATGCTACCGGATGGCGTGCATGAAAGTGCAGATTCGTTGCAGGCGGCGGTTATCGCCGTGTGCACGGTATTCTTTGCTATGGCTGTGCTGGCGATGTGTGGCCGGGTGTACTCCAGGGCTCTTTTATCCCACAATTTTGGGACCGAAGACGTGCTTATGATAATTGGGACGGTACGCATCTAAAGCCTAGCTAATATGACGGCCTCTGACGCCTCTTAGGTCCTTTCTGCTGCCCATCTTGGCGTCAGTCTTGAAACAATCCACTACGGAGTCGGAAAGCACGTCGAGGATGTGCCAGACCTCGAACGCTTCACCTCAAATATCTTGAAATACACACTAGCCTCTGCCGTCCTATTTATACCGGCTACCGGATTCGTCAAAGCGTCTGTCCTCGTCTTCTATTACAAGACCTTCCCGGTCAGGATCTTCGGCATCATCGTCACCCTGCTGCAGGGTATCATAGCGGCATATTCGGTCGCCTGCATCTTCGCCTTGATCTTCGGTTGCGATCCGCTCGCACTCGCCTGGGATCCGAGCATCATGGAAGGCTACTGTATCAACCAATTCGCTGTATACTATGCCCAAGCCGCGTTGAACGTGTTCACGGACCTCGCCATCATTACCCTCCCCATTCCACTCATATGTGGACTCCACATTCGTCGAAGCGAAAAAGCCATCATTTTCGCTCTTATCCTCGTCAGCCTGGTGGCAGTCGGAGTGGAAAGTGCCAGGTTCAGCGCAATCCATAAGCTTCAAACGTCCAGCGACTTGACCTGTAAGTGCTCTTGCTCTACCCTTCCTGTATCCTTAGCTAATACGTTGTGTTCAGGGGCAACCGGAGAAGGAATCATCTTTGGACAGGTAGAGCTCAATGTGAGCATCATTTGTGGGTCGGCGATCGTGATGCGGCCGTTTTTCCGGCGATATCTGCCTGCCTTGTTCCATACGTCGAGGACGTCCTCGGAGCCGAGCATGATTACGATTTCTTCCTCGTTGAGGGAAATCGTCTAGTTTGGGTATCTGGAGTAATGATGTTAGAAAGAACTTACCTTAGCACAAAGTAGCTCGATATAGATACCAGGCGCCGACATACATGCGATGGCATAAGAAAGAATACAATAAACCGAGGCTAGAGGATAGCTGCGCTCGCGTTCTGCACTGTACCTGACATACCAAAAGCACCTCCTTTTGCACGCAGCCATTTGATCCTGGCCGACGTTATTAATTGTCAGACGCTCAGGCTCTTTACCTACGTATTAAGGCCTAGTTTTTCGTCTACTTGACCACACCTACAGAGGACCTCACATAATCGAATGAACAATCCAACTCGTCTTCTCTTTTGGAGCTTCGACATTAGTATTGGTGAGTATCAATATTCTATACATACCTTCTGACGACTAGCCAGTCTTTTCAGACTAAAAGCGCAAGTCGGTGTTGAAACTACTCTCCAAATCTGCCCTCTGCCTCATCGTGCGCGTGGCCAAGGCTCTCATTCATGGCATGCGGCTCTTCCTCAAAGGCCCATAGACATTGGCGATCTGGTTCAAACGACGTCGTATGGTCTGCCTGGCAGAGTTGTTAACACGCTTCTCCCATCGTGATTGAAACTTTTCCATGCGCTCTGGTCAGTTTGGAAAGACCTATTGCGGTATCAAGTTAGCACAAAGACATCAAGGGTCGGGACTGAGGGTATACGCACCTGTCTTCAATGGTATCGCAGGGGAGTAATGGATTGCGGTGCAGTGGGAATAAGTAACTAGAGCCATCCTTGAGGATCTCTGTCAACTCGATGGAACCGGAAAGTCTCGCTGCTTGGTACGAGTATACAAGCCAGGCTGACTGCTGAAAATCTCCTCATCTTTCGTAGATATGAAGGAGCCGTTTTTAGGGTCCTTTTGCGCCGCGTGCCACAAGTCCTCCATCGACAACTCCTGCGCATGCCAGCGCCGAGCAACGTAGAAGTTATCCATAAGCTGCCGTAGACGGACACGGAGATACCCTCGATAACCACTGGTGGTATGGTCTCTTGGCTCATAGTCTGGATCAATCGCCCAGATCCACATCTCGTCAATACGCCCCCAGGAGAAGAGAACCGATTCCGCAGCTTCCTGGTCTAAATATAAGAACGCATTGTGGAGGATCCCATCGGATAGGCCATGGCCTTGTTTTAGTTCCTCCTCTGTGGGGGCTCCATATATGGGATCGATTTCGTATCTCGGGTACAAGCGTTGCCAGCCAGGTGGCTGCGCCCGCAGCTCCTTGAACTTCCGGCGCAGTCCCTCCACGATGGCCGCAAAGCCTTCGTCGCCGGTGACGATTTCAGCAGGCCAGGCAGGATTCTCCAGCCTCCAGGTGTCTCCAATCTTTCCCTGGGCATAGATGGCACCGCGCGACAGGTTGAATGTTTCTCGCTGCTCGGCGATGTACAGGTCGCGTCGACGGTCCGCCGTGAATCGCGGGTTCTCGAATACCGCCAATCCCCAAGGCTTTTTGCCCTGGTCCTCCTCCCATAATTGGCGCAGCCAGGGTTTCCCTTTCTCGAACACCGTGTCCAATATCTCCCTTTGGCTCTGTTCGTAGGCCTGGGTTGCGGCCTTCCCATCCTCTGACAGCTGCTTCATCACGCTCTCGAAGGCCTCATCTTCACGCTCCTCGTAGAGAAGTCGTTGAAATCGCCGCAGGCGCTCTTCCACTTCATTGCAGTAATCTACTGACATCTCACTTAAGGCCGCCAGAGCTTCGTAATGAACGTTGAATTCATCGTCGGTCATGTAAGTCCAAAAGCGCTCCTGGATCAGGTAATCTTCCTCTCTGGTGAGCTCCTTGGGCGATTCTATTGCCTTCTGAATGAGTTCCGCCTTGGTAAGTGAGCTGACAGCAGCAATGTTGTCATCCTGGACTGAGCGAGGGGGAAGATCCAGCAGCCGAATGCGATCTTCGGAACTGAGGGCGGCGGGGTTATTCTCGAAGGCGTTGAACGTCTCTAACAGAGCAGAAGCCGCATCGAAGCCACGCTGTACGCGTAGGAAGGCTTTGAACAGGTGTTCCATCGTTTGGGGTGTCGCTGGCGGGGAGATGACAGAATCAGGACTGAGCGAGTGTGACGATCTGGAGGGGCGCTCGGAACGATCCACCCTTTCGCCCCGTGAGAAGGGATCAACACCGCCCTACTCTCATGATATTGAGATGTCCATCCATCCATGAGATATTGCTCAGACCTGCACGCATGGTTGAGGTATTTTTCTTAGCGAAGTTCTAGACGATTATATGGCGGGACACCAACTACGATTCAGTTACTATTATACTTTGTGGAATATATATTTCTAAACCAACTGATCATAGAGTATCTCAATTTAAACAAACACTAGTTTGGAATATCTGAAGATATAAATACATAGCAATCCCCTATAGTATCGATTAATAAGTAGGTATACCAGCCCTTCGATTGCAAAACCAGGAATCTCTGTGCATATATCTAAGCACACCAGTAGAGTATTATGCTAATATCTACATATAGACGCCTTCCATTAGCCAAGATATGTTCCGTATAATTGCGTTTCCAGTAGGTCGGCCGGCTCCAGCGGAGCGCGATTGCGCAGACTTTTTGCAAGGTCCGGGAATAAAATAAGCAGGAAAAGGGACTGGAGGCAGGTAGCTGTCGATACATAGTTCAATCTGCGTTCTTACGGGGATGACTCCTACATTGAAGACAAGTCCTCTATATTTCCTTCAGTATGGCTGTCCACGGGGCCATGGGATGTCCACATGGTGCGCCGTTTCTCCCTCGGAGGCTGATCCGAACTACTTGCGGAACACCCGAGCTTCTCATCACCTACTGTGCCCTAAAGCTCTCGGCAATGATCGGACAGTCTAGATCTTAAAGAGTCACCGCTGTAACAACGCCGATTGCTCGTGTCTCCGGTACGGACGGCGTTGATTGCCAATCGGATGCTGGACCCGAGAAATATCTTTGCCGTATATGGAGAAGTGTCCCCGCAGAGTAGTTGTTCCAGACAAGGAATCGTTGCTTTTTCATGAGTCATTGAGATGCCGCTTTGGGACCCCGCCTGGGAGGGATCTATATCTACCTAACATCGTCCAAACAGCCCGAGAAGAAACGAGCAAGTTCGACCATTCTGCGCTCCCCTCCCGCAGGCCCATACTCGTTGACCAGCCAACGACCGCTTCACTGCGCTTCCACATATGGATACCTCGCAGAGGCACTCGCAAAATGTCTGCTCTGGGTCTGGCACCGACGGCGGCCACGCGCCGGACATCGAGATGGTGATGGCCTCACGGGGCAACACCCGAAACGAAAGCGGCACCCATCTCATGGCAGACACCGACATGAGCCAGGCACGGCGCTCCGACACAAACGAGAGCTTCCCCGATGGCGGGATGCGCTCGTGGCTGGTCGTCCTCGGGTCCTTCCTCCTCCTCATGGCAACCTACGGCCTGATGAACTCGGTCGGCGTGCTACAGTCCTACCTGGAGACCCACCAGCTCTCCGACTACTCCAGTCGCGACGTCGGCTGGATCTCGGGAGTGTTCGTGTTCATCTCGCTGGGTCTGGGGGTCTTCGTTGGACCGCTGTTCGATGCGTACGGCCCCAAAGAACTGGTCATCGCGGGTTCGGGTCTGTACACCGCCAGCCTGTTCCTCACCGCGGAATGCACGCGGTACTGGCACTTTCTGCTGTGCTTCGGGTTCGCGGCGGGCATCGGCGGTGCGCTGGTCAGCACGGTGGGCATGTCCTGCGTGCCGCACTGGTTCCAGGTGCGCGCGGGCATGGCCCTGGGGACGGCCATGGCCGGCGCGGGCTTGGGCGGTGTGGTGTTCCCGTATGTGCTGAAGGGGACGTTCTCGAAGCTGGGGTTCAAATGGGGGATGAGGATTCTTGCGTTTGTGATCATGTTCGCGTGTGGGCTGGGCTCGTTCCTGGTCAAGTCGCGACTGCCGAAGGGCAAGAAGCTCAAGTCGGCGATTGATATCCGGTGTTTCAAGGATGCGCGGTTTACGTGGCTGAGTGTGGGGATTTTCTGTAAGTCGAGGCGAGGGTGAGACTGCATTGTATTGACTGGAATGACTGGATTAGGTCTTGAGCTTGAAGTGTTCGCCCTCATCGGTCTCTTCCCGACCTACGTGGTGAAACAAGGATTCAGCGTTAACACGAGTGTCAATCTCATCGCTGTTCTGAATGTGTAGGTGGTGGCAACCTCGCATCGAAGATCATGCTAATATTCGTGAAAGCTGCTCCTGTGTCGGACGACTGATCGCAGGCCGCATTGGCGACAGATATGGACGATTGAACGTCCTCATCGTGCTCATTACATCCGCCGTGTTTGCGATCTTCGTCATCCTGTACCCGTTCAGCCATTCTATGGCAGCACTCTACGCGTTTAGCGCTATATACGGGATGTGCTCGGGGTCGTTCATCAGTCTTGCCCCAGTGTGCATTCGTCAAGTGTCACCCGCAAAAGAGATTGGAATGCGGTTTGGGACGTGCTACTGCCTGGTTAGTTTTGCGTAAGTTGATCCCTGTAACGACTCATAGGGTATCTGGCTCTAAAATACTACAGGACGCTGATCTGTATACCGATTGGAGGAGAGATGCTGGAAAGGGTGGGCGCTCAGATTGTGGTAGTCTAGCTTGGATGCGTTCTTTGCGTGTCCATGCTGCTATTTTTGACTGCACGGTGGGCATGTCTGGACTATAAATGGGACTGGACCATGAAGGTGTGATGCATTGATGAGGTTATGGGCTGTATTGGAGGGGCAAACAAGTCAAGAAGGCTTTATGATCCGAATCAACTAAAAATCTGGTTTATTTGGAAGTTGGAGAATGCCGCATATATACACCATGTTGGGATAGAATGAACTATAACACAGCAACTTTTATTCATTTACTACAATGAATACTATAATGCACAGTAGCTACTAGGTACATTTAAGCGAATACTACATCTAGTTCTAGATCGACTACCCCCGCAGGATCACTCAGCCGACAGCCTCGGACCCTACTTACCTCGGACAAGACCAACGCTGCATATATACTTCTGGACTACATAGAACAATACCTCAGCCATTGCCATTCATCAGCGACAGTGTCCCTCTACACTGCAGCATACAGCACCATGACCTCCCCAACAACCCCCACCTACGTCCTCGGCGTAGGCATGACCGAGTTCCTCAAGCCCCGTCGCACGCGCGAATACCCCGAGCTAGGCTACGAAGCCGGCGTTAAAGCCATGTTAGACGCCCAGATCACCTACGACGACGTCCAAACCGGCGTCGCCTGCTACTGCTACGGCGACTCGTGTCTCGGCCAGCGGATCTTCTACCAGTTCGGGCTCACCTCCATCCCCATTTTCAACACCAACAACGCCTGCGCCACCGGCTCGACCGGCCTGTACCTGGCCCGCACCATGATCCAGCGCGGCGCCGCAGACTGCATCCTCGTCGTGGGCTTCGAGCAGATGCGCCCCGGCGCCATCAAGAGCGTGTGGGACGACCGGCCCAGCTCGGTCGGCCCGTCGACGGCCCTGATGGAGGAGACCTTCGGCAAGCATCCCAGCCCGCGCAATGCGCAGTATTTCGGCAACGCCGGACGCGAGTATATGCAGAAGTACTAGCCCTCCCCCCTTCCTCCTTTCCCATGGTTTAGTCAGTGTATGGCTAATAAGGACGCAGGTACGGCGCCAAAGCGGAGGACTTTGCCGAGATCGCGCGCGTGTCCCACGAGCACTCCCAGCGCAACCCGTACTCGCAGTTCCGCACCGCATACACCCTCGACGAAGTCCTCAACTCAACCACCATCTACGCGCCCCTCACCAAGCTGCAGTGCAGCCCGACCAGCGACGGCGCTGCGGCCGCCGTGCTCGTGTCGGAGCGGTTCCTCGCCGCGCGCCCGCACCTGCGCTCGCAGGCAGTCCTGATCGCCGGCCAGTCGCTGCAGACCGACACGCCGGCGGTGTACTCGCGCAGCGCGATCGACCTGATCGGGTTCGACATGACGAAGCGGGCGGCGGCGGCGGCGCTGGGCGAAGCCGGCGTCACGGCGCAGGACATCAGGGTGTGCGAGCTGCACGACTGCTTCTCGGCGAACGAGCTGATCCTCCTCGACGGGCTCGGGTTCTCGGAGCCCGGCAAGGCGCACGAGATGGTGCGCCGCGGCGACATCACCTACGGCGGCAAGGTGGTGGTCAACCCGTCTGGCGGGCTGATCTCGAAGGGCCATCCACTGGGTGCGACGGGCGTGGCGCAGTGCGCGGAGCTAACCTGGCAGCTGCGCGGGTGGGCGAATAACCGGCTCGTCGAGGGGGTGGATGTTGCGCTGCAGCATAACCTGGGGCTTGGGGGTGCGGTGGTGGTCACGGTGTATAAGCGGGCGGATGGGGGGAAGAATGCGCCGGTGTCGGACGAGGAGATTAGTCGGGCGTGTCGCTTGGGGTATAACCCGGCTGTTGAGGCGCGGTATGTGACGCCGCAGCAGGGCGAGAGTGTGCGCAGCAAGACTCGGCGGCATGACCATGTTCTGAAGGATACGGTGGCCAAGTTGTCTGCTCGAATTTAGATCTGCCGGTGTGAATCGCCGAGTAAATTGTACCTGTTGTGCTGGAATTGCATATGAATGCCTTGTTTTGTGTACATGATCTTGCAAGGCTGTCGAAAGCGTGAAACCCATCAGATGGATGTAAGGCCACCTAGTACGTAGTTGTCTTGCAGAGAATGATGCCTAGACCGACTGTGGCGTGGTCAGCCACATATGCTCTGCTATAGAGTGGGTACGATATAACACACCTGATATTAATAGAGGCTCCGCAAGACCCAATCCATTGTTTTGGATCCGTCTAGCCTGCAGCTCGCCGAGGTCCCGGATGCGCTGTTGTGGATCGATTGAAACCGGTATACGGAGTACTCCGTACAGGTGGACGACTACCGGAGAGTGGATTGTCCCTGGGACAAGACAGAGCGGTCTAGAGTGTTTTCTTGTGCCGACAAGCCATGAGCCACGTAGACGATGAATTTACAGCCTGATGTCTGATGTCCGATGTTTGATCATCATACGGTAGTCTCATACACCACGCAATAGTCGACACCACCATTAGAAATAAGCTTATGGTGCGACCAGGCAACCGGCACCGAGGATCACGTCCTGCATAGCCTTAAATCGCGTTGAGACAGTACACCCGGCAATCGCAAGTACTTTTGCTCCTTTGTTGACGTGGAGCAGACGGAACAGCTTCCGGTGGATCGCCGCCTAAGAATAGGCGAATGCTCCACCAGAACGGGATAACCTGAATATCAGAACTGAGGTAGCAAGACACAGAAATTGGCCTTGACAGGCTCCACAGCCGGGGAACGTTCCGGTCAAAGGGATGAGTAAAGTAGGGAGATGAATGGAGCAGGATCCATTCTATACTGGGTATGGACAGGGTTTCAGTTGAAAATTCTACAGATCGGCAGTGACCCGTGTGGATGGGGCTAGAGTCAAAGAACAATTCTAGACTATGCAGCTGCGTTCTATCGAGCCGCGGTGGACGATGCATCGAGTGATCGAGTGACTGGGTCATACGGAGTTCATTTCCTTTGTTTCGGCTCCACTTGCTGTACAGGAGTCGGCGAGGATTCGGGGTCTGGCGGTCACAAATTTGGTCTTTGGATGGATTTGTAGGTAGTTCGAGGTTTGTTCATACCGACAGGTCAGCTGTGGCTCTATATGACTCTATACTGTATGGTACTGTAGGTGGATCGGGTGATGTCTTTCCTTTGTATGTAGACACCTAAAAAGTTACCTAGGAACGATCAGCACTCCAATACCCTGTATCCCTGTATCGGACGGTAGCTTAAGTAAATTTAGGACCGCAGCCGCAAGCCGATAGATCGAGTTCTAACCTACTGGTTGACATGATTCGGCCGAAGCAGAGGATGTAGTCAACTCGCCGGGGAACTGTGTCAAGTCCGACAATGCAGGCTAATCATCGTACTTCTTTATCCCAAATGCTGACAGGCACGCAATGCTACCACACAATGCTACGAAAGAAAGTAAAGAAGTGAATGCTCAATAGACAACATGCTGTCAAACAATCTCAAACAGACCATAAAATCACCCTGGTATAGCCGATTCCACGCCCGGTGCGCCAACTAGCCATATGCTCGCGAGTAATAGAAGGGAGAAAACAAAACGCCAGGCTAACATGGTAGAGTCTCCGACATGTAGCTCAATGCAATCATGATGCGTGTCGTAGTAGTCCGGACTCGATGTCAGTTGACAGAGGATGATCGCGACGATTTTGGCAGCTGCTGGGTGCTTCGCATGTGTTGTTCTTGTTCTTGAAGATGTTAGTAGACTATCCAGACGCAACCTCCCTTTGAAAGCTGCTCACCTCTCACACGCTCGATCTGACGGATGGTCTCATTGTGAATCTTGGTCCACTGGGCCTGATAGGCAGCGAGGTCCGGAGCGGCGTCCTTGCTGGGGGTGGTGCCGTTGGTGACAGTCTTGTCCATGGTTGCAATATGTTGTTGCGTTGCTTGTTGCTTCGTGTGCAAGTTCCGAGCCTGACAAACACGAGTATAGATGGAGATGGAGACGGAGATAGAGATAGAGAGATAGAGAGATATAGAACTGCAGTCTCAGATCCAAAGCCAAAGTTAAGATTCAATGCAGCTCAACCTCAGGGCGTCTGGCCTGCTATTTATTAGCCGCGGTAGACGCATCCATGCACGGTTCAAGACACCCTCCCAGGCCTCTTGACACATCGGTAGCAGAGACATCAGCCGTTCCGGTTGACACCATGCAGCCGTTTCACTGGGGCCTGTTCCCACCTCGGAGTATAACTCGTCCATGATGTGTTCTCTATTACCTTCCCTTGCATTCCGTAGGGGGAGGGATGACCCGCTGCGCCGGAATACCCCCGTCGAATGACGATGGACCGGCTTGCAATTCACTAATGACCTCTGCCGAACACGTAGTTCGCATGTGTAGCCTGTGTGACAGACTCCCGGGATGGATAGGGGCCGGTGTGATTGGACTGGCAAGTCTCCGAGCGTTTAGGGGCAGTCGATAGCGGGCTTCTTGGGCACCGATCGGTTGGGTAGGGTGGTGGGCCGTTTCTTCCATGGAAATTCCGTCTCAGTTATGGGGCTGTCGCGATGCTGATCGGTATGTACTCCGGGTACTCCGGGTGCTGTGGTTGGAACCTGGGGCGGCATCAGGCGACACGGAGGCATCGCAACATGGATGTATCTAAAGGCCAAACAGCGATTTTCTTTCTTTGTGACTGGAACCAGCAGAGACTCTACCAGTCACCGCTTATTAGACGTGTTATCTCGTGGGCAACTGACATACCCGTTAGCCTGCCATCTGACTCCCGTCGTAGGCGATCAAGAGGAGGAGGGGGAAAAAACCAGCAAAAGCACATCCCCCATCGCCAAATTAACAGATCCAATCGGGGAGCAGCCGGCTGTGTTCCGCGGATCTTGCACGACGCTGGAATCGATGATTATGCAGTAGGGCTAGGACAATGGTTATATTTAGGGCCCACCGTCCTTTCACCGCCACTATGACCGATCATCTTTCACGGCCCCAACCCGCGGCAGCAGCAGCAGCTACACCGCCATCGCCGAACTCTCCCAGCGGAAGGATCTCGCAGCCTTCTCCTTTGAGCAAATGGTCGGACAGGATCGTCCCGGAACTGATGGGATGGGAGCCGAAATTGCACCCTAATGGCTCTTGACGGAGGAGCTGTTCGCTCCGGATGCACGGAATCATATGACAGGAGAGACGGAGCCATTCCAGTGGTTTGATTATCAACGAAGGATGTACTTTGTCCCATCGTCACGGCTGCTGGCTAACTGGCGGGCGAGCTTCTTTGTTTGCCGGATGCTTATCCGGTTGTCGCGACTGACACCGTGCCCTGCCCGCCGAATCAACCTCTCATTACCCCGTTCGTCACGGACCCTGGATGGTCCTGCAGCTGGGGCCTTTCAAACACGGCATTCTGATGCAATCGCAGGTCCGGATCCCTATCAGCCGACGTATCCCGCCAGGAAAATGAGGAGTATTACCTCATTGTGCGTCGCGCGAGGTCGGTAATGCGCCGCCATTCGTGTGGATACGGCTATGGCATGGGGTTGCTGGGCATATCGCATTGCGCGCTGGGATATCGCAGCAAGTATGATAGACTACTGACCTCGTGACCGACATGTGCTGGACAGTGACGATCATGCACGCACCGGCATGGCTTTGACTGACGATTTCTAGAACTCAATCAGGACATTTCTCCGGTTCCGCGGTAGACGCTGCAATGCCGACCAGGAGAGGATCAGCTGAACGCCGGTTTCAGCAGGACCATGCGGTACAGTGTCAGGCAGAGTTTCATACGTCGACCAGCTCGACGGCGGAATGGCGGTCTCATCCTCTACTGGACGTCTACGGATCGCTCAATGACACGGACGTTTCTATTCCGCGATGAAGTACGGAGTATACACTAGCACAGCACAGCTACCGTCACCATCCAACCAAGACGCCATTAGATGCTGTCAACAATCAGCCGACCGTCTCAGCACAAAGGACAAGGACAGCACCAATCACTCGGTAGGCCACCACGCCTCCGCACTCTCATACTCGCGCTGGCCCTCTTCATGCTCCGTCTTGCCGGCCGTCTGCCAGGCCTCCCAGCCAGTCACATTGCCAATGGCCGCAACGGCGGAGCCCTTGAGGGCATGGAACTGGCCGAACAGCTTGCTCTGGGGCTGGGTGCTCCGCTCGGCCGATTCGTTCATCCTGTCCATGACCTGGTTGATGCGCTCCTCTGTGACCGTGTACTGGTCCGAGATCTTGTCGGAGTTGGGGTTGGGCATGATGATCGGATCTAACGCAGTGCGGATGTTGGGTGTGCGACAGTTCCAGTCGGATTGAATGGAATTCACCGCCACGTCTGGATGTCAGCGGGTTATATAGCCGCTTGATAATGACGCAATGTACCACCTACGACTTTCGTCTGACATCATCTACAGCATCTACAGCACACACAACACACCATGGGATGGACAATGCAGTGGAAGAATCTAATCTAGGCGTCTACATCTACTCCTATGCCCACTCAATACGCCTCAGCTTCATACGCCGCATACATGAACGGCCCAGCCCCCTTATAATCATTCTGCACAAGGGGCACCGAGATATAATACTGCACGCGTCAGCTCCGAACAACCCCTGAGAAAAGAAACGGAACACTCACCTCGAAACTCCCATTGCTGCTCAGACTGCCCACCTCGACAGTGCCCTCAAAATTGATCGTCCCGTTCGCATTGCGCGACACAAACTCCTCCCTCAGCAGCCCATACGCCCTGGTCGTCATGCGCTGGAAATCCCGCCGCGCAAGATACCCCATGCGCATGCCCTTGAGGAAGCCGTACGTGAACATGGCGCTGCCGCTGCTCTCGATGTAGTTGCGCGGGTCGCGCGGGTACGGCTCGTCCATGACGAGGTACCACCCGCCGGCCGCGTCCTGCGCCTTCTTCAGCGCGTACGCGAGCGACCGGAACCGGGTCAGACTCCGCTGCCAGCCCGGGTGCGACCGCGGGAAGTCGTCGAGGAGGTCGACGAGCGACATGAAGTACCAGCCGACGGCGCGGTCCCAGACGTGCGGTGCTGCGCCGGTGACGGGGTCTGTCTCGCGACGTCAGTATCATTTACCTGAGCGAACGCCTCCGAAGATGAAGATATAGATATGGATCGAGGGGTAAGGGAAAAACGCACCAGCCCACACGGCCACCCCGCTCCCATCGTACCCGTGCACCAACAACCCGGACGAGTTATCGCGACAGTGCTTCTCGATCAGGTCGTACTGCAGCATGATGTCGTCCCAGGCGGTGCGGTTCTCCGGCTGGAACCACTTCGTGTAGCGGGCGTAAAAGTTCGACGCCATGTAGATGCCGTCCAGCCACATCTGGTTCGGGTAGGTGGGCTTGCGGTGCCAGAAGCCGCCCTCGGCGTTGCGCGGCGTGATGTCGATCTGCGCGCGCAGCGTGTCGGCGGCGATCTTGTACTTTTCCTCGCCCGTGCGCGTCCACAGGTTGAGCAGGTTGATGCCGATGCGGATGTCGTCGAGGGACAGCTTGTCGCCGGGGTAGTTGAGGAGGGTGCCATTGTCGTCGACGACGGCGTCGATGTGCGACTGGATGAAGGAGAGGAGCGCCGGGTTGCCGGTCTTGTTGTAGGCGAGCTCGAGGCCGGCGTAGAGCACGCCGTTGGCGTAGTTGCGCGAGAAGCTGACCGGGTACGAGAGGAAGGACTCGGCCATCCACTCGGTGTAGTTGGCGGCGGCATGCGTGGTCGCCGCGAGGGCGAGGGAGAGGGCGATTGGGGCGAGCTTCATGCTGAAGTCGTAGTCTGCTTGCGATGGAGAGCTAACCATAGCAGCTCGGCGCTGCTTTATATTCTTCGGCTTGTATCTCGGGCGTAGAGGGACCTCGCCGGTTATCTGCACAGCCAAGACTCACGGAGAAATTATCATCGAGCGTCTCTGCTTGACGGAGGAATTCGCGCCGTCGCGTATGCCATGCACACCCCTGCGCAGCTTGGCAGGCGGGAGAGAACATTAAGCGTCTTGGTATTGGGGATGAATGGTGGAAATACACTCTGAAGAATGCTCCCAAGAAACAGGCCCGTAGAGGCGCAACATATAGCCGAGATAATGATTAAGTGAAGAGGGTAGTTTACAATTAATGGTGGTCATAACTCGTCCATAACACTCCCATCCCCATCCCATCCAACGCCTACCGCCGCAGACTGACCTTGGTGCCGTTGCGCGAGCACAGCGTCAGCGTCAGACCCTCCTCCCACGGACCGGGATCGCGGCTCTCCAGGGTCGTAAACTGCTGCGCCAGACGGACCGTCACGTAGCCCGCCTCAGTCAGGGCATACTGCTGTCCGACGCAGATGCGCGGGCCGCCGTTGAACGGCAGATACTCCCAGCCCGGACGCAGGTCGGCCCAGCGCTCCGGGCGGAACTCGCTGGCGTCGGGGCCATACAGATCCTCACGACGGTGCATCGCCCACACGCTGTAGGTCACGATGGTACCTTGAGGCACGAAGACGGGGGATTTGCCGTCGGGGCCGCCGCCGAGCGGCAGGACGGTGTCCCTGATAGCTCGACGCGAGTTGATCGGGACGACGGGGTGCAGACGGAGGGCTAAGTCAAGTTAGATCTTGCAATATACGGCAGGGAAATCGGGGACGGTGACTTACATTCGTTCAGACAGTACTTCAGATAGGTCAGGTTGCGCAGCTGCTCGTAGGTGGGGGCGCGGCCCTCAAGCGTCGCAACCTCCTCGCGCAGCTTGTTCCAGATCTCCGGGTTTCGCGCCAGCATGAAGAACATGTTGCTCAGAAGCGACGCGGTGGTGTCGCGGCCGGCGAGGAGGATGTTCATGAGCTCGTCGCGGATGCGGTCCCGATCGCCCGTCTGCTTGGCCAGCCCCTGCAGGAAGAGATACCGCGCGCGCTTCGCCTCGTCTCCCTCGGCCTTCTCCTCGTCGTAGTGTTCGCGGTACTTCAGCGCCTTGTCGACAAACTGCTCGACGAGCTCGTGGCACACTCGGTTGGCGTGGTCGGCCTTGGGGTCGCGCACAAAGCGGCGCAGGAAGCCGAGACGGGCTTTGTGGGCGATGGCGTCCTGGGCGTAGTTGAAGGCGGAGGCGAAATCGTTCTCGTCGAGCGACACGCCCGACAGGCGCTTCTGCAGGCTCTGCACGCTGTGGCCGAAGAGGAACTCCGTCGCGGAATCGATCGTGTAGCAGAAGAACAGATCCTGCAGGTCAACCGTCGATCCGTCCGTCGGGATCAGCTCCAGCAGGCCCTGCATGAGCTCCTCGAACTTCTCCAGGTCGGCGACTTGCTCCTTGACGAAATTGGGGCGCACCATCGCCCGCGACTGCGCCCAGTGCTCGCCGTCCGCCGTGAAGATGCCATGACCCAGCAACGGGCCAAAGGTGTCGATGCGGCCGCCCAGGCTGTAGTCCTTGAACTTGAGCGACAGGACGGTTTTGATGTTCAGGGGCTCGCAGGTGTTGACAAAGGAGGTGGCGAACCGCTTCGCACGGAATGTGTACCCGTAGCGCTGGAATCGCTGCTCCGTGAGGGTGAGGAATCGGTGGCTCTTGGCCGCGTCGACGTTCTCGCGCAGCTGATTGATGCCGAACAGACGACTTTCCGTGGAGAGGGCGACGGATTCGCAGCGGTTTTCTTTGATGAAACGAGCCTGCTTCCATTTGCGCTGCAGCACGTTCAGCACGTAGAAGACGACAACGACGGCCACCCCGAGGGCAGCCACCGAGAAATGGCCCTGATCCGTCTGCATGATGTTAATATTTGCGAATATAGATCGCCGCTGCTGCTGCTCGCGTGGGCCGGTGATTATATCGACAGGGGAAGTGTCAAGCTGACAGGGCAAAGGGGGATATTTAACAGAATTCGCTCGGATACACGCAAAGGCCCGATCTCAGCGGGGAATCGGTAAGCGTAAGCCTGAGACTATCAGCAGACGAGGTCCGTAATGCCCTGACGGCGACTGGGTCGAGAAGAGTCATCGAGGGCCGCAGTGGGTCGGACAGCAGTTCTGCCGAGGCCAAAGGGGCCTGTCCGGATTAGGCAAACGATGAGACCGCATCCTTCGCCGGTGATCCTTTCCGCCCATTCGGGCTGATATCTGTCCGATCACATGAAGCCATAACGTTATGGCCGGTCATACAGTTGTCTCAGTGGCTCTCGCGTGTTTTAGGGGCAGTGTGCGAAGCGGGGCGCAATCGGGATGGGATGATCGGCCGAGATTCCCGAGTGTATTATTATGTGCATAAGGGTGTGGAGTCCGATCTGATATACGATTTTCAGAGCGTCATCGGCTTATCCCAGAAACACCACCGTGTCCGCAAGATCCGCGCGCTCCCATACGGCTGCCTCGAGGCGTGCGGTGCCTAGACGCGTTGCGAGAACGAATTGGCCTGGACCGATGCCCCTGACTGAGTCGGAGATTGCGAGGCCCGGTGGACACGGCGGCTCCTTGTGCTGCGGCTCGTGCTCTGCAGTATACATCTGGCGAGCAGTGGCTGGGAACGAAGTGGCGGTCAGCGCCTGCTCGGCCAGCTCTTCTGCAATTCCGCTGCCTGGCGGCCATGCGTGTAGCCGCACGACCATCGCCGAGCAGTGGGATGCTTGGCCCTTGCGGTGCCGTATCATGAGCTGTATCACGTGTGCGTCGAGACGTTGGTCCTCTTCGAGCTCCAGACATCCGCGGACATCACAGTCGCCCATGTATGATCCATCGAGAGTGTAGATGTCGGCGAATCCTTGCAAATCCAGCCCCACGAGCTGGCAACGACCCATCTTCGTGACGACAGGCAGAATCCCACTGAGGTGTTCCTCGTTATCAACTTGTTCCACGGCAAACTCCTGCCGTAGAGCTGGGGTATACGGGATGGGGGCAAAGCACGAGGGCTCCAAGATCTTGATCTGGGAGCCCCAGAAATACGACGACCTCAATTCGACATTCACGGCACATTTCCACGCCACCCACGCCCAGGACGGGAATAAGGGACCGTCGTCCAGCTGTCGTCGTTCGGGCCAGCAGTCAGGACCAAGCAAAGGCGAACTCCATTTCAAACACTCGACCAGCATCCATTTCGGACATCCGTATATCATCTCGCACTGGAACAAGCGACTGAAGTAGGTCGACATCCCGTAGAATGCGTTGAGGCCGTCGCTCTGATATGACAGCTGGCGGACTGTGTACTCCTCCACGGCTGCTACATACATCTTACCAAGCATGTCTGGTTCTCGGTCCATTTTCGCCCTCATGACGGACGCGTTGCCGATGAGATCCGCGTCTCCGTCGCCCCAGCCGTAGTCCTCCTCGCCCTCGCCGCCGTAGACGGCCGATTCCTTGTGAAGGCTGAATCCACAGTACCAGAATGCCTCCCGCTCTGTGAAGAACAGGCTGCGTCGCGACAGGATCAGCTCTTGATAGGTCCACGCTCGGGTCCGCCACTTGCTGTCCTGGAGGTGTTTTGTCAGAGGCGGTTGTGGGATTCCGACAGACACGCCTTGTCGGATCCGAACGCTCTTGCTCCCGGGCAATGGGCGAGGAAGGCTGACGCCGGGAAGCCCTGAATGTGCGTTCTCTCCGGACGCCGCCACGATGTTGACATGCGCTTCCGCGTAGATATGGTACATGGCCCCGATCTGCGCCTGCTTGTCGTCCGCGTCGTTCTGTATAATGCAGACGGCGTCCACCCATAAGTACGGTAGGTCTAGACCGTGCGTCACGCGTATGGCGTCTTCAATGGTCTGCGGCAGCTGGTCCGGAAGCACACAGTAACGCATGCCTTCCCCGTCCTCCATCCATTCCATGCGGTCCGTCAACGTCCACATGTTGGTGACAGGTCCCCAAACATAACTCAAGGTCGCGTATCGAGGTTCCTGCTGCGATCCGGTCTGGACAATGCGCCGGCGTTGCACGTCGATCAATTTGAACCGTGGGTTGTCAAAACGAGGCTCCTGTATTTGGTTGCACCGATCGTGCTGGTCGCAGCACCCCTGCAGCCATTTCTTGCAATCCTCTAGCTCGACCAGAGGCTTCAACTCCCTATATGTTGACAATTCGTGGTCCATCAAACATATCGGTGGCTCTATATCCTTTTCATCTTCGACTGTGCTGGCGTCACATCCGACGCTCTGCCTGTGCAGGGCCACCCCCATGTACAGTCCATTCGACCGATGTAGGCGGGGCACATCGCGCGAGAGCCGGATGTCGTTCACACTGAACTGGACAGACACGCGATCTGGGGTGACTGTCTTTCCGGACTGTCTCAAACGTTCCAGGAGCGTCTGCGCAGTGGGAATGGCAATGTCTCTGCAGAACGGGCATCCGTCAGAGGCTCTTTGTGAGACACTCGGTAGGCTCCCTAGAGAGAGCGTTTCTTTCCTGTCTCTTCGGTATCCGGTGGCGGGGTCACCAAAAAAGAGGTATCCAAAGTCGATGGATTTACAGACATCGCAGAGACTGGGCTCGACGGGCAGGGCATTGAATTTTCCGTGCGCCGCTTGCCTATGGGCTGTATTCTTCTTTAAAGACTGAGACCACCAGTCGTCTTCCTTCCAGTCATCCATGGCTGAGTGTTGAGCGTCTTGAGGAGTGAATTGGGCACGAAGATGTCCTGAGCGAGATATGGCGGGGTCGTCAGCAATTAGCGCCTTGTCCAGCAGAAGCAATTCACCCATCCAGAAATAGGTCACGCGGAGATCATCTGTATTCGACGCATTCTGAAGCTAGAGATCTGTGTACAAACTGTGTTGACATTCGTATCTCGTCAACATCCACATCATATACCGTACATCATACTCCCGCTTATTCCCTCTTCTCGCCCTCAACCAACTCCTCAAACCGCCTCAAATCCATCTCCTTCTCCAGCAACGGGATCACATACGGATCGAACGTCTTCCAGTACGGGTTCTCGAGGTGATACTTCTGCGAGCCCTCGTTGAGGTAGCGCTCGACGATGCAGAAGTCCTGCTTGTCGTGGACGGACTGCATGACAAACCACGACAGCGTCTCCTTATCTTTGGAGTAGACGGCCGACGCCTCGAGCAGCTTCGCGTGCAGCTTCGAGATGCATTCCGGGTCGGGCTTTGCGCGGAGATCTGTCGCGGTGAGCATTGGTGGTGCGTAGGGAGTGCTGTCGGATGCACTTACGGACGACGATTGTGTACACCATGTTGACGGGGCTGTCGGAGCTGTCGGTCAGCGAGATGAGGGGCAGTGAGGGGCATGCGATGTGTTTTATATGAGGCTGTGGGTCTGGATTGTGTTTCGGTTGTTGGAGAGTTTATCGGACAGGTTCCGTGGGTGTGGGATCATATACCGCGTCACCGTGGAGAATTGATGTGTGCTGAGTTGTTCTACCGGTACGTATTGAATGATGCTCGTTTATATATAGGCATGGGTTGCATGAGCCACGATGCACTCTTGTGATGACCATTCGAAAGCGATATCAACAATCCCTATAGATCCGTCCCAGACGAAAACTCCTCCCACTCCTCCAACAACCTCAACATATCCCAGCACTTCTTCCGGATCGTCGCAACAGCATCCGACCCCAGCACAAGCTCCTTCGGCCACTCTTTCCCGGCCGCTCCATTCTCCCCCTTCACCACATCGATAATCCGCGCCACGCCCTTGACCGGATCCCCCGGCTGCTGGCCGTGCGTCGCGCGGAACTGGGCAAAGGTCGCCTCCGTCAGCGCCCTGTAGTCCGGGATGCTCGTCTCGACAAACGCGCTGTTCTGCGAGCTCAGCAACTCGGTGCGGAAGTACCCCGGTTCGACGAGGAGGGTCTTGATCCCGAGATGCGACACCTCTTGGGCCAGGGCGTCGGTCGCGTCTGGTTTATATCAGCAATATGTTAACAATGTGTTCAGGAAAAGCCGATATGGGACATTCTTACAGCGCATCGCCGCTTTGGACGCCGAGTATGCGCCCACGGTGGGATACGTCTCCCACGCAGCCATGGACCCGACATTCACGATCGTGCCGGCCTTTCGCGCCCGGAAGTGCGGGAGGAACGCGCGGGTGACGTTGATGGTGCCGAAGACGTTGGTGGTGAATTGCTTTGCGTAGTTGTCCCTGCGAGCGCGCAGTCAGCATGTCTCCGACAAGAAGCATTATGTATATCGACGGGAGACGCACCCTAGATGCTCGAGGGTCCCAAACTGCACGTACGCAGCGTTATTCACCAAGATATCAATCTGGCCGTATATGGCGATGGCCTCGGCGGCCTTGGCTTCCAGATCTGCCTGCGGCGCTGTCACGTCAAGCGACAGGACGGCCGCCCCGGCTTCTTTCATGTGGGGGATCTTGGAGACGGTGCGGGCCGTGGCGATGACTTTGTCGCCGCGGGCGAGGGCCTGCTTGACGAACTCGCTGCCAAAGCCGGAGGAGGTTCCTGTGATGATCCAGACTGTCATCTTTGTGGGAGGAGTCGTCGTAGTGGTTCCTGTGTGATGTGATGGGAGTATGTCTGCTGTGGCTGGGAACGGCTTTAAATACTGTCTACATACACTCTATAGAACGTCATCGCGGAGGTAATTATGTACAATGTCCACGATATTGTATGCTGAGTCCGATGAATGCTGCTTTTCGGAGTGCCAAGATTGCCATGTCCGATGATTTTCGGGTCCGACGACGGTCAGTATGATTGACTTAGGGGCCAATGAGTATGAAGGACACATGAACTATCATACATCGAGACAACTAATGGAACACCTAGATTCTCAGACTGGGTTACAGGGTTATGACAGATACTCGGCCACAGTGATGGTCTTCTGCCCAGTTGAAACTACTCCGTATACTCCATACAACCTACAATTGAACGACCAACTACTCTGAGAATATGCCTAAACAATTGGATATTTCATTTTCATGTCTATCAAAACCTCATTCATACAATTCATTCACACATTTACCCCTGGTAATCAATAACAGCCGTGAGCTGGACCTGACCACCGCCGGAGATGTTCCCACCAATGCCACCAATATCCGTCTCAGCAGTCGTGTACGCGTTGTCGACGGTAGCCGCGTTGGGGGTGATAGTCGAGCAGACGCCGCTCGCCTTGTCGCACATCTGCATGCCCTGCACGGTCTGGCCGGTGTTCTGCGCGACAATGGCCGACACATCAAAGCCCGACCAGCCGCCGTTGGTGGTGCTGCCAAAGTCGAACTCGCCCCAGGTGCTGGCCCACTCGCCGTTGGCCGTGGGCACGGAGCCGGGGCCGGCGGCGAAGCCACCATTGGTGTCGTCGTCGAAGGCGACGTACTTGGTCTCGCCGGCGTTGAGGGTAAGGGTGAGGGCGGAGTTGCCGAACCAGCCGTCCATCAGGCCGTCGGGGCCGTACTTGTTCCAGAAGACGATCTGCCAGGGCTCGGAGTTCTGGCCGGTGATCTCGAGGGTGTATTTGTAGGAGGCGGCGTCGCTGCTGGAGACCTCGATGATGTTGCTGCCCCAGGGGTTGCCGACGTTGCCCTGGTAGGTGACATCGCTGCCGCTGCTGGCGGTGCTGGCGCCGAAGCCGGCGGTGTTCCAGTCGCGCTTCTGGGGGAGGGCGAGGGCGCCGGTGGTGAGGGCTGCCAGCAGCATGAAGGACTTGGAGAACTGCATCCTGATTGAAGAAAGTGGATTCGCGTCGAGCGAGTGAAGAGTTTGACGGAGAGAAGAAGAGAGTGAAGTCGTTACACTGGTGTAACAGGTGAAGGGAATGTGGGTAGTTGGAAGCACAACAGCAAACAACAAAAGAAGGACTGGGAAAAGAAAGTGAGAGACGATGGTCAAACGATGGATGAGATGGAGGATAGAGATGGGAGCCCAGCGCTCAATATATAACCTCGTTCTCGGGGCAAACTCTTCCCTCGGCCAGGGCCAGGGCCACCAGTGCCCTCAATATGGTCTAGAACATCCATGGGGTCAAAATGGGCCTGCCCTGGGTTGGATGAGTGGGATGGGTCCAGGAAGTACGTCAGCTAGGTAACTCAAGGCTGTTCCAGAGAACCATCAGGGGAATGGCAGTTGTCAGTGGCCGCAAGGCGATGGATGTCTTTGTGACTGTAGAGCGCTGACAGCCCCGATTGGGCCATGATCTATCCACCTAGGGCTTGTACCTGAATATCGCGTCTTGGAGTTGCCATTGGCCACTGGGGTTGATATCGGACGAGTGGCTTGTGGCTGAAACCAAGGGCAACCCTCCTTGTGTAGTCCACATGCTGAATATGTGTGTTTGCACTGTCTCTGCTTTCTCCTTAAGACAGAATACAGACAGCATCGTCTTTGGCATCTTCGAAAAGAGCAGGCTGAAGTGTACCTGTCTGCAGCAGGTAATGCTGGGCCTTTCGTACGCGTGAGCGGGTCGGACATGAAATTCACCAGCGCAAAGTGGATAGCATGGTAAAGTCTATTGAGATTGGTCCAACATGTGGACCGTCCTCCACTCGACAAAGACTGTGGGTGGTTCTGTTTATTGACAGTCGGACGAGATGTCTCACAATCCCATGTTCCACTACACCTAGCGACACCTATACCAGCTGCTTTCAGTCCGGACTCTCCCACCAAAACTTACCCCTCAGATCAGAGACAGCCTCCAGTTGACCATTCTGCCCTCTTCCAGGACAGTAGAACGCCGAAAAATGAGGCCGGCTTGGCCAAGGCCCACAGGTCTGGGTCAGGGACAGACTTGTACCAGAATTCGACCCAAATCCTGTCAACGCACTGTAGCCGACATGACTAATCCAGGAGAGGGCAACGCAGCCAATGGCACTGCAATCCAATCTAGATCTATGGATGGATGACGCTCAGCAGTGGCCAGCACCCGCCAGAACCATGGGTCGTTTGATTATGGAGCCCGAAAAGGCATCTCGGCGGCAGTTTCTGTTACTCAAGAGGGAGGTATTGCGTTGATCGCAGAATTACTGGGGGGTTCTTCCCACGGCTCTAGTGAATACACTCGACACCAAAAGATCGTGGGATCAATATTGCAACATATCTGGCTGGACTGGCCCCGCTCCCAAGAAACTACAGAAGAAGAAGTTCTTAGCCAGCATGGAACTCCTCCGCAGTTTCTTATCCCTGCTCTCCACCCTGTTCTAGGCATTTCACCGTGAATCCTTGTGCGTTCTGGTGGACCGTCGGCTAGCGCCCAAATCCAAGTGCCACCAGTGTCGCCTCCACCAGGACGATGATTCTCTACCTGTACAACCGGACGACACTTCCGAGAGCCCAAGACTTCCACCACGCGGAGAGCTCTCGGCACCGCTGGACTGACGACAGTGCCTCGTGGCGATGGCGAAAACGATGGCGAAGGCGATGGCGATGGCGATTGAATCGTGCGAGCCGGCCATTTGCCGGTCCACGACGACGCGGTGGCTGACTCGGAGGCCAATGGGATGCATAGGGAGGAGGCCCGGAGAATATTGGATTATAGGCTGTGAGCTCTGCGTAGAGTTCCCTCCTTCGGTACGTAAGCTGGCATCTGATGTGTCGTCGGATGGCTTGCGATGGGAGACCTCCACTTAGGGTTCGTCTAATGGCCCAGACACGATAGACTATTGCACCCTCTTCGATCTATCCACAGTGTAGTTTGCATTTGCAATAGGATTCCCTTATTGGAAGTGCCTACATACGCCATCCCCTGGCTAACTATAGGGCGCTGATCTAGAGCGTTCATTGGTGACGAATCAATGGCCCATTGCCTTGGACGATTTCCATACTCTTTGCTCTTTCCTATCGCCCTTATTGTTTGTCTACTGTTCTCGCTGATAGCTATCTCCCTTGGTCTGGGATCCTGCGCATCTAACCTCCTTCCTCATTGCTGGTTCGTCGCAGAGCCCAGGAGTCAGTATCAGCTTCAGACAGATTTGACCGGTCATTCATGACTATGCTACGCATTACAACATCCGTGTCGGGAACAGGATCACACCCGAACAATAGACATCACGATGAAAGCAAACACTAAAACTCCACAAACCCTTCCACCCTCCATCAACCTATGAAACCCTCACATCGTGTTTCTCAATATCACCCAACACGTCACCCTCCACATCCGGCTTCTCGGGTCCATCCTCCGGCCTCAGCCCAATATCGCTGGAACCGACCTTGTCAACCGTGTCGCGGTAGGCCGGCACGAAATTCACCGCGAGCGCATACGTCCACGCCAGCACCATGAACATGGTCGGCACGATCATCGCAAACCCGGTGTTGTTCCGCATATCCGCCACATGGCCCGTGATGGCCGGGATGGCGGCGCCACCGCACACGCCGCCGACGATGAAGCCCGAGCCGCGCTTGTAGTGCCGGCCCAGGCCGCGGATGCCCAGCGCGACGATCGTGGGGAAGCAGACAGACTCGAAGAAGAGCGTCAGGAAGAGCATGGCTATATGGACTTGTTAGAGGACTTCCTGGATCGATCATGGCAAAGAGGTGGGGGGACGGTACCGATTCCCTTCTCGTTTCTCTGGGTGGTGGACGCCGCAAGGAAGGCCACCACGCACGACAGATAGGCCAGGAACACCCATCGCGGCTTGATCCATTTCATGAGGAGGGCGCCGCTGAAGCGGCCCACGGCGAAGGCGCCTTGCGCACCGGCGAGGTACTTGGATCCAGTGCTACTCGAGGTGCCGGGCCAGGTCTCGACGGCGTAGTTGATAAAGTAGCCGGCGATAGCCACTGCGCGTCACGGAGGCAATTAGTATGGAGGCAACGGCAACAGAGCGAGCTGGAGGTCTCGTACCTTGAGCACCAGTGTAGGTGAACTGCGCCAGGGTGGCATGGAAGAGCTTGTATTGCTTCCAGAACGGCTTCTCCTGCTCGTCAACGTGCGTCTCGGCAACCTGGTACGCCATGTCCTCATCGGTGACCTCGGGAATAGTGGAGAGGAAGAAGACAAAGGCGAGACAGAAGACAAAGATGCCAATGGCGAGGTAGACCCATTGCACGCGCTTGAGGGCGTTCACGTCGTCCTCGGTCGTGGTGAAGAAGACGTACGAGGCGAGCGCGGGGGCCACGCAGGTGCCGATGCCGTTGAAGGCCTGGGCCAGGTTGATACGGATTTCGGCATACTTGGGGGGCCCGCAGACTGCAAATGATTAACGTTCTGCCCGGGGATGTCGGAGCCTTGAGGTATGTAGCTACCGGCAAGATATGGGTTGGCGGCGGTCTCGAGGGAGCCCAGTCCCGAGCCAATGACAAAGGTAGCGGCACAGAAACCCCCGAACGAGCGGTTCAGGCCGGCGGGCCACATGCACAGGGCGCCGATGCCGTACAGGACCAGACCGAAGATGAAGACGCTCTTGTAGCCGAAATGGCGAAGCATATAGTTTGCGTATCCCAGGGACGCCAGCGGATAGGCACTAGGGTTCCGTCAATGAGAAGGTCCTGACCCATCGAGTAGTACTGCACCGATAAGACGAAGACGGAGGGATGAGGGCGTACCCGAAATAGGCCGCCTGGAGGCCCGACGAACGGGTGCGATCAATATGGAGGGTGTTCTGGAAGTGCTTGTTGAGGGTGTCCAACAGACCATAGGCGAATCCCTACGCGCATCAGTCAGGCTGTGGTGGTGAGACTGGAGCATGGATACAGTAGATCCTTACCCATAAGAAGAAGAGAATGGTGACCAGACACAAGGGCCAGAGACTCTGGCGAAGGGTGAGGTTCGCGGCAGAGGTGGTCTTGGAGTTGTCGACCTTGAACCCGGAGCGGGTCTTGAGGAAGTGCCACACACCCATGGGGACGGATGGTGGAAGCGAAGCGAGCGAGGAGGGTTGTAGACGAGGAGGAGAGAATATAGAGGAAGAAAAGCAGAGGAAAGAAGGCAGAGAAGCAGGGGGGAGGGGAGATGTAACGCGGGGGCGGTCCGGTTATGTACTACCTACCTACTACCTACCGAGTCCCTATACTGCCTACCTATAGTACCTACCTACCTACCTTGGCAGGCAGGGAGGAACTCGGCAGGTCTCCGACTGTCTCGAGTCCCCAGACGAATGACAGCATCGATGGCCTTGACGCGGATGACACCGTCGTGTTCATTCTATGGAGGATGCTTCCTGGTGGGCCATCCCCAGACTTTTTCTCCGCATCTACCTCCACGCTGGGGCAACGATCGCCGGGCGGATTCCACCATTCATGCGCCATCTCGGGGTGTCATTGTTGGCTGTGCCGAGACGCAGGGTCTTAGTCGCGCCCATTTATCCCGCACTTTAACCCGGACGAGCGTAGGGATTCACGCTGGCCTATCCCCAATCCATATACTCGTCCGTTGTGGGGGAGCTTGGCGTGCAGAACAACGTGCCCTTCGGAGGAATAATAGTCACACTAAGCAATCGGATGTCTCACAAAGGGACGATCTCTCTCCAGTTCAATGCATCGAAGGGTGGACTCGATCTCGAATTCTTCTAGAATATATCAATATATAGATCTATATGTCCGAGCATAGACGCATTTACTAATATCAAACTCATGGCGTCGTGGTATTCCCGTCTCTACCATACATACAAGGCCATCACTATATCCAAACAAGGAGAGTCATCCACCCAAGGACAGTCATCTAATCTATATCCTGTCGTCATAGCTCATCATCTTCTCTATGCCTTCTTCGGCTTCGAAGCCGCTCCGTTCTCGTATCCCACCGAGCGAGTGGGCACCGTATAGAACTGACGCTCCACATACTTGAGAGCCTCGTCAAGGAAACTGCAACGGTTAGCAATGCTGTAGACAGACCGAATCCAGCAGTACGACTTACATCACAGGGGCACTGATGGCAAGGACGGCCTTCCATTCAGTCCAGTCCAACGGGAGAATGGAAAACAGTGCCTGCAAGGCGGGGATGTACAGGATGGCAAAGTGCAGCGTCATCGACAAGATAATAGCATACACCAACATCATGTTGTTCCACAGACCGAAACTGAGGAGAGATTCACTCGACGACAGCGCGTTCATCGCGTTGAGCATCTCAATGACCACAAGGATCGACAGCGACACCGTCGACGCAGAGCGGGACATGTCGTTCGTAAACATCTCGCACCCAATTTCAGGGAACTGGGACGAGCACTTGTGGAAATGAGACTGCGAGATCGACAGTTAGCGGAACCCCACAAAATCCATCCGACCCGGATCCTTGACTTACCAGCTGCCAGAACGAGATCTGGGGACCTTCCGGATTGTACACAAACCACCACACGTAGCCAAAGACCGTCGCAACACCAACGTACGTTCCAATAACCAGATACCGGGTCAAGAGCCATCCACCCACAAGGCGCTCATCCCGCTTGCGCGGAGGGCGTCTCATCACGTCATGGTCCGGAGGGTTGAACGAGAGGGCCGTGGCCGGCAGTCCGTCCGTCACCAGGTTCACCCACAGAAGCTGCACCGGAATCAAAGCCTCGGGCATGCCAAGAGCCGCCGTCAAGAAGATAGACACCACTTCGCCGATGTTGGACGAGATCAGATAACGGATAAACTGCTGAGTGTTGCTGTAGATCGACCGGCCCTCCTCGACAGCCACCGTGATGGTGGCAAAGTTGTCGTCGGCCAAAACCATATCAGCAGCGAGCTTAGCAACGTCAGTACCAGTGCCCATGGCCACACCAATGTCCGCCTTCTTCAAGGCAGGCGCATCGTTCACGCCGTCTCCGGTCATCGCAACAACGTGGCCCAAAGATTGAAGGAGGTCGACCAGCTTGGACTTGTGACTAGGCTCGGTGCGGGAGAACAGAGACGCCTTTTTGACCGCTTCAAGCTTCTGGTTATCCGAGAGCGCGTCAAATTCTCTACCCGTAAAGCTCTTGCCCGTGAGATCCTCATCCTCAGCAAAAACGCCAATTTGACGGCAAATAGATTCAGCGGTGTTGCGGCTGTCACCAGTAATGACAATGACCCGGATGCCCGCCTCCCGACACTTGGTGATCGAATCGGCCACTTCTGTACGAGGCGGGTCAAGCATACCGACAAGGCCAACGAGAGTCATGTTCTGCTCAAGCTGAGCGTACTCGTCCGTGGTCTTGGCATTGTGCAAGAGAGGGTTAGCACCGACTTCGTCCACCGTGGCCAAGGCGATCACACGGAGACCGCGGTTTCCATATTCCACAACCTCCGCAGAGAGCAGGTCCAGATGGTTTTTGGTGAAGGGAACGCGAGGTCCATCAGGTCCCAAGAGAACATACGAGCAACGCTCCAAGATCGACTCGGGAGCACCCTTGACCAGCAACCGTTGTTCCTTGCCAGCGCCGACGAGGACCGACATTCTCTTGCGGTCACGAGAGAACTCATAAGTAGCCTGCAGGGGTAGCTGAGCCTCATAATAAGCGCTGGAAGCATGAAGTCTCTGAGGGACGGGTTGACTGAAGATCTTTGCGTTGGTCGCAGCATCATCGGTTCCGATCTTTTCAACCAGGACCCGCAGGGCGCCTTCAGTAGGCTCACCGATACAAGAATAAACACCAGTCTTTGCATCGTGAGACAAGGCGGCGCTGTTGCAGCGAGCCATGACCTCAGCCATCTGCCGGATTGTCGAGGACGACACAGCAAGGTTCTGCACTGTCCGACCGTTGTGAGACAGCTTCCCCTCTGGCGCAAAGGTGGTTCCTTCGACATCAATTTCCTCCAGTCCAGTGCCGGATTGACTCAAGTAGACGACCTTCTCCACGCTCATCTGGTTGGTGGTCAAAGTTCCTGTTTTGTCAGAGCAGATCACACTGCAACTTCCCAGAGTCTCCACCGAGAGAAGAGAGCGGACCACAGCATTCTTCTGAGCCATCTTGCGGGTTCCGAGCGCGAGACAAGTCGTGATGACAACAGCCAGACCCTCAGGGATGGCCGCCACACCGAGCGAAACAGCAATCTTGAGATAGTAGATGGCACCCTTGGCCCAACCACCGTGAGAAGGATCGTTGAAGTGCTCAATGTTGATGATCCAAACCAAAATGCAGATCACGGTGATCACCTTGGCCAGCATGTCGCCGAAATCGTCGAGCTTCTGCTTCAGCGGGGTGGGCTCCGAGATCTGGGAGGTGATGCTCTCGTGGATATCGCCAATGGCCGTCGAGGCACCCGTCAACACCACAACCGCCGTGGCATGACCGTTCACAACGGTGGTGCCCGAAAAGAGCATGTTGGTCTGGTCCTGCTTGACGGCCTGTTTGTCATGAACGACCTGGGTGTCCTTCGACACACTCTCGCTCTCACCGGTCAGAATAGCCTGGTCCACGCGAAAGCTGTTGCTGTGGACCGAAATCAGTCTGCAATCTGCGGGAACACGATCTCCAATTGCGACAATGACCACATCTCCCGGGACCAGGTCCTCGGCCTTGACACGCTGGGTTTTTCCATCGCGGACGACGGTTGCCTCGTTTGCGGAATATTCCTGGAGAGCGGCAATCGCCTTCTCCGCACTGCTTTCTTGAGTTACACCGACGACGGCATTGAGGATCAGAATCGTCAAGATCTAAAATGACAACCGGTATTAGCAACACTCCAAGACGTATCCAACGGATGCCCATATTCACGGGTACATACCACGGCCGGGTCAACAAAGGCGGTCCAGTCCTCGCCTTCTTCAAACAGCGCTAACACAAAGGACACAGCAGCCGAACCCAACAAGATAAGGACTAGTTGGTCCTTGAATTGTTCCAAGACGAGCTTCCAAAGAGGAGTGGGAGGATCTTCGGCGAGGGCTAGATGGCAAGAAACCGATCGCGTCAGTGTCTGGAAGCAATTGCATGCGGATTAACCTGGGACTAACCGTTTGGACCGTATTTTTGTCTTGCCTGAAGCACCTGAGATTGCGACAGGCCTGATTTCTCCGAGACACCGAAATGTTTGAGCACCTCGGAGGGAGCGTAAAGGTAGGAGTGCTCCATGGTGGACCACAACAATCAAGGGGGGTCACCAAAACTGAGCCAGGGGAGGGGGGGAGAAGAGGGAGGAGGGAGGAGGGAGGGAGAGGAGGAAGTAGAAGGAAAGGAAGAGGGAAAGAGGATCGATCAACTGGGGGCCGGGCGTTCCAAATATACCGGTAGATCAAGACATGGACGCCAAGTGGCCGGACGCTTAGTTAAGTTGTGGTTGAGATAGTTTGCGTGGAGGAAAGCGGGAAGAATCTAGAAGAGCGGAGGCAAAGTGGTTTCTCCGCTGCTTACCAACTCCTTTCTTTGCCGTTAATTAATTTTTATTTTTTTACAGACTCTTCTGGGTGATTGAATCCTAATTATGTCCTCAAAAATCGGTCACGACTAGTTGTGCGGTGTCTAATCGTCCGCCCGCAAGATGATGCTGGGACCCTCAACGTGTTCTTTTTCCCGGGTATCAGGTATCAGGATCCATTCCACTCCGTACCACAGCCTACAGGGCTGAACAATACATTACACATCTGTGCGGTTCTCTGTCGTCCATGCCGCTGGGAATGCCGTATCGATCGGGTTTCTTTCCCTCGTCGGTCGTATTTACACTTTGCTAGACTGGGGCAATGGGGCGGACTACTCCGTACGGAGTACATCACCAGTTCAAACGCTGAGTGAGAAACTGTCGTCCTCCAAGGAAACGAAGCCAGGTGATGTTCCAATCGATGCATAGGGCATGCAGGTAGACAGATGCTTAGACCAGGCGGTGTCCCATACCGCATCCTGACGCTTTGTTACCGACATCCACATGGCGACCCTCTTGGGAAATGGTGATGCCTTGTCCCAAGACCCATGCTAAGGCTCTGCAGCTCTGACCATTGGGGACGCTGACTGGTTCGATGGGGCTGATCACTTGAATAGTAGATGAAGACTGGAGAAGCACTCGTTGACTAGTCGTCATGGTGGGTTCTGACCTGTCTGAGACGCCGAGATGGTTAACTATTCTTCGTCGTAATACTATTGTACAAGTAGGTAGATGGCAGGACATGACTCCGCTCAACCTCGCATCCATCAACCTGACAGTTTTACAACATGCAGAATTGTGCGACCTGACCTCGATCTGGAGCTATCAAGCCCACAATATGAGCTGTTATGCTCCGATGAAACAAGCCATCAGATAGATGAGGCTGTCGGAGTCGGTGTGTAATGCCCTGACCGAGTGTAGGTAGACTGAATCAAGCTACCTATGTAGGCATGGGCATATGTCATGATGGATAGCTTTCTGGAATATCTGTTGGATTAACTCTCTAACATAGCTAGTGGGTTTCTTAGGGATGTACGGAGGAGAGGGTTAAAATGCCACGCGGTCATGTGGTTGTGATGCCTGGGGCAGCAACGACCCAAACATCACAAACAATGAATACAACGTAAAACGCCGCCCTCGCTAAGGGCCGTCAAGTCACCTCACCGGTTC